GCCTGAGCAAAAGCCAGGGGGGCAGTAAGCGGACACGAGGGGGCGAAGCTACCGAGGGGGGAGGGTGTGGTGTGTAAAATTCCAAATTCCAGGGGGGGCAGCTGCCCCCCCTGCCCCCCCGGAGGCTACGGCCCTGCCAGTAATATATCTGATGTCAAGGAACATTTCAAAGTTTTAACATGGTGACTGTCCAAGCATATACTCATAAATACTAATATTTACAATATAACTCTCAGTAATCGAATGTTAGTTAAAATAACTGTTGCATATGTTTTGGGTCTGTAGGCATTACACTCCTTGAATCTTCTCCTCTCCCACACAACAAGCATTCCATTTCATACATCTGAAAAAAAAATGAAAACACTGCCATCACTTTTATAGAGCAACAGGTATTTCCTCACAATCACCTCAATGTGAATCACACCATGTCTCAGTTTTGTAATATAAAATTCAATACTAGTACACTCCCTGGCACAAAGTTGGAAATATAAAAAAAATTATACATGTATCACATAAATGTCAGATATGAAATTGAAATTAATAAATCATAATTTCTCAAATTAACTAATCTATAAAATAATCTTCTACTTAGCTTTGAAGTTGATTGCTATATCAGTGCAGCAATCTAACTTTAATCTACTAATATAAATGTCACATTCATATCTACATGCAAATCTTTATTCCACATATACTAGTTTGATGTAATATTGATTTTACATATGTACATGCACTTCAAACTTCAAATATTCTCTCCTAGATCTCAAAACATATTGACCCTTTTGAGCTTTTGTTTTTATAGCCCTTGCATCAGCTCAAATCCATGGTTCTAAATAATAATCTTCTATCTTATTGAAAAATTAGACTTGCCTGATATTCATCATCTTCAACATAAAATGAGTATCTATGATTGGCTATAATGTGGCCACATTCTTGGCAGACATCTGAAAGAAAAAGCTTGTTACAACACAAAATATAAGTACATTTGTACATGTACTGCAACAGTTGCATTTTTAAATATATCCATAAAATGAAATGACAGATCATCAATGACACCAAAAAATATTATTTTAAAATTGGATACACTGGAAATTAATAGTACTAGTATGTGAGACAATACAACAGGTTCAGTCAATATTCCCCAGACTAGTACCTTTCTGACAATATTTTATCCAAGGCATTTTCACAAGTGTGTTATGCGTGTAAATAATCTGTGTGCTACAGAGATCTAGATGAATAATATGCTTACGCTGGTATGTTATCAACTCTTCCCCATCTTCTTCTTCTTCTGTTCTGTTAACTATTTTAACATCACCCAAATTATTGCAATGTGCACACTTGGCAAAATTCATCAGGTAGGATCCAGTTTCAATGCATACAGTTTCCTATAATATTCAATGTTAATGTATAAAATTAATACCATGTAAATTTTTACTGCTATAAAAAGGAGTGTTAATGCATGGGTTTTTGTGCTAGGCATTGTAATAATTTTTTAAGAATTTTACAGCTTTTAAACCTCTTCTGCTAAGAAACAGTACCAACTTTTTAAATTATTGACTAATCTGTTAAGGTCATTTATTTTTGGGAGTGGGAGTTGCAAGCTGCCATTGATGTTTAAGCAGCACAGATAATTCGAAAGAGGGCAAACTGTTCATCACGCACGACAATGAAACGATACTATCACTACATGTACCATTACATGTACTGTACTGTACATACTAATGTACTAGGACGAAAATTCATAGTCTGTGCTTACAGACAGTACATATCAGAATCGTCAATAGGAGTGGTAACGCATGAATTTTCGGGCTAACTACTGTACATGTACATGTACATACATTACATGTACACTGTCAATCATTGAACATTTTATCTTATTCATTACAAACTTAAACAGCCGATCTTCATCATGCAGCAATTTAGTCTAGGTTTATTTAGAATTAAATTATGGAATTATGGAAATATTTAGAAATAAGGAAATCTTGGTACCCTGTCAGGATATTCTTCCTTTACGCAGTCTAGGCACATGCTGCCACTTTGCTTGCTTCCTTCATTTTGGCCTCGTTCCCATGTCTACACCTCGTTGTTACGTGATATTTTATTTGTTGTTTTGATTGATGAAGCAAAATAAACCAATAGCATATTTTGTTACAACTGCACGAATCTGATGAGTTCCGCTTCCGGCACAGCTTCCTAGCAGACGATTGACTCCTCGGTGCATACATTAAATTAGTAGACTCTCTACGAAATGCAACAAAATGAGAGTCGTCACTGCCAAAGGTGTGATTTCTCAAATAGGCAATAACGATCTGCCTATTTTAAAGGCTGAAGAAATTGAAAATGTAGTCAAGGTAGATAATGTTTTGATAAATAAAAAATTTTTAATACTAGTGTTTAATTTGTTTTAAAATTAAAAATTGTTGTTAAATACAGTGATCAGTACAAAAATATGATAAAGTAGAGTGTAAGATTACATAATTAAAGGGAAGTGCACCATGATAAAAAAATAAGACATGGAAATTATTGTCGAAATTATTATCATAGCCTGAATATTGTATGTAGCTACCTGGGTACTTGTACATGTACATGTATATATGGATCTGAAACCCAATTTTTAAACATTTAAAAAAAATAATATTGTGATATTAATATTAATATAGGTTTCTACAAAAAGGAAAATTCAAGCATTGGAAAGCAAGTGGAATGAAGTCCAATCTTCACTGAATTGTGCAGCTCTACTTAATACCCCAGATATGAAAAAACAATGTCACCAAAGACTTTCTGTCTTAGCTACTCCAAATTTATGTTGTAGGAAAGTTTCTTCAACACAAAAACTCGCAAATAATCACATTTTGGAATGTGACTCTTTCATGAAGCAATTTACACCCCTGATGAATCTCAGTTTCAGTCAGCCAAATACCCCTCATCAAATGCCTGATTATTTTTCATCTGACTGTAAATGTAGAAGGTAACTATTTATTTACAGACATTTGTCATTTTCAAACTTATCATTGCCTTAAATAAGCTGATAGTGAATGATGCATGTATAACTAACAGTATTTGAAGTAGTCTACATTATAATCTCAGGGCAGACCCACTAGCCATGGTGTATCCCTTTACAATAATCTCAAGGTTTGGTGGTGCAACTGAGGAGGATATATAAGGGAAACTAAATAATATTGTCAATTTTTGCAGTAAAATAACTGATATTGAATTTCATTGTGTTGATAGTATTTATTAGTATTTTGAGAGATTGGATCGAGAGTGACTAGATTTATCATCCCATGTTCAGTTTGTTAAAACTTTTACAAAGCAGTCAGACTTTTAACACTTTTAAGACAGTCACAGTTTTTTTATGAGCTTTTATACTTCAGCTGTTTCTCATTTTAACTCTAAATTTTAATTAAATTGTCCTTTCGATATATTAATTGATAAATCATTTTATTTTCACATCTTAAACTTACTGTATCATTTACATATTTTTTTTTCAACTCTAAATTTTTATTTAAGTGTCTTTCTACTTAATCAATAATTTTATTTTTACATCTCAAACTGAAAATGTTTTTATTTTTTTCTTTCAGAGCTCCGACAGTAACCAATTACTGGTGTGTGTGTTTTTGTGTGTGTGAACAAAATAAATTAATATAATTTCTTTATCTTTACAACTATTTACACATTCATGCATACTATTTTTATGTTTAACTTGGCAAGAGTACAGTTTAACTACACTAGGAAGAATATAGTGTGAAAAAAGCATTAAAGATACAATCACCTTGCATTATTTACAATATTTTCTAGCTATGAGAATGTCTTCAAGTGTATAACTGTATTTTTTAGCATTTTTGATCCTGCTGAAGAGGTGCTTTTCTTGTCAAACAGTCGAAAGGCATGGGATAATTCCCAAGTTCCTGACATCCTTGAAATGATAGGTGAGTTTCAAGTAATTATAACTAACTAAGAGAGGCAATATTGCCATAAGCAAGTGAGAAGTTCAATATAAATAATACTATGGATGACTGATCATGATAATGTTGTATTATCTGTATTATTACACTAAATTGAGGATTACCAGTAGTTGACAGTTCTCCTTCCCAGCAAACAGGAATCATATATGTGCTCCCCCTTAAAAAGATATATAAGATGCATTTCTGTAACAAATATAGAATTATTATCTTTAAAATGTTTGAATTTATTTATGTTTTTAGATGATGAAAGTAAATCGGTCCAAATGGTAGAACAGCACATAAAGAAGGAAACTGAAATAGAAGTCACAGATGACAATGTTACAGATGTTATTCTTGATCTGTCTGTTTCACTGTGCAGCAATGAAAACCAAGAAGTATACATACCATTTTTTTTTGTTTTTGTTTGTTTTTTAAACTAATAAATTTTTGCAATGTGAAATTAAATGTTATCTCTGTTATAAATGTATATTATGGCAAGTTCTTGTTAATGCATGCATTTTGTTTGTGCCTCAGATAATGTTTGAAAGATTCAAACCCATCAAAAGAAGTCAAGGAAAACATTGTAAAGTTTTAACTGCATCCGATGAAAGGGCCATTAATAAGCACAATGAGAGAAAGAGAAGGGAGAGATTTAAACAAAATCATAATCCACAACCTAGGAGACAGGTACTAGTACATGTACAGTATATACATACTAGTGCTGTATTTAAAGCTGATTGTCACAAGCATTTTATTGCATGGATGACAAAAAGAAAGTGTCTGATGCGTGCGGGCTTATTTTTTCAAATTTTTTAAAATTATTATATATATATATATATATATATATATATATATATATATATATATATATATATATATATATATGCTTTCAAACACCTTATGTGCCTATTTATCATACAAGCATATTGATGATTAGTACATGTACTGGTATATATGGTACAGAAAGTAACAACAAACAACACAGCGCCACTGGGCTCAGGTGCATTTCTTCTCTCTTTCAGTGCCTAATGCAAAGAGTGCCAAGGGCAGTTGCATGTCAAAATCTATTGCCCCTCGGGGCTACATGCCCAAGCATGAAACTCCAAGGAAGAGAAATGAAATTGAAAAAACCAGTTGTTTTGCTTCAACGTTTGAGCATGTGAAATTTTCGTGGAGTTTGAAGGACAGACTTTGAAATATTGTCAAATATGTGTGTTTTTTTAATGCTTGCAGATTCTAGATAAAAATCAAAATATAAACTGTTATTTCACCTGTTCAACTACAGATTATTGTCTCTTGAAATTATACTGGGTATATAAACAAGGAGTTGCAACAGAATGTTGAAACATCTGTTATAACTCCTTGGTATAAACAAATAAACTAACGTTAAACAGTAGAGCTCGTTTGCCTTGTTGCTGTTTGAATTTTTTATTATCTATTTGATTCCTATAAAATTTACCCGAAAAAACAATGTAACACCGATTTATCATTCGATTGACGCACCGCGTGAAGATAAAAAATTATAATACTTTTACGTTTGTTTACATCACATGACTGGTCATGTGACGATAGGAATTCCCTTTTCTGTTCTGCTTTGGAAACGAGGCTTGGAGGAGAAATGGCAACTCTGCCTGCAGTCCCGCCTCCTCCACCTCCAGCCCCTCCTAGCAGTATTGGAATAATACGAGGAACACCTTCATCTCTGAAGGAGACACAGTGTGATGCAGCATACCCAGACTGTAAAACAGAAGTACGAAGAGCCTGCACGTTTCTCAAAAATAGGTGAAGTCCTCGAGGAAATTTGTTCTTGACTTGAACTTGAATATTTTTGCCGGGGGATTTGTACAAACATCAAAGTATTTTTTATTCGGTCTCATTTGGATGTAAGATCAACACTGACAGCAGTGTAATCACAAGTCAAGTTCCTTCTAACAGTCTGCGTTTGATTATTATGGCAGTAAAAAGGCTTGGTTGATTTACAGCATTATTTTCTGTTTACTGTAGATTGCCCGAAGACACTATCCTGCTTTCTCATAACCGGGTTGTTGCTTCCATACTGCAGGAAGGACCCATGTAAGTAAACCTCCATAAGATGTGTGTTTTGTATCGGATAAAAAGTTTAATATGATTCCATTTGGTCTAATGGGAATGCTTTTCCCTTAAATGCATCTGTACAGATGTTTTGGTGAAGGAAAAATGTTGCACAACTAACACATTCGTGCACCAAAATTCATAATCATTAATGCTACTTGGTCTCATTTTCTATTTGGAATTTGTTCCTCTTTTCAGGTGATTGTTGTGCAAAAATTTTGCAACAACATGAAATTAGCTACCAAAATTCAACATGAAATTTCTTGGATCTTGTTGATTGATCCAAAGATGCCAACCAAAAGAAAAAAGAAAATATAAGTCATTTTTAAGCTGCAGTTGTTGTAAAAAGCAATCGTATTCATCCAGGTGTACGAGGAATCCCTCAAAGTTGCACTTAAGGAAATCCTTCAACTTCTTTTCATTGCAGCATACCAAGAGATTTTCTCAATAAAATGAGAGATATAATTAATGTCAGGGGCGGATACAGAGATATTTTCTGGCAGTCTTCCAAAAAATGTAAACTTGAAAATCTGACCGTCTTCCGGAAGACCCAGAAGATGGCCTCAATCTGCCCTTGCATGTCAAGATGGAGTATAAACTATAACTATGCAGTACTGATTGATCTGGTAGTTTACAGATGGTTCAGACAGTATCTTATAATGACAGTTGTCCATTTCCTGACTTCAGTTTTACCCATTGGAAATGCTGAAAGCAGACTCTCAGTGATACAAAATTGATTGTTCTCTTTAGTTCTTTCCAGGTGCTACCATTTTGAAATTTTATTGTTACTTCAGGTGTGGCCTGTGTGCCCTGTCTATGGCCACTGAGATGACAGGCAAGAAAGTAGATGTAGATCTGATATTTTCAACAGCTAAAGACAGGCAGTTTACAAAGCAAGGAGAAATGTTTTCAGGTTATTTTATGCCAATATACATTTGATCAAGTGCTTTAAAATATTCTAACTCCTGTAGCATTGCATGTCATCTTTATTATAGTTTAATCTTGACAATATTGTAGTCATTGGTATTTTTCTTTGGATTTAAGTATGACTTTCAGATTTTGAAAAAAAAGTCACCATTACCAAAATTTTTCTCATTTTTTACCTAATTAATTACAGTTTTGAATTGCTAGGGTTTTTGTCATAAAATATATTTCTCACAAAAAGCTCACTTGTTCAACATTGTCAAAGGTTGACCCCCACTAGATAAACAGAATTTAGTTCCACCAGGATTGAGAACTTTTGTATTTTACAGCTGCAGATATGATGTCATTAGCTGAGGAAATTACCCAAGAAAAGTGTGTTCTTTTAGACAAAAGCTTGCAAACATGCATAGTCGTGTCACATCTAATCAAGGGAAATCCTGTACTAGTTCCGTAAGTCTAATCATGACTAAAATTGAAATATTAATTATGTAATGTTAATAAAATGGTAGTCTAGTAGCATGTCACAGTTAATAAGATGCAGTCAAAAGATTAAAATTATCTTTATTTAAACAAATTTCTTTATCAAATTTTTTCCCTCTTGCAATTTTTGCCAAGTACTTGGCTCCATTTTTTATGATTTATTTAAATTGATTATAACTTTTAAATAGCCTAGATATATTGATTTTATCAATTTTTTAAAGCTTGCGTTTGTATATATTCCCATACAGTAATCTAAGGCACATTGCATTTCTGCATATTTGTAGGTATGACTCTGACTGTAACCATGAGCCCTGTTTAAAGGAAGGTCGTAAAGCACACTGGGCAGTGTTGACAGGTAAAGCAGGTTTAAAATCTGATCATATACCACCAAAATGAATAGGTAGTTCAATCAAATTCTTATCACTGTTTTAAGCAAACTAAGAACTGAAGGCTGATGATGTGATATAATATAATGCAAAGTCAGTGTCTTACAGGGGCAGATTGAAGACGTGTTCTGGGTCTTCCAGAAGACAGTCAGATTTTCAAGTTTACATTGACAGACATCTAATTTTTTCTGTCGGAAGAAGGTCAAAAATGGAGGATGGATCAACAAAGATAATTTGGAAGACTGGTCCGCCCCTGTCTTATAGGTTTTCCTCATACTCCATTCCAGGTGTCCTGTTTGTGATGTCAGATCATCAAAGTTCAGTGCAGGACCAGAATTATGAACAAGATGACAGATTGAACTATTTATATCACTCAAAAGGAGATTATTCAGATCTGAGTTTGGAACAGTTATCAAATCTCAACAGTAACTGTGATATATATTTTTTTGCCAAGCAGGGGAAGAGCAAACATTTACAATGCTGGAACTCTGAGGACCTCCGTGCCAGCAACTGCAATCTCACCAAAATTGACCCTGAAAGGGACAATGAGCACTATATAAGACCCGAGGGCGGCCTGGAAGAGGGGCTAAAGAACAAGGTGGTCATCATTATGAAGAATTGTACTGCCCCGTCGTGATATATTTGTATTTTTTATTACTCTCAATTTTTTCTAATTTGATTATATATATATATATATATATATATATATATATATATATATATATATATATATATATATATATTTTTTTTTTTTTTTTTTTTTTTATTATTTTTTTTTTTTGGGGGGGGGGGGTGTTTGCTCTATTTTCTGTAATCCATGAACTGCAGTGATGAGTCAGTTAATATATAGAGGTCACCATCATATATTATAATTTAGCCATGTTTGGGTATTAAGCTAGCATGTTTTGTTAAAGGAAAGTTTCTTGATACAAATTTTAAGAATTAATGTCATACTGTTTATTTTATATCCTGGGTCTTCCTTTCTTTGTCAATTAGTCAGAGTATGTGGGATGAAGAAGACTTAGGCCCCATTCCCATAGACACCATTGGTCTACATAGATTGATCCAACTCTGCTTGGACTCTCACTGAAAGCAATCATGAGAATCATGACACGCCTTCTTTTGTCTCTAACATACTCGTATCATCACCAGTTTTTCTGTATTCTCCTCAATGTCAGGAGGAGACGTGTCATTCAGTTAAACTGATTGCACTCAGCGAGCTGGATCAATCTATGGTGTCTATGGGATCGGAGTCTTGCACATTTCTTTGTTGAATAAATAGAAACTTTATTACACCATGCTTTATTTTTTTTATAATACCTTCACACAGTTTTAAAAGTTTTCCCGATGGATAGCGTTCCAAAAACGCAAACGCTAATAGTTTTTTTTTTTCTTTTTTTTTTTCAACGTTAAAATACATTTGCATGCGCAATTCCATATCCGCTTGCTCTTTTTTTTTTTTTCTCGTCGGTCGATTCATTTGACTTTGGTTTCTCGGGTATATTTTGCACTTTGATTTAGAACTTAAAGTTCTGTACTTAATCTTCATTTGCACATTATATATAGAATACGTGCTGAAAAAAGTCTGGATTATTAAATCATTTAATTATCGATTTATTTGCTGGTTTTAAATAGGGAGCTGTATCTTTAGAAGTCTGCACTTTGAGTAAGGATCGCGAAGTTGTTAAATTAAGATAAAATAAAAGACGCGTGTATTTTTTTAGCTGTTGTAAATGAACTATTTTATTCGTCGAGTTTTTAGATAAAGTGAATGGCACTTATACGTAGACCCAACAGTGCCATGGACACAATCTTGTTTACTGTTAAACCATAATATATCTTATTAGCCAGAAACTGTAAATGATATGGAGGCAAGGTTTTCCAATACACTTTAAAAACTGCTGTGAAATACATTCTATTTGGCCCACGTCTCCTTCAACTTTGTAAGAACTTTCACATGTAGTAGTGCATGTACAAGAAAAACAAATGGCTATTTACGTTAAAGTATTGGCGCTTTTCTTTCCCTAGGTGTATAAGGGGTTAAGTGTATCAAAAACATTTACGTAAACGAAAGATGCTGTTTCTTGTGGGCCTATTTTTACCAGAACCTCATTTTTACACGACCTCATTTTTTACCACAGAAACTGGAAAAATTTTATTTGAAAGATGCCAGTTTTCCTTGTGGTTCTTAAAGTTGTTGCTACAAGCGTATTAGATATTTCTTTTAAATTGAATTATGAACATCGAGGTAAGTTAAATCAGAATGTCTTTTAGATATCGATGGCAGATTTTGCCGCCCTGGACTACTATTTCCCCATGAATATGACCTATTCCTGTCACGTGAGGAGAGAGCGTTTGGTTCAGTCTTTTTCCTGTATTGGAAAGTCGTAGCGTGGTGATGATCCAGCGTTGAAGTCACCATATTTGCCTTCTTAATCCTGTACATTGTCCGTGGTTGTATCCCGTACGAAGGATCAAACCAGTACTTAGCTTGTGGGCGTTGTCCGGTGTTCGCGGCTGACCAGGTGGACGAACGCGGCCTGCCGTTCTTTAAAGGATGAAGAAGATTTGTAAAATCTGTTCTGTAGTTCGAAGCGACGGAGAACGCTGTGAGAGTAGGGTGGCTGCCATTTATATTGTCCCGGTCGAGAATGCCGCTCTGGTATTCACTGCCAGTGTTACGGTGAAGAATGTCATGTTCGCTGCGTCTCCTATCTAACAATCTTGCTGGCTGTTTCTCTCCGTACTCTGGATGATTTAATGGATACTCTTTTGATTTAAACTCCGGCGCACATGTACTAGGGCGTGGGTCTTGAAACGGGCGTGTTTTAGCTTTTATGTCTTTTAGTTCTTTTTCTAGAATTGTTTTTTCTCTTTTCATATCATGAAGGTAGTGTGCCTGTTGTCTTTTTAACTCGTTTTCTTCAAGTTCAAGGCGGTGTTTCTGTTCTCTGGTTACTTCTAAAACGTGTCCGTATAGTTCGTAGGTATGTCTTTTCTGAATGTCTGAGAGCCCGGGCATAGGATTGAACAGATGGTCGTCAAAGTGGGCCATTTCCTGTGTTTTCTATAAAAAAAAATGTTTGCAATTGAACATCCATTTTCAGTCACGTTAACGTTTACAAAACATACAAAGCGTAGGCTCTTTTTTGTATGTGCCCCGACGACATTCCGTTTTCAAACAGACTGAAAATTTCATTTCTATTCCAAAAATGTTTAAAGGAGGGTTTCAGACGGAAATCTGTTTTGAGTTTTAGGACTGCATGTGCAACCCATGCGACCAGTGCATATTTTCCCGTTTGTTTTAGATAAGTCACAAGATGTTTTCACAGTTCTCGTGACCTTACACTCTCTGCTATGAGAGCGACCTGGAAACTGTCACGAGCTATTCCTTACCTGATAAACTTGCCTGTGCCTTCAGCACAGGGCTATCGCTAAGAAAACATTTACTAAGTTCATGTCGATAAATCACATAAAAATCCTACCCCAAATACTTAAAGAACATCGCCTCTTGCTGGGCGCTTAACGTCTAATAGAACGCTCATTTCGGTTGTCATTTATCGTGCAAGTTAGCATTTCAATTATTCAAGCCATCATTGAGCCTACAATTACATTTTAACTAGCTTTTCCTTTAACATTTCAAAAGTACCTTGATCGGTTCCTTTCGTACAAAATTAGGGTTTAATCTGGATACCAATTCAGTTGCTGTCTACATCAAGTGTCCAATGCTGGCCTAGAACAAAATAGCACCGTTAGCGATTCCGTCCCAGATAAGAGTGAAGCAGACGGTAAAGTAGTTCTTTTTTTATGTCGTCACAATTTCACCATGCTGGAGGCTGTATTGGTTGATCTCAAGGTTCAATTGCAAGCAACTTCTCTGACCTCGTTCTTTTTTATGCGCAGTAAACAAAATTGAATAGCCCAAGTAGGAGTAAATAAAGATAAAGCGTTTCACCATTCACTACACAATTCAAGTAATCATTTTAATCTACAATGAAAAACCAAAGTGGTAAAACTGAGCACGTACCAAGGTCAACAGGTCGGGGTGTATAAGCAAAGCAATTGTTAAAATACTTAGGATTCGTTTATTCAACAAGGAGTTAAGTAAATGTTATATCTGTCTGGATGACCTGTGACTTCCCAGTCTTGCCACCTATCACTGATTTTTCTCATTGCTGTAGCTGACGAACGTTTTTGGGATAATTTATTTTCTTAAGTTTTAAACATTAAAAGTTTTTTTTCATAACATTAAAAACTCTTAATGTTGCCATCACAGCTCTTTAGATAAAAACAACAGAAAAGAAAATTTACATTTTTCAAAGCTTTCACGAGTGCCATTATTTCGAAGGTGTCCACAGTTGAGTAAAAGTTCCCATTCACAAGGCTTAATATGAAATAGCTGCAAGCCCGTGGTTCTGGCTATGGATATCACGTCTTCATTTTGAGTGCATCATAATTAACGTAACTTTATGCTTTGAATTTAAAAAATTAAAAGCGACATGTAGCTGCAGTTAAAAATAGACTCTTTAATAGGATTTTAGTCTGTGAACTTGTTAAGCATGTAACAAAAAAAAAAAAAAAAAGCGTCATATTCTGAACAGCCTAAGCAAGATAAGGCTGATAAAGTAGGACTGGGAATACAAGGTACTTGTGTAAGATGCGTCAGCATCTTGCCGAATTAAAGAGTACGTTATGGTAGCATATCTGTACAAAACACCAAAGAATAAAAAATCTGACCTCCTATTCATAGGTGTTTAATTACCTCCGCCAAGGAGGTTGTTTTTACCCCTGTTTGTTTGTTACCTCCGCCAAGGAGGTTATGTTTTCACCCCTGTTTGTCTGTTTGTTTGTTTGTCTGTCATCAACATAACTCAAAAAGTTATGGACCGATTTTGATGAAATTTTCAGGAACTGTCAGAAGTGGGCCAAGGAACAGTTGGTTAGTTTTTGGTGGTGATCCGGATCATTAACCATCAATAATCAATAATAATCAAAAATTGCTGCCGTGGCGGAGGTCTTTTCTAGTTGTATTGCCTAGTTATGAAATTAATACAGATTTGGATTTTTGGGGGGATTTTTATAGATTTTTACGAGTAATTCTTTGTTTGTTTGCTTTTAAACATATTTATTTTGCTATGATTGACGTCTCACCAATCACATTCATATAGCTCAACTGGTGCAATAACCTTACACATTTGCCGTTTTTTCGTTGATCAGTAAATATAAGAGGACATGTCTGCTAAAAGGTATTGAAAACTCAGTCAAAAATTATTATATTAACAACAAAGTGTTTTTTCTATACACTGTGCCGAGGGCCTTTTTTTAGATACGTAAAAAGACGACGGTATTGTCTCCTCGCCGATCATTTGACTGAAGATGTGCAGGAAAGCAAGCAATATACCCCGATGCAATGATAAGTCATGTAAATGCGTTGAATTAATACACCGTTTCTTGCAACCATTCCACAGGGAGAAGGATTTCTTAATTTTCCAGCGTTTTTAAACCATCAAGTGTCCCCCTCTTAACACAAATGATAGGAAATTACCATTTCTAAGTATCAGAGAAAATCATTTCGCTTATATGCGACCTAGACAGACCAAGACATTTCTGTTCTCTCGGGTTTCTAATTCCTTCTGAATTTTTACATTGAAACTAATGGTATGTAGACCTATGCCACTAGCAGTGTCCACTTTCTCTGTAAAGGTAATAATTCTTTTCTATTTGCATTTCTATCCAAACTTAAAAGCCGGTTTAAAAAAACTGGAAATCTGTTTAAATGTGAAATTCAATGGTATGAATTTTTTCATACTTCTTGTGTGTGTGTGTGTGTGTGTGTGTGTGTGTGTGTGTGTGTGTGTTGGTAAAGGGAAACTGAAAATTGGACAACTGTATTTTTGGAATGACAGGTGGATTCTGAGCAATGCTATTGCAGTCCGCATACAATAGCATCCCGACCAATATTCTGATATACAATAGTGAATGCACATTTGTTAACATGGAATATTACAGAAACATCACCGAAATGCGCGCGGGCATCGCGGGTAGGCTTAAACTTAATTTGAGTAAATATACTGAAGTATGCTTTCAGAGTAGGAGTGATGCTCCTACTATTTTAAATTAATACATAGCTTTAGTCTTGTTGATTTCCAAATAATGTATATGAATGAAGCGCCACAGTACTGATCTATTAGACTACAATAAATTCTCTCTTAATGACCTGATTATGTTCTATCTTAATGAACTTGGGTTCTTCCCGAAAAGTACTGAGGGTATTATTTTGTACTTAATAATTAAGAATTGCAACGTACACGCGATTTGAACTTTTGATTACACAACTGGGCCTGTTACCTGAAAGGCACTTTTTATCCTATATGCTGTCATTTCCCACCCAAACGCCACTAATGATTCATTCAGCTGCTCTCAATTTATGATCAAATCCGTTAGTGTTTGTGTGTGCGCGCACGAGAGAGAGAGAGAGAGAGAGAGAGAGAGAGAGAGAGAGAGAGAGAGGGTGAGAATTATAAAAAAAATTGCCATGGGTGAATTTAATTTAAATTGGCTCAGATAAATAAAGCATGGAATATCTAATGTAGGCTTTTATAACTTGATTGCATAATCATGAAATATTAAATTGCGTCATCTTTTTTTTTCTTGCCCTTAATTGATAATTCTTTCCTAAATTTCTTAATAATTTGCCTTCCATAATGGCATAATTATTTTTCATCATTTCCAAGTAATGAAAGATTTACGTCAAACCTCAAATGTGAGGTAAAATATTTCAATAGGCCCGAAAATAAATCCTATTAACAGGCCTTATTAGTTATTTTTTCAAGGACAGCCAAACATTCACCCAGAAATGACGCACATAAGTTTGATAATCAAGCTAACATAGTGAAAACAACAGTATTGTTACTTTTCATTTTTAATTTCACTTCTTGTCTTACCTTCCTCATTATGGAGAAATTATTTCTCCGCTCCTTTATGACTCCCAGAATCTCTTTTACTCTGTTTTTTTTAAACGACATTTTTAACATTTCTTTCAAAATACATCACTTTGCATTATGTGGGCGAAATTTCACTTTGGGCACTGATGTTTATGTGTTCAAGTAAAAGACGACATTGTCCATAGATTACTAAGTGCACGTTTTTTATCGCGCAATATGTTTCCCTAAATAAAAAATGGGAATCGCCGTGCATCTCTAAAATAGTGGTGAGGCACAAGACCCATTTCCATTTCTGTCAATACAAACAACTCCGTGTTCTGGAGCGTCTAAATAAACCTTTCCTACTGCGCTTCCCCCGTGCGAAAACGGCTGAAAAAACATTTAGCTGCCTGCAAAAATTAAGGCAATCTATCTTCAAGCTAGTCTTGTGTGTTATTGAATAAGTTCCCAATTACTTTATCTATTATTACCTCAGGTGGAGGGACCTCCGATATTTTTCTTAATTTGCCGCTAATGACATCGTATGCGAAAATTGCTAATCACTACTAATCTTTTTATAGTCTTGTCGACCTAGGTTGTGTTCGGAGATATTGATATTGAGAGCTGGGATTGTTCTTATGTCTAAAGGCTTCTTGGCAAATTTGCGCTAGGAACATTAAGAGATTTAATCATTAAATATAAATTATCACGGGATGCGAAAATTGCAGACAATCGTCATTACTCGCGTTTCTATCTTTAAGTGGTCATTTAAGTCCTTAATTAAGGGAAACAATCGAAACTAAGAGGATAATAGACTATTGGAATGATCATAGAATAGAAAAACACTCGAAATACGATTTGTGCTGTTGACCCACGTACAAGGATAGGCCACGACCAAAATCGATGCAAATTTGATAGAGCCTTGTTCCGAAAGCGATCATAATTTACACCATGTTTAGATTTTATCTTGCAAATGTTTTCCAGAAACAATTCGAGTAAAAAATCCCGAAGGGAAGATTTGTTGAACGCTAAAAGTGTGCTGCCCAGCAGACGACAGCTTATATTACCTCGCGGAGATTGGAAACGAGCCGCCCGATTGGTCAAAACATTCGGCTATGATTGACAGCTCCGAGTATTGATATTTCAATTACAAGGACTTGGTAATTTGCTCGTTAGACAAAAGCTAATTAGATTGCCAAGTTTGCACGGGCCTATAAAGAGAGGAGAAGGTGTGAACTTTGTTATATTTTGACAAACAGAAATGGATATTATCGCCTGGACTACGTGTGTTTTTTGACTCACTGGATCCTTCGGCGAAGAGATATAACATTTGACGAGTCCCGGTTATCATATTCAGTAAAGGTTTGTTCAGGTGGAAGATAATAATCATCTATAAAGAAGCGGGAGTTCATTCATTTGCACACCCTCAAACGCTAGTCAATATCTTTGAACACAATACTGATCAGAACCTCTATTTATTACGTGCATAGATCAGGTTTAGGGAGAGATCGGTGGACTATGAGTATAGGTCCGCCCCATCACCTTGGTGTTTCTCCGGTGACTGTCTCCAGCGCGGCCGCTATGTCAGCCGTCCTCGGGTCCCCGACGGCCGGGTACTCTGCCGCTAGCTCCCACCACCAGCAACAGAGAACTCCATTCGCTATCCAAGAACTGTTGGGGTTGCGGCAATGTGACATGAATCGTATAGGGGGATTCCGGCCTGGTTGCCCCTACTGCCGGCTATATGACCTGCTCTCTGCCTGCCCACCACGCTGCCCAGCTGAGCGACCCCCACGGGGCAATGTACGCCTCTGCCTGGAGACACGGCTTCGTGAACCCCTACGCTGCGGCGGCGGCGGCGGGAGGAGCGCATGGACAGGGCCTCTTGGCGATGCACCATGCCACACACGCAGCCACGGCCAGCTCGCACTCGGGTGAATCTACATCGGCTGCAGGTTAGAACCTCTTGTTGGCATTTTTTTATTGTTTTGTTTTTCTGCTGCATGTGTGAGTTCCGGGCCCCGTGTCCCGTGCATGTGGGAGTGTTGAGATAATTGGCCCGTGTCTCTGAAATGTTGTTGGGTGATTGTCTGTCTGGTTCGCATATGTGAAGTATTCCGGAAGAACGCTTGTAAAAATAATACCAGATCAAAATGCTATTTTGTTCATTCTGTCTTTCGTATAGAATAAAACATTCTTAACGAGGTTAAAATATTTTTATAATGTATAATATTTTTACAACAAAGTCTATTTTAGATAGTACGCCGGCAAATTTATTGTTCCTAATTTTGACTTTATTTATTAACTGAGTATTTCATTGACTACTACACTAGAATCTTATTATTTAGAGATGATACTCCTGTTTTTCTCAGAGAAAACATTATTCCCATAGATATACATTATTTTGTATGTGCAGATGCAATTTTCAATATCCGTTACTAGAACTTGAGCTCTTTAAGTTCGGACATCACCTTTTTGATAATTATTTGATTGCTATGCTCAATGTTAATCTTTAGGAAATACTCATTTGGAGGAGACCGAGACCCTTCGCTTTAATAAAACTATAATTTTCTTCCTGGTGAATGTAAAACGTTTGGGTAGTGTTGCCAAAAAAACAAGGTATACTTTAGAGTGATATATATGAATATTAAAATGCTGAAATATTTGACTGAAATGAATTTCTTTAAAATTAGATTTCAGTATCAATAAAGTGGCCTAAATTCCTACATCAGGGGGATTTTGAAACAATGTTTTGAAGTAAACCTTTGACCACTTGATTGTTAAGAAAAAAGGTCGTGTTTTTCAGGATTCATGTATCTTTTTGATTTCTTGTTTAATTCTTATTATTTACATTTTAAGGAGACAGCTATGTCGGATGGTTTGCAACGAAATATACCTTCCGAAATGTATTTTTCTACTAGTACAGTACATATGTTTTCGTCAATAAGAAAATTATGAAAGATGTTTGTCCAGTTGTACCCTTCTTACTCTTCATTGTCAATGAGAACACAATACGAAACTGTTATTGCATAAATTTAGTCTAGCTTATATCGAAATGAAGATAACCTTTGGGATGTGCACAAGTAAGTATCTTGTTTTTCTCAAAAAACACCATTTTCACATAATTTTACTTGTTTTGTTCAATTTCTATCTACTAATGAAAATATGAATGCTAAAAAACGTGCTGATTGAAAATAGGGGAAAGAAACCTTGAACCTTGTGGATACGTTCTTTATGAAATATAGATAACAAGATGTTAAATAGGATGTCCCTCTTAATCTAAAATACTTGGCTGAATAGTCAAAAGATTGTACTTTACGGTAATTATAAAATGCAGCTATGGTCGTGCTCAGGACAAGTAGAATTCCAAATTTTGGAAATCCGTCAGCTTTCTACATTTTGCAGCGCTAAAATAGGTTTTGGCAGAGCGGTTAGTCGGGTGTCTTGTTTCCATCGCCAAATGAATACACACTTAGTTTATTATTAACCTATTCTCATTTTTAATAGATTAAAGATCCCCGCAACACAGTTTAAGCTTCCATGCTTGAAAATTCGCTCTTCTTCAAGTAAAAAAATCCCTTCTCTCTCTCTCCTCTCTTTCTCTCTCTCCCTCTGTCATATAATTAATGTATTTCCATTACTTCCTTTTGAGAGGGTGCGAGTTTTTCCGTGGCATACACGTATGAAAGTAAGTGTTAATAGGGTGCTAATAAAAGCTACAGATGCATATCACTTGATGGTAGTGTTATATTGACTTTATCACCTCGAGTGCTCTATCCCGTCTGCTTTTATTTCGCAGAATATGTATTTGATAGAATTGATGCGGAGAACTACCAACATCGGATTCAGAAGAACTGACGCGTGAGCAAATTTCATATATGACATTTGCAAATAGCTGTGTCTCTTTCGTCTGAGTACTGTTTCGGTAAATACGAGCTTTGTGCTTGGATTCACTCGTGTGGCTTTTCTTACATGTGAACTCGAGCAACTTTGGGTTTGGTATCCCCAAAGGCTCACTTGTGATTTCGAATTGTTGACACGGAGATGATAGACTTTATACGGTTTTTCCTAACAGCCATGCAATGCCGCATTGCTTAAACCCATTAAAACGTGTCACTTGAGTTGAAAGTTTTTGATAAAAAGAAAGCGAAACGCAAATACACATTTTATCGTCGATTAAATTTAAATAATGGTAAATCATTGTCTTACAGCAACCTATACTTTTCGGATACAATAGATGGGAGAAAAAAATAAAAGCATTACTAGTTTAAACTAGTTTAGGTAATAAAGACATGTTTTTATAGCACCTGTTATTGTCTGTTCGAAGAATCCATGCCCACTAAGTTAATCAACAGTTCACGGCATTTATACCACTTCACTCGTCCTTAGCCGGCGTTTATTGGTCTGACTGATATCGTCATCGTCTTCTTCACATTACCCATCTGATAACAACAGCGTTCGATCAACAAATTATGATCTGGCAAAGCTGAGCTTTTATCAGTTTGTTAAGGATCGGAATCCCTTCTAAGTGAGATCAGGCTGGCTTCTAATGTTTTAACGAGACCTAGGGGTCAAATTAAGGAGCGACCAGGGAGAGGAAAGGTGAACTGAAGGTCCGGGGTCACACCTCCTCCATAGCACATTCCACTCAATTTAAGGAATATGTACTGTTTTATATGATTGCTCAATTCCCCATTGTAATTTCAATGCTCATCGTATTTATTCAGACGGTAATTCGCCCAAGCGCCCCGGTAGAGAGACCCTTCAGTTTGCCATGAGAGACCGACGCGCGCATCGCCCAGCATGAAAACTCAGAAAATTCAATAAATATTTACCACCTATTGAATTAAAGGTTGAAGAAGTCATGTAGCACAGCTTCTCCAAAGACGAACCATCGGAAAATTGAATTTGCCGGAGTGCCCGTATTAAATATCAAATTCAAATTACGACGGAAATTCAGTTGTGATCAGAAGAATATATCACTCTAATTAGTGCACGTCTACGAAATAATATCTGTTCGCATTGAAAAGAGGCATAACATTTACCTGTGCATTATGAAAACTTCCTTCCCTTAGCTCTCAAATAGTGGTACTTAATCCGAACATTTTCATTTGAAATCAATAACGCACATAACGTCTAATGTGTTGCTTCTCAACTTTCGTTTTAGATCGGTTTTACTGTAAGTTATTTTATTTCTATTTAAGTTATTACTTTTGACAACGCGAGCACTTTTTCTCGCGGTTTTTATTTGCTTTGAGCTTTTACATCTGAAAAGTGGTTCAGATTTGCTTGTTAAAGGTCCATCGATTCTGATCTCGCTCATCTCTAAGGACCATGTATTTGATTAAAACACTTGTAGCAAACTTGTTTTCAGCTATGATTTAGTTAGGCCAGAAAGGCTTGTCTAACTCGTACAAAATAGAAGTCTCTCTGCCTCTCGCGTCCTTGTACTGTCTGCTTGCTTGCAATCGGTTGTTCGCCTCATCCTCTTTTCCATTTCTCCTCGCTCTCTCTCTCTCTCTCTCTCTCTCTCTCTTTCTCCATCCCCCTTCCCCCACTCTCTCTCTCCCACCTGGGATTACTGCCTATTACTCCCCCTGATTATGTGAAATTATAGCTGATTAAATGATCGCTAACTTTTGAAACGCAATACAAAAACCTAATTTCAAAATTACTAAACATATACACTTGACATATCGCTCTAATCACCTTAATGCTCTTACAGGTTGTAATTGTCTTTTTTATCAATACTTTCAAAATATGATGTTTTATGAGTGGTGCTTTCTGCTATCAGCCTCATCATTTAATTGCAACTTTTGCATATTTTATGAAACTTATTGGAATGAATAGATCATTACAGCAATTAAGCCTGGGAAAAATTAGCACTCTTTTTTTCATATCGGCCTTTTATCACAGAGTGCACTATTTATTCGTATATCAATGTAGAATTCCCTGGTGTGCAGTTCTTTCAAAAAGATCCTCCATTTTAAACCAGAACATGGCGAGACGGAAGCGGTTTAGTCGTATTATTCCACCTACATATTTCGAATTTAGATTGAAATCGTATTCTCTGCAGTATATTTCCTTAAGCATTGTCAACTGAACGCAAATAACTTTTTGCATATATTATGAAATTTTTTGAAGCTTAACGGTTGGCAAAGTATCTTTTGAATGTCTTCCTAACTCATTTTGCCCAAATTTGTTATTTTGTGTGAAATAACTATTGCTTTGTGATCACATTTTACAGATATACCATTTGCACATGCAATGAGTGGTACAAAGTTCTGGTCTTATGTATCTGACAAATAGATGATATTTTGTCAACCGCCTTTAAAATGAGAACATAGAGCAAACGCACTCTAACACATGTTCGTAGAGATTAATAATGCTGGTGATAATTGATCTTATCACTAGAATCTTAACAACAGAATTTCGTCATGAGCGTGGATTTTCAATAGCGCCACCCATAAAGAAGAGCGCTTCATAATTACACATTGAACGGCATTCTGGACAAGACGAACTGATTGAGCTTTTCGTCAGTAATTAGTAGCTAGTTTCCTCGCGCTTTGGACATGACAGTTCATCAGGAAATCAATTTACGCCCTGTTAACTACTTGTAGTTGCCGTTGTTGGTGCAATGTAGTACATGTACGGCGGTCCTGACTAGTCATATCGCAATCAAACTTGCTCCATATTGCATGCTTATGCTGCCATGGTTTGCCCCATTGTCTTGAAGACGAGGGAAGTGGGGGGCGGGGGGGGGGGGGGAAGGTAGACGTGGCTTCTGTTGCCCAATAGAAACATGACTGAATTAGCTATTCGCATCGAATACGTAACAGTAATTTTGACGGTTCCATTTAATTGCTTATGCAGGCATTACCTCTGCTGCACAATATATCTTAGGTGAAAAAATTCCAGGCAGAACAGCAGACATGCCTCCTCGCTTCGCTCCACCTTAAATTACAACGTGACATATTCAAAGCAAGGAGAATTCTTACCCACCCCCCACCCCCCGTGCCCCTCCTTTACCTGCTGTCTTTAAAGTCTCAGTTCTGCTTGCGTTTGATTCAGATGTTTGCAAACAAAAGACACAATTTTAATCATTTTTCTACTATGGAAAATCACTTATTATGTATGCATATCTAAGTATTTTCTAATTAAAGGCCCTCTTCTTACGCGTGGAAGAAAAGCCAGGTAACGTCTGGTTCTTCATCGAACGTGATTTGGTTAAAGATTATATCTACTTTTGTGTTACTTTTATATCATCGCATACACTAGTGGGCTTGATTTGGTCTTAAAGTGCAATTTAAGAACACAAATAGTCTTACATGATCTTAAAACCTGAATAAGACCATTTCTAGTCTGACAGCCAATTAAGTTGTCTCCCCTTACACATTCTCCTATTTAGAGCAGAGGTGTCCTCTATTGTGAGGGGAGGTATCCCCCATTGTGAGGGGAGGAAACTGCTTGACCACTTAAGTAGATGTTAGATCATTTTTGATCTTAAAAGCAGATTCAGTCCATTTTAAGACTACTGCTGTAATGATTAAGATCGTGTAAGATCACTTGTGAACTTAAATTGCACTTTAAGACCAAATCTAGCCCACTAGTGATAGCGAAACGATCCCTTTTTCTAACATGCTGGATTTGAGTTTTCAAGCCAAGAAAGTAATGGCGTTCCTCCCAACCCTCAATAATCTTTTGGCATATAGATATTTTAAATAATTGTTTCGTTTTTACTTTGATAGGCTGATTTTTTTTAAAGATATGCATACCTCCTAAGCTAAACGTTGGCAGTGCCAATGGTTTATGTACGTCACCATCAGGAGCAGAAACAAGGGGTGGGAACAGCATTAAATAATTATAATACACGGAAAGCACTGAAAAAAATCAATGTGTCAACTAGTCTATATCACTTTTGTTTTTGGAATAATGAAACTGATAGCAACAATAAATCATCAATAATTGTAATGATGCTAATAGCCACCAGTTTAAAAATGTATGGTTTTTATATTGCCAACATTATATTTTACGGACTAATTGATGACACTCACTGAAAGAGCTTCGTCGATCTAATAGTCCTGTCATTAGCATGAAGCTTGACGGTGTGCAGCGAAATGTTATTATTAATTTATCGTAGCTAATTCAATTAATACATGAGAGCAAGTCAGACAACTAACTAATTACTTAAAAGCACATCCGTTTACCTGCCCTCACTTGCCCGATCGAACATTTTAACCTGGATATCTTTTCAGGCCTGATTAATGTAATAAATAAAGTTGCCTTTAGGAAGAAGAAAAATAGTTCGCGCTAAAAAAATGGAAGTATCGACACAAAAAAAGTCGTTCTATCTCTCTATATGGTGACATTATAGACACCGCTGCTCGTTGTTTATATTGTGGTTAAAATTAGCGTCGTTAAAATTAATTATTTCCAATTATGTTGGCTATAGACAATGTTTTTTGTTTTGTTTTTGTATTTAAAAAATCACGTTTCGAGGGCAATTAGTAACTTTCACCAACGAGTGAACTTTTAATATTACTTTGATTAATATATTGATACAGTGTGTGAATTTAATTAAATATTATTTTGTAAGTTTGGAAAAGAAGTCTACACCAAACTGTACTTTCTGTGGATATTAATGATTGATAAGAATCGATTTACGTTAAGAATGTTCTTAGCATGTGATTGGAATTCTTCACGACTCAAATAAAAGTACTAGTCATGTTTGTTGACAATAATTGAGAGAACTGAACCAAGTATTTCAAGTCTAACATGCCGTTATAGATATTGCCCAAAGTATAAATAATAAAGCGTAAATGAATAGCAGCATGCTGGTTGAGAACAAATTAGGAAAATCCTAGTAAAGAAAAAAGTCACAACTACACAACTGTAGCTTTGAAGAATGCACTCGCAGCCGAAATATACCCATGACCAAAGAGGTTTAAGTTTTACCATTTTTATGTAGTTATCAACAGCATGAGGCTCTGCTAACGAATCGGTTGTCACTCCCCAAAGCACAAATGCCCAATTACTCAAAAACTGTCTTCCAAACTTATCTACATAATAGCCATATATCATTCGACTGTCTTAAAAACTATCATGATGACGGTAATTACGACATTAGATAGAGTCATTAACGCGTCGCTTGAGCCCCGGTCCCGTATCAATAGTGTTCGGTTAAAAGATCTAGACATATTAATAATATTAATCAAGCATCTCACACAATTGGAATTTGATTCATTTAGTCTTTAAGGAAATTATGAAAACATTTTTGTCGTGCAGGTATAGAAAATCTTAATTGCTTATTTATTCGTTTTTGATTTGCGTTATTGCTTTAGATGCTTGGATTTGTTTACCTTTGTGGTATTAAGAATTTTTGTCTTTATTTTTCTCAGATTGTGATGAAGATCTGTCCGACAGGCATGGGACAGCCGAGAGAGGGACGTCTGGTAAAAAGAAGAAAAAGAAAAGAAGACATAGGTATTTAGTTTCATTATTTGTTCCTACTCGCAACCAGTTGCTTCCGTTGTGCTGTTAAAGTAATCAACCGTGATATTTGACGTGTGATATATTGAAAATTATTAAAACCTCTTTGATTTCTTTGTGTCTCAGACAAGGATAAATAACTATAATCAGAGCGAAGATATGACAGATGTGTGTGTGCAAGTACGGGTATATTCTGTTTGAAAGTTTAAAAAATACATCAGATCCAAGAGTAAAAAAAAAACAAGGGATATTGGATAAAACGTATCAATTTACACTCTCGTGGGTATGCCATTGTTTGTTTTCAGCATTTATTCCACCATTTGATGAATTTTTTGAGGAAATTATAATACACCACTTCACAATATAAGAAGATTGGAGTATCAAAAAATGAGCTGGGAATTCTTTATGAGAAGTACTTCAAATTTTATTTACAACCCAATTTTAATTTCCCGATTATATTTTTCCTCCACATTGCTATGGACACAGATTGAAAAATCCAGCCACGTCGTCATCCTGGCCACGATATAGATTTTTGCCAAATTACTTCTCACAATTACTATTAACGCAGGAGAACGGTATAGATGTCATCTTAATGGCACAATAACTAGTCGTATACTATTCCTCCTTGTCATCTGGAAGAAATTACGGTTATTTTCCGAGTGAAATTGCCTCCTCGTATCTTCTTCCCGTAACCCATCATTTCAACTGCTGTTTCATTGGCAAATTCATCTATTATGCACCGGGCCACTGAGCCGTGAGATATAAATGGAGTTTCTTTATTGAATTTACTAATGGTTATTTTCTGAATTAATTGGGAGCTTTGCAGGCCATTTTGTGAAGGCTGTGCTTCCAGTGGTGTTGACATATTTCATTACGTGATAACTGAAGCAGTATTATGCTTTTATCACTTTTGGCAGTTTGAACCAAGAGGTAATATTTTTTTGTGCAAAATTTGGTAGCACTGAGCCTTCCACGGTAAGAGGTTTTGTAATTTTGTGTAAGTTGATTGTAATAATTATATTACAATGCAGCCAAACGTATTTTATTTTATTTCATTTTTCTAGATTCTTTTTATGCATAAGAGTTTGTCAAACTTGCTTGCGATTGAAAAAAGTCTGTTTGTCTGTTACCGGTGCTTGCTACAAATTCGACCAAGAGGCAACTGCAACTGATAAAATTATCTGCACAGTTCGTCAATTTATTTTTGATTCAGTTTCACATTTATTCTTTATTTATTTATTTTTGTAAAGTATTGAATCACAGCACACAAGGAATGCTGATAAGTTAAATAATAAAAGCCTATGAAAAGTTAAGAAACCACAATTGCCCATTTAACCTTTTGTGTTATCACTTTATTTTCGTATAATTTTAGAAAAAGGTAAAAATGAGTGTATCATTTTGACATCCTCAACTTAAAAAAGGGCACATGCGTCATTTAGAGAAAGTTAAAGGTTGCAAATGTGCGGAATTGTTACCGCTGTTGTTGATGTTACCAGAGGATCCTTGAAAGTAATTTATTTAATGGGTCTTAGTGTTACGTAATATTAAGTCATGTTTTTTGGTCACAACTGATAAAACTGTGGTGATGATAACAAGATGAATTAAAGCTTCTTTGGCGGTCAGATAAAAAACGAAGAAAGACAAGGTGTAACTGAAAAAGATATCTGGTAAAAACGCACAAAAAAATTAAAGATTTGCTTTGGGTGCCACCACACCAGACACAAACACAAGAGTTTGGGTGACCACAATGACAATCACAAAATGATGTTTTTAAAACCCGTGATGACTGTTAGGTAAAGGCAACTTACAGCTGCCCGTCCTTCGATATTCAAGCATCCACCAGGAGAGGTGACAAACATTTTAACAATTAGGTCACAAAGAATGTCTCCAGTTCCTTAAATCTCTCGCAGAGGTTTCCTAGATTTGGCGTTTGATTTTTGGCAATGAAAGGGCAAAAGAGGAAGCTTACCCTGCCTCAAATATAAGATAAGAATGTTACCGAGACTTTCAGCAAGGAGTTATAACAGTTATAACTCCTTGCTTTCAGTAACTAGTGGCAAAAGGTGGATCAGTTATATTGGCAGAGGGTTCCAGGGATTCGAAAAAAAAACACGCTATAACTGGATAAGGTCCACCTCTGAATCAAAATTTAATCTAGATAATATGCCTTTATTTCAATTTGGATCAACCAAGGAAGAAGATATTTACTTCCTTGGGTCAACAAAGGGGGTAAAAAAGGTCCACTTTTTCAGAAGAAAACCCCCTCTTAACATCTTGGCAATACGCCTGCCTATTCATATATGATTAAAGAAACTACGGCAATTGTCAAGGTGCAGCAGCTCAGCAAATGAAAGCAGCACGGAAGCTTGGTCCCAATGACAGCTCTTTAACTCAAGTATACGAGCTGAGATTTTCTAAAGTGACGATGCCCATTAGGCGATTAGACAATTGGTTCATTGATTGATCCTATTCTTTTATATTAGTTTTATTTCTAAGAGATGACGGGTTAGTAAATGGAGCCTTAGGCTCTCAGGCACAAAGTGGTATTTTTACAGGGAAGCTACCAATATAAAAATCGGGTTTACTGTTGAATTTGGTAATGATTCTCTGATTTCTGTTTCAATATGCTTCACGGGACGTGGAACTGGAACCCAACATATACCCGCATATATCGCTCATAAATACACCTCTAGAAAGGAACGTATATTAGGCTTTGGAATTTAAAAACAAGCATCAAATTGCAAACAGGCTATGAATACGTTACTGGATTAAGAACAGTCCAGTAAAGAACGCCTACACTGGATTAAGAAGTGTCCAGTTAAGAACACCTCCGCTATTTCCCATGTACACCTAGAGTTATAGTTGACCTAATTACCGATGTGTCTTGGCAGGGAAGTCCTCTTAACAAGACACACCATAGCACAATTGGCCATATCTGGAAATCGTAACCATAATACTTTCCGTCTTGTCTTGTCAATGGTGAAATCTAATTTTCCAACTCGTGGGCGCTGACAGTCTCAGAACCTATGAGTTTCGAAATGCCGAAGGCCTGTATCGAAAATCTTAAGGGTGGTCTCATCGACCGACCACATCGGCTTAACAAAACGTTATATTCAACTGAACACTACGTTTTGAAACTAACGGTTTAAAAAAACTCATAATAATTAAGAAATGCCATAAGTTAAAAGTATGAATGTCATAAGAAATCTGCTTATGTAAGATATATCCTGAAATATGTTGAAGGAAGTCATGCCGGCAAAGCGTATTCAAATTACGAGTAGCTTTTTATATTGAAGAAATGTGTTTCAACTTTTTTTGTGTGTCCAAAGTAAAGGCATAATTACTTCGAGGTGATTTAAAAGATTATTTACTGATGAAAGTGCATGTGAGTTTTAGGAAGGGTTCTTTACTATTTATATCTTGCCATCTATTTCATACTTACTGATGTTCTTTGGTCTTCAGAACAATCTTCACGAGTCAACAAATTGAGGAGTTAGAGAAGGCTTTCAAAGATGCTCACTACCCAGACGTATACGCAAGAGAGGTTCTGGCTCTGAAAACAAACTTACCAGAAGACAGAATACAGGTATATGTGTAAACAGTATGTGAATATATATATCTCAAACAAGACATCATAGATGAGTGTTAGCCTGTTTCCAGGTACCTCCTTGAAGTTATTTCACCTGTAAAGAATCTTTTAATTTCACTCTTTAAGTTTCTTTAATTGTTATCAATTCAGACTGTCTTCTGTTCTAACCCCACTCTACCACGCCCGTCCCCCAGAGGCAGTCAAGTACGGTTGTCTAGATTTTATTATCTTTAGTAAAGAATATTGAAGTATCTGTGTCAGCACGAGTGGGTGAGTTATAAGTACATACTCCATAAAACGGGTAAGAAAACCCCATTGTTTCATCTATCTTCCCTTGCAGACATTTATTTCAACATAACATCATAGAGTACTCGAGCCCGGCATTAACCAGCTTTCAAATCGTTTAAGTGGAAACAGAGATCTGCCATGTATAATTAATCTAAAAAAGCACTCGAAAATATTTACTTAGGCACATCAATTACTATCCTTTTAGGTTTGGAATTTTGAATTTGTGACAATTATTATTTCATTAATTCTGCCATGCAGTTCCCCCGAGAGAAGTTTCCCCGTCTACATGTATGCAAGCAAATGAGAAATACAGCTAGTCAATTCGTTTATGTTTGCTTAGTATTCGCGTTTGATCGATTAGGGCCTTTCCTCGGAGGATTTCTTGTAAGAAATTTGATTTCAGCTAATTGATTTGTGTGCAAAATGCCAGTTTTGACAGAAAGGTAATTTTTCAATTGAATTTGCTCGTATTACAACGTTGCTTGAGACACGAGCCAGGCTTCAATAGAGAAGCTAGGGAATCCATTTTTTAGAACTTTAGTGACTTGACGGTAATTTTCCTCAAACAGAACAAGACTAATTTGCCAAATCAAACGATTCCGAGCTGTGCTTCTTTGTTCCCAAGTACAGATCGCATTAATAAGTCTTTTGTAGCGATCCATAAGTGAAAGGAAATTATAAGGTGATCCGAACGCTCACCTCAATGTAAAATTATCGTTATTATCTGATTATATTGTGCGCTAAGGGGGCCAGGGCCAGTCACGACTTCCTGTTGTGTGTCTTGGCTTGGGCAAAGTCAATTCCTGCCTATTCACGAACACAATGTCTCCGTGATTACATTAAATTTACCCACACAGAGATCACAATTGTTTTTAGAAAACGATGTGGCGTTTTTCTGACGCTTGTCATGAATCCATCGTGATCTCTACAGTTCCGCGTCAAAAAAAGTACTCGATTGTGACGCGAGACACGTGTGCGTTTTTATTATTAAAAGCATGTCCTGGGAGGAAAGGATCAAAGTTACCCCGTTCTACGAGGGACATCTTTTGATCTATGGACACCAATATCTTGATTAGATTATTTCATTATTAGACTACTAATGACTAAAATACAAAAGGTTTAATAAGCGCAGTAGGCCTATGATCAACAAGATGACAAATTGATCGTCCTTTTTAGATCCATATTACTGCAAATAACTAATTCTATTTCAATCTATATCTTTATTCTATCTCTGGTTCTCGGAGGTTAACCCGTTCTCTACCTGTTTTATTTTCCCCTTTGCTTTTATTTTCTTTATCCATTCTTTTTGCTTTCCTTTGTCATCCATTTTGCCGCCTGCAATCGACGACTTTTCTTTTCTGTGCGTTTGTCATCATCATCATGACGGCATTGGTCAAATTCTTCCTGCCTTCTGATTAATACAGATTTTAATTAACGTCTGCACCAGAAAAGGTAATCGGCTTGTTATTCAATTGAAGTCCTAATTAGTTATCTAATTAATTTCATTATTTTGAAGCCTAATCCCCGGAGACTGGCGTGCATGCGCGAATTAGCAAGGGATGATTCGTAAGAAATCGACAAGTTGGCAATAAATCGTAATGAATTTGCTGGCTTGACATGGTTAATTTCAGCATCCTAGATATAATGAAAGACGTGAAGTGAAGCTCACTGTGTGTGTATGTGTGTTTGTGTTGTAAAAATAAATGCTCTGTTTTGTCAATTCATAGTAGTTTTCATTTAATAATTTGAAAAAAAAACTCAAGAAGTAAACAACAGTTACGCCCAAAGTTTAATTGATTATTGGTTATTAACCTGCGCGCCATAGCACACTGAAGAATCTTTCTGCATGTAGTGCTACATCTAAAATAACTTAAAAGGTCGTTGTACTTGTAGCTGCATTTTGAAGAATGGCTTTAAATAATATGAGAAAAAGGTCAATGGAATTTTTTATTGCTATTTTAAAAGTGACTTTTTCTACCACAGTTCTTAACCAGTGCCCACACCCTCTCTCTCTCTCTCTCTCTCTCTCTCATCATCATAAAGATCTACTATCACTTGAAATGATTCACGTATAAACAAATTCAAAAGCGATACCTTTCGTTTATCGTATCCCAATATTCAATGTTTTTGAAGTCACATTCTACACAATGGCCGCCCGCGCGATATTCATGAAAAATCATTTTTCGCTTTGATAGATAAAACCCATATCTGCTTTATATCACTGTTAGGATAATAGACATTTTTCAATGTGCATCCAATAAGCCCTTGATCATCTCTTTATTACCTCGAACAATTCTCGGGCAAACCAAGAAAAAACTTAATTGAATGCATGAAATACGAGCTTGTAGCTTTTGTGGAGATTTTAATTAACGCTATATTCTGTTTCTAGACAAATGCAACTCCGAGATAATTGGCTAATCATTGATTCTACTTCGTGATTCCTCGCCAAATCTCCCGCACTCCGTATTGTATTTCGTCCTTGATTTTAATGGCGCTTTTTCGTCACGACACTGGTGATTTTTTTTTCTTCTGCGAGGATCAGGCGCATATATTGCCTTAAGGACTTTGGCACGCTTTAAACATCACATGATATTGCGTTTTTATTATTATGGCAATGACTTGAGTCAACATCTTTGTCGGTGATTATTAAGTTAACATTTAAGAAATATTTATCACAATGTATCTTCATCTGCACAAATGACACAAAGTCGTGACCACAGGTTAGACTAAACGTCTTGGTTTTTCTCTCTGATTTTTTTTTCAACTATAAGTTTTGGTCTTCCCTTTTTTAACTATTGGTTTTTAATATTTTTGTGTGATATATTTATCTGTTATTCTATAGATACCACAAGTTATTAAGATGACTTGTGCGTTACCAGGGTATCTCACCGCAAGGTTCAGAGGTCGTTTTCATAAACGGAATAATTGTGGTTTAATATTGTTGGACCCTGAAATGCACACTTAATGGAATTAAAAATGCATAAATAAGACTCTTCGAAAACACGAGTTCATGAAGCGCTCTGTAACTATAAAATCTGATAAGTATCATTTTTGATAACTGATTTCTTAAATCTATAATTGCGAGAAAGACAATCTAACTTGAACTGAAAGATGCGTTCTGTTGAAATTATATACCTGGTGATCTACCTGTCTCAATCTCTCTATAACTGCGGAGAGTTTGTGAAGGAAACCAGTGTTTTGACAAAGAAATAGAGTAAATAGGGCAGAATTAGGCAAGAAACCTACAGCGGAGACTAGCAATCCCCGCAGGCAGAGGTTAGCTGCTGAAGCGTCAGGTAGGCGATCTGTTGCCAATTATTTCGATCCTGTAGACTACTAACAAGCTAGTTGCCTACCTACATTAGTCCTAACCTTCTTCAAGATCTTCATGATTAAGTCCGACATTCGTGAGCAACCATTACAAAAAACAACATGCTTAATCGTTAGGGCTGAAACCCGAGATAGGTAGTTACTTAATGAAAGACACTTGGCGGAAATGTTGGAGTATTTTTCCCTCTCTTTTTCTCTCTCTCTCTTTTTTTCTATATTGAAGGTTTGGATTGCACCGTTTTGGGATCCTTGCACTTATTTGTATTTCTAAATATATCGGGTATGAAAGTGAATTATGTGAAAAACTGATATCACTATTTTCTATTCATGTATATTTATCTTAAACACAACAGTGCGTGGAGTACGATTCAACTATTACTGGTCTCAGCATTGCTGTTTTTTCTCTTGTATATAAGGCATACGTATAGATATTGATTTGAATTATGATTTCCAGCTCGGAACATAAATATAGTGCCATCTGGCATTCCTGGCGAATGTCGTTTATTATTTCTGCATCTGCATAGAAGCTAATTCTATGACACCTTCCCCACAGGTTGGTCCTTTTTTCCAAAGGTCTTTTAAGTTCAAATAGACGCTCAACTCCTGATTTTTCTATTTGATCTCATGTTAATCAAACCCATGATTAAATGAACCGTCATTATAATAAGGCCATTTACTTAATCATAGGTTTGGTTTCAAAACCGAAGAGCAAAATGGCGTAAAACGGAGAAGACGTGGGGTCGGAGCAGCATTATGGCGGAGTACGGATTGTACGGCGCCATGGTCAGGCACTCCCTACCGCTACCTGATTCTATTCTCAAGTCAGCGAAAGAGGGAGTGATTGATTCGTGTGCGCCATGGCTTCTGAGTAAGTTATAAAACAACTACATATTAGTCTCTCTCTCTCTCTCTCTCTCTCATTAACACATTATGACCAATAGGCCTATTATAAAAACCCTTTCTCTGTACCACTAATAGGTTCTTAGGTCGACCCCTTAAATTCGATTTAAATTAGGTTAAAACCCAGACCTTGTTGTACATATTTGATTTGAATAGAACCAGATACCATAACTAAGCATATTAGATTTAAAGTCGGTCCCAAAGTTCCGCCTCCGCCCCCTTTATTTTCTCATCCATGTCTCTTGAAGCCTTAATGAACTGATACATTTTGGTAGCTTAAACAAGAATGACCATTAAAAAACTATTGTTCAAATTAAATGCAAGGTAAGTCGGCTACATCTGAGCTTGGACGAACATTGAGATCAGCCGCTCCCGCTTACTGTGTCATCAGTCTTTCTCAGGTAACTAGGGACACTGAAATAAAAAAAACACTCAGTTTGGCAATCACCCTATCTGCTTGAGCCGAAATTCCGTAGTTAGATGTGTGAAAACTACCAAATTTCACAGACACACACCTGGTTATCGACGTTTTTTTATCGCAGATAATATACCACCACACTGGGCGGAGCAGTTGCTATATTTCAATTCTGACTAACCGGCTGTGATGAACGTCCGTTTGATCATGACTAATTTCATTATGTGAATTATGAGTAAATAGCTTGCCGGGCAGATTAGACCTTAATGTCTGGCCGTAGGCTACGTGCGAACTCTTATTATATATTCATTTCAAATGCTGATTTTTTTGTGTGAGTTTGTGAGAGTTCTTAGCAAAGTTGAAATTTTAAAGTTGGGCTTTTATCTTAACGGTAGGTATGCACAAAAAGTCGATCGAAGCGGCAGAGAAAATGAAAGAGGTGGAAGAACGTGAAGTAAGATGTGATTCTGCTAGTCCCCAGAGCAACATGCGAGAAGAGTCCGTGGGCAGCCCAGGGCCGGAGCTTCCCGCAGGAGCCTCGCCAGCAAAGAAAAACATAGCCGATTTTCGCTCTGAAAGCATTAAGAGTCTCAGAGCAAAGGCACAAGAACATAGCGCAAAAATGCGAGAAGCCATCGGAGAGCGTGGCCCTGAAAAGGGCGGACTTGGTAGCAACCATGGAAGTCAGGATCTCAACTCCAGTGGTCAGAGCAGTTCAAGTGGAAGTGACGACAACGGATGCGATTCTCGTAATAGCAGCCCTGTTGACGTCTGTTTATGTGATAACATGCCTGTTACAAATGCCTAATGATGGTATTTTATTATCAATTATGAAGAAAAAAGTTTTGCTGATTTAGAGGTTGCCTTGATAATGTTAATTTTGATTAGAACTTTGTGAGTTGAATCATGCTGCTGCACTAAACATACGCAATTTCCGCATTTGTATTAGCCTGTACATTGCAATAATTTTAAATTGTGAAAATACTTCAAGCTATCAGTTATGAAGAAAAGAAGCAAAATCATGATGGAAAGAAAATTCATTCAAACTACCTAACAGAACTTGTTTGGATTAAGAATCTCTTCACTTGCATTACAAAGATTTAAGTTGTTATATGTATGAATGGTGTATCTAATCTTTTGTAGGTTTCACAAGAATGCAAACGTTATCATTTAACTACTGGTTATTGTAATTTTATCGTTTTATTTTTGTTTATTGTATATTTATTGTTTATTGGTTTTTTTTTTAGTTTTTAAGTATGATCATAAAGAATTGCTCCCAGTTGTTAACACAGAATATGTTAGTTTCTTTAATGTGTTTAACGAAGTTCAATATTGATATATGGGTGTTTTATTACTTTTTGACTTGACTGAGATGTTAGACGATATATATTTATTGCAGCTATTCCTAAATCAACGTTGTCGGTAAGTACCGTATAAGGCACACATTGTCTCAAAAGCTATTATTTTTCAATTGCCAAAAAGAAAAAAACACTTTACAAACTGTTCTATCGTTTGCTTTTCAGTGTGAGCTTAATGTCTTTGTTACCAATCTGACTAAGAAAATACAAATGATGTTCAAACTTGATAAATGATTTCTTGGATCTGTTTGTTGGGTTTGTGCTTAGAGGGACATGTATTGAAATATAAAGTAGAATAAAATTAGGCAGGCCGTGGATGCGTGGTGTCTTGACAACTTGAATCTCCACCTGGTGTGGGACTTTGCGTTCTTTCTTTCTTTTTTATCAATTATTCAATTAATTAGTACCAGCACGTTTTATAGTGAATACAGCTGTTTACCATTTGATATTGTTCGTTATAACGCATGCCCGAGTAAATAAACACAAAATTGTGGCCTGTATTTTATTTGCTCATTTTCTATTTAATATCGAACTGTTGTACATATATATACATAAAATGAGTAACATTGTACATATTCTATACTATTTTATTTTAAATAAAATATTTATTTTATGAATGTTTTTTATCAACATGTTAGTTATCGAAGATATTGTAAGGTGAGTCTTACTGAAAGGTGGATGTAAATGTACTGTGGAAAAGTGGTGAAAATCATTTGTGTAATAAAAGATGTAAAACCCAAGTCTTCGTTGTAACTTTTTTAATGAACTATGTGGACTATATGTAAGGTTTTGGAGGTGAGATATAAGAGCATATAATACCAATGAACATTGGTTTGGGTCATTTTTGTCTAGGAGTATTAAATCGGTTACTTTACATTTGTTTTTGAAAAAGAAGCATGTTGTCTTAATTTTTGTAAATATTCAACCTATAATTTGAATAAGAGAAATAATATTTGAGCGTTTTCAGTTATCAAGCCAAAGTATTGTGAAGTCTATACATGTGTCTGAGAACCCTAAACCTTTTACACGGTGACCCGCCATTTTAAACCAGTCAAAACAAAACAACAATTTACGCAATATTTTCCGTAAATATTCAACCCAATTTTAAATAAGATTTGTAACAACAAGCAGAATCCCCGGGGAAGCGCACAGCTTGTTAATTAATGGTTTTCGGAACATATGGGCTCTGCCTTTCGCGCGCCTTATGGCTCGTGCAACCCGAGATTAAGTCATGTTTTATCGGTCTGTTGCATACATTCTTTTTCCACGCCGCTGCGTTTACTGTATGCAGCCGATATAGTCAGAATGCAAGCACCGTACACGTACATTGTTCATTACCGACACAAGCATATGCGAAAATTGGCAGTTGATCATGAATGACAAAAATGTGCAATTTTTGTTTTCAGGGTTAATTCAGTAACTTAAACTACCGTAGAGCCAAGCCAAATTGTTAAAATTGGGCAACCTTTTCGACACAACTTTTTAACTTGTTTTAATTTAAAAGGGAAAAAAAATCAAATTTCAGCTCATATATTTAATCACCATTCCCTGATATTACATGTAGTTAGCCGTGTGGTAGATAGTCACCCGAAGTTGGCAAATAAGTGACAATAAAATGACAGTAATATAATCATTGATGACTTTTTACAAAGGTATTAGAATTTATGATTATTTCAAGGTGAATCTGAATTCTACAAATTTGCTTGTATTTTATTTTGTGATTGGATTACATTTTCCGATCGCATATGAACGCCCAATAACTCCATTTATCAAAATCCTCTTTGTTTTTGTTTCCATGGAGACAAGACTTAGGACTATAGAACCAAATGTTCGCCAATTTTTTTCAAAATTTCTTAGAATTTTCAAGGTAATTGCCAGGTTTCTAGGCCCAAAATTACGCAAGCGAGGAAAAAACAGCAGCAAAGGTAGTTATTAACTTTTGGCAGGTGCTTTGGCAGTTTCTTTGACTGACACATTCTTCACCAACTTTCGCATCTTTATAAACACTGTCTTAATTCAAGCCTCCTGGAACCACCGGCAATATTTCCTTGAAAAGCCTCCCCACCTGCACAAATAACCCGTCCAAATAAGCTACATTAGGCGCATTCAGTTTTCATAAGATAACCCGATAGTCAGTTTAATTGGGCTGTAGCGTTTGCACAAAATTTGCTAAATTGGATCATTACAAAAGACTGAGGTACGGGTGGTGGTGGACAGCGCTCGTCTTGTTGCTCAGAGTGTATATTTTCCAGGCACATAGACTAGGGGACCTCAGTTAAATCTCAAATGGGTGGCTCAGTTTCAGCAGTAACATGAAACTTTACAGTATTTATTCAATAAAAAATATGATAACAAAAAAATCAGAGAGGGTGAACAGATGTAGAGAGCTGGGGCAGTTTTTTCCCTGTCTGACGTAAACCGTAGAGTTCCCATCATTTTTTGCCTCTAATCCATTTCCAACATAAGTCAGATCCTGCTGATGGAGTTTCAAACCAATATTGTAATACAATGATGTTTGGTCAAATGGTATTTTTGTCCATTTTGTATTTCATTCACGTACGTCTCTTAGACTGTTTTCGGCTACCCAACAACAACCAAACATTTGATATGACACACTGATATTTGATTAAGATCTGTTGAATTAATACATTTTCTGTACTTCATTTTTTTCGAACAGTTATAGTTATCAAAATGTAAGACTGAACATAAATATTTAAGTAAGAAATGTCTAAATTACATGTTCTGTTTATAAAATCTGGCATTTGTGACGGGCGAAACTTTCACTATCAAACCCGCGAAAAAGCTGTCTCACAGTTTGTGACAGGTATTCGCATTCGTGCTGGAACTAGCCGAAAATATTTCATCACCTGCACGTTTTCTTAGAAGTCAATAGAGAAGGATGAAAGGCTGATCCCGTGTGCGATTGGGAAGGGGTCTAATTTATGTCACATCATTGTATTCCTCCGCAGGGAGTTTTGTATCCCTCCACGGGAGTCGCAATTAAGCTTCATACTGAGTGTTGTATGCATCTTGAAAGGAGTGTCAGAAAGAAAAGATTTGACATCTAAAATGGTAATTAGGAGGCTAAAGATTCCAATTAAGATGTGTTTATCCCATCGTGTTTTGTACTCCTAAAGTGATCGTGAATTATATCTCTACAATGGATACAATAGTGGGAAAGTGAAGCAATTAGGTGGAAAAGGGGTCTCACATGTATAGAGCGGGTGTGAAAACTTTAATCAGGCAGTAATCCGTATCGTTAAACTGTCTACAGCTGGTTTTTACATTCTAGAGAAATGAATGAATAACGCTATTTGACATGTGCATCAAACCAGACTTTTTTCTTTTCTCTTTCTTTCTTTCTTTTTGGAGCGTAGGGGCGGGGAAGAAGGGGGTGTATTAGTGAAAAAAGAAAGAAAAACTTGCTCAATGTATTCTTTAACACGGCAGATATGCCGTCTTACTCATGCTATTTTGACTCAGATCGAGGCTAGGAGATATCTCATTAAAAGTAACAACACGGTGTGTGTCAAAGTATTTCTTTTTTACGTACGAGAAGCAACAAGAAGCTTTGAAGTTAAATCCCCAACTTAATACAAGTCTGTTTGTTTTCAAAAATACCACTAGCTAAGCCTGTAGGTACCGTTACCTAATTTCGATAACGTCGATAATTCCGTGAATCACAGTGTATCGCCCCCGTAACGTGCCCCTGGCCTTTAAATAATTGTTCGATCGCTAGACAGTCGTCGCTAGGGTCATTCAATCATTTTGCATTTGAACGGATAAATGCGACAATTGTAATACAAAACTATTTACTAGTTTAAAACTTTTTCAAAATGTCGTAAACATATCCTCGCTGGACGCCTCGTCCTGAGCGCTCAGTCGGAGACTATCCCTACATCTTATGATATATACCTGCATATCAGTTCTTTAGTGTACAGTGGCCGAGAAGCAAGGTTCGGGTTACATACATTCCTTTTTCTATATCTATATAAAATTTACCCCCAAAAAATCATCAACCGGGACCTCAATGAAAGTTAAAGAGGAAAACTAGAAAAGCACTCCGAGAGCGCAGACCTCCGCCAAGGCAGCAAAGTCTCCACCCAATGCAGTTTCATCCCTATTCTATAATGATTTAGTTTTTAGATTTTTTATTATTGATTGATTATTGATTGATTATTGATCCGGATCACCACCAAAAACTAATCATCTGCTACTTGGCCCACTCCTGACAGTTCCTGAAATTTGTATCAAAATCGGTCCATAACTTTTTGAGTTATGTTGATGACAGACAGACAGACAAACAAACAAACATACAGGGGTGAAAACATAACCTCCTTGGCGGAGGTAAAAAACAAAAGTTAAAGTTTGAAATAAAAAAAAACGCTGGAGTTTCCTGAAACTGTGGGTGTCTTACCTCAAAGTGTTACACAATTGAAGTTTTTTTAAAAGTTAGGATACATATAAAATACTTGCATAGTATTTTATTTTTATTGACATAAAGCGAATGGTCGCCCATTTGACTTACGTTTTACAAACTTTATTAATATTTTTATTGAATTGACGGGAATCAAAATAGAAACAGTAGGCCTAATTAACACATTTCAAAGGTGATAAATTGAAGTTAATCTTACAATTTAGACTCACATGGTAAAAAATCAGACAGTTTATGTAAAAAAAAAGATTTTTTGATTGCCAGTGTTTTCAGAGAAGTTTACTTCGACACGTTAAGATAATATGTTTGTTGGCGGAGATTTTTTCTTCTTCTTCTTCTTTTCTTCTTCAATTTAAAAGCGTGAGGAGAGCCCATAAAGCCAAAAAAAAAAAAAAAAAAAAGAAAAAAAGAAAAGAAAGGAGGGGGTTATAATCATTAGAAAGCAGGTACAGGTGTAAAACGTAATTTACCATTTTATATGAATATTTGATATCAGTTTGGTTTTCATACCTTGTTGGCTCTATTAGATAAAAAATTGTTAAAAAACGATCATGATCCAAGCCCACTCTTTCACTTATAATCAAGTGCACACGTAGTAATATGTATAATAGTGCAGCTTTTTCATTCATGAATTTTAGTTTCAAAGGTCAGAAATTGGTTTGTTTGATGAGCTTGATATGGTAATTGGAAGTTCTAGACCCTATTAACTTTATATGTACAATATTTCTATATCTCTGCTGATGAATAAACAGAGGTGACAAAGTTTTACTACCATTGTCTTGATTTGAACTGCTTTAAAGCTGTGTTTGAAATAATTAAACAAACACCTTCTTTGTAGCAAATACAAATCAGTAAGATTCGTGAATTTTGATGCAAGGACAGAACATAGGGTGTAGGTTTAGTTATGTCTATTAAATCAGCAACACATATAGGGTTGCGCCATTGACATGTGCATACGCACGTGCATCAGGATCTTTCATATAACCATGGCAGTGTTATTTCTAATGCACGACGTTAAGAAAAGTTCAGTTAAGGTAGCGCAAACCGGCAAAAAAATTAGTGAATTAATTTGCTCCCAGTAGAACGCCACGGACGCGATATGAAAAAAAATTAAAAACACGACGCCAACGGACAAAGGTATAACGGTATATCACGGTGACAAACTACACTTTGGGTAACACTTAATACAAGAGAGATATCGAGAATAATTGTTACTAGTTGACCTCTCAATGGTTTCTCTTGTCCCTAATACTCACTAATTAAACAATTTTCTTTCTAGTGCGCCTTGTTACACGTGTCATAGTAGAGGTCAGAAAAGATACAGAAAAGAAAATTGTTTCATATAATATCTTTGCTTGGAGTTGAAGAACGGCTAAGAAACGCTAGTCGGATTTTTTCTATGTTCCCTTTTTCTATATTCCCTCTTTTGTACGTTTTATTTCATTTCATATAAATCATTGTTCCGATCTATACTTCAGTTATGAAGATAACTGATTCCGCTTACCCAAAAAGAACCCAGCAATCAATCAATTTGTTAATCTGTATACACAAGTACAAGATAATGTTAAACAACGTCTTATTTGCCAAAGGAGTAAGATACCCAGACGAGGTCTATTCAAGCGCCATCTATCGTCAACAGTCCCTCGCACCACCTGTTTGGGAGCTGGCTCTAGCTCTAGCTCACGTCATATTTGGAAGACGATATTCAAAACTCCACTTTGGAGTAAAAAATAAAAAGACGGCGGCCATCCTAATTTCGAGATGAAGAATGAAATAAATTACAACATTAATAATACGGAATAAATCCGGGTTGACATGATAAAAGTTTTTTATCACGTGTAAACAAATGCATCAGTGACATAACTTTTTACTGGAGTTGCAGGGAATAAAGAAAGCAACAAGACGCTTGTACAATAATAAAGTGTGCCAATATGCCACAATCACAATTGACAATTCACGGAAATGAACCATGTGTTCTCAGTGCAAATTTAGTACGAGACAAATTTGAATTGTTCTTCGGTGAACTGAAAGCAATTAAAATTACAAACAAATTTGGTTCTGTAGCGACGGGCACAGCATGCTTTTTATTTCGCGCATTTAATTCTGTTGTTTGGATTAGTTCCTGTTTAAACTTAAAAAAAAAGTGTCGTCCCACGATTTTCAATATTTTTAACTAAATTTTAAAAGTTGTATTCAGTACATTAGCGGCGTGAATAAAATAGAAAATATGAATTTCGTAAATTTGTTGACGAAACATTATAACCTTTTTTGATTGTTTTAGGGTAAGTGGTAAGTTAAAACTATCTTCTTCTCATTCTGATTCATTTTCCTTTAATCTTCTATCTCTAAAATTGGAGACAGACCTTTTCGACGACGTCGAAACCCAAATGCACAGTTCTCCGTTACACATGATAGAGTTGTCAATGTCGAGCAGGGTAGTTGCCTTTTATTGTTCAGACATTGGTCACCGCAGGGGTGTGGTCATCATCGGCTCAAGCTGGCCATCCAATGGTCGCCAGCCTCGATAATCCATAATACAGATTACTGCCAAGCGGGGCAAAATGCCTAATTTCTCCACCGGGGAACGTTAAAATCGGGAACTAGGATAAACATGGTTGAAGTCATTGGAAGTAACTCATGTTGAGCAACCAAACAGCGGGAAATTCGCAGTTCCCGTCAAGTCCCGCAACGTTGATTGACAGAACGTGTTCTCGACGAGAGTTTACAATAGGACGTTTAATCAAAGGCTCAAACAATGGCTAATTACATGGGACGCGCACGCCATTCGAGGTTCCGCCGGCCAGGTTAGCTGTGTGTTGACGGAGCTAGGAATTAGCCGGCACAAAGAAAACAAGGCGCACGTCATTCACGTTACTGGCTATGACAGGGGATTTGCTGAGCAAGAGCATGCTAGTAATTTGACAGTTAGAGTATAAGAGGCATCCCCGCTATATGACATCTTGTTTTGACAGGGAAGACCTGTGGTCAACGCCGAAATTAGAAGTACCACAGGTTAACTGAACTTAAGAACTGATCGGGACTGGAGGAAAAAAAACAACCGACGGAGGCGAGAATTAAATCTGGGTTTCTTATTAAGTTTTGCCAGTTTGTGCAAGACTTTCAAAATTATTTCATCCATCCACTTTGCCAAACGAGGATGAGTTACAGCCTTAACTCTTTTCCACTTTACCCGAGTTGCGCAGCGGACTCGGGTCCAATAGAAGCATCGTACCCAGTCACTCATACAACGGTAACTGACCGACGGAACAACAATCTCACTGTAAACGGACCGTCTGCCCACCATGCTTTACACATGGCAGCGCCGCAGAAATCTTCCTTTGCGATAGAAGAACTATTAGGCCTGGGAGAAGAACCCTCTAACCCCCAAGGAATATTTTTAGGGTCCATGGGACCCTCGCACGGCTTTCACAATCCCCCGCCGTATTCTTCGGCGACATCCCATTACCTGCCGTGTAGCAGTAGTAGTGGTACCTTCCCTTCCTTACAGTCCTCGCACGGGCAGGTGCCCTCTACGTGGAGTCACAGCTATGCTTTTGCTTCACCCTCCAGTTTTCCAGCAGCCAACTCACGAGGAGACGACGGGCAGAGATTGCTCGTTCCCAGTCTGAGGCAACCTTCGGTCTTTACAGGTATTTTTTTATATTTTTTTCTTCTTTCCATCTGTATTGCATATAAAGAAAAAAAAGTGGTAAAAACAGACTGTGAGAAAAGAGCAATAGTATAGCTGTATCTTCTTATTCGATCATTTCTAATAATTTTTTTAAAGTCAATGCATAATAGGCTCACTTCCCTTTTAACCTTTTCGGGCTATTAGATTATATTAGTTTAATCAACAACCACTTTGGTAAACTAATTAGCAGTATAATTTGAGAGCCGAGCTTTACCTTTACTAAGAAATTATCAGTGAGCAGACTTATTTACAAAACACTAAAAGTTTTTTTGCATTTTAGCCACGGTATTTTCAGAATAGTTTAATGAGTACAGATTTACATACAGTTTGAAAAAAAAATTATGTTAATATATGACGTTCACACTTAAAACAGGTCTTCTCAAATATCATGTTCATATGTGAATACGCGACAACAATATAATAAAACATTTAAAGATAAGTTATCCTTATATGTGGGCAATATAAAACGACGCTAAAATCCCCCGGTTAAATATTATGAAAATACGTTAATTTTCATCAACCGTGTTGACAATCGTCAAACTCCCAGAATCCTTACCTCAGTGGAAGACAGAATTATTTTGCAAGAAAATTACAACATGATTCCGCTTTTTTTATTTAAAAATCAAGAGTGCTTATAAATTATGAATATACCTCTCGTTTATAGGGAAATGAAATCCGTTGCTTGTTGTTATAGGGGTAACGACGTGTGCATACGAACCAAAAAATAGATTGTAAAAATCAGATATTTGATACAGAAATCTGTGGGAAAAAAACTTGAAATAAATGTCCTAAATCTTCGGCTGAAACCTAGAACCTCATGAAATTGCTGTCACTAGTGTTCATTCTCCTTTCAAGATTTCAGATACTTACCCCACTGAATGTAAATATTAAACAACGAAAGCCTGAAAATTATGATGCAATGTTTTGACAATCAATTTTAGACTCAGTCATTAACAGTTAATTTTTTTTGCCAGGAACAGAATTTACCAGGGCCCTTAAGTTTCTTTTGGTATAAATAGAAAATACTCTGCACAACCAAAAATTAGAGAAAAATGACCTTGCGTCTACTAGGGAACTGTTTCATAAGATTTCATTCAAGAGGCAAATAACGTTAGGCTTATCATAACTGTTTTACAATGACATATGCCAATATGCAGGTTGTGTTCATAGCAAAATTATAATGAACACTTTATTACTAATGTGGTCAAAATAAACAGCATTATAACTTTACGTAATATAATATCAACAAAAGCATGAGCACTAAAATTAAATTATTGTCCTTTTTTCTGACTTTTTCTGCGCAGGAGGTTTAAATCATTCAACCTTACAATGCAAAATGCTTAACATATTTTAATACCAAATACTTCAATATAAATTTCTGATATGTCAGAAAAGCCCTGCAAACGTGAGAATCAACATTATCAGTACATTCAGCTTTATTTCTATATGCGAAATCCTCAGAGAGACTGCAAAAAATTATTTATTTAATTTCTACAAACCCCTTTCATGGATAGCTACTTATAAGGGTACTGGTTGTTCTCCTTTGGGTTTATGTATGTGTTGAAAAGTAAATGTGTCAGAGTTGCGTGTTATTTTTCCCACCATGGACCTGCCAGTTTAATCCCAGACGTTTCTAGCCCCAGGTTTCTGACATGGCGTTCCGGTGGGCATTATGTTGCGGGCATTTTGCGACAGTTAGGGATCATTACCCTTCCAAAATGCACACAATTACCAACCAAATTGTGCGCAATAATTTACAGATTGAACTATAGAAAGGTGTCACACATAGTTTGAACAACAATTTCTGACCATGTAGCTGAAATTTGTTATTTAACTATTCAAAGCACGAATAATATAGGATGTATAACTTAGAAGGCTTATTTTGTAACCATCATATCTAACCTGTACAATTACTGGGAAATTGGAATTCCAATTAACTATGTGAACAACAGCCATGTAACGATTTTACGTAAGTAAAACGTAATGACCTTGGTCTCTGTACACTATAATCAATTAATTAGAACAAAAATTAGGGGAGATACCAAAGTTTACTTCTTGAGAGAACAAAAACAAATGAAAAGACAAAAATACGCACCAATCATATTTAGACTTATCTTTATTTTCAGAACTACTTTGAATGCGAGCGTCATCGTCTTTTTAAAGGATGATTAATGCAGAGTTTAATCCATAAAAACTATCTGTGAAAATTGTCAAATTATCTCGGATAATTAAAAAACAGATGACCGAGAAAACTCATTAAATTTAATTAATGTATATTTAGGATATAACATTTCTGCAGTTCAAAAGTAAGTTTGTCTGTTGTTTCTGTAATTATAAATCATTTAATTTTAATAAATTGTTTAATTTTAACAGGGCCACCTGAAGGATTCACAGATCCAGGAAACGCGGACAGTCAGAGCGGGAAAAGAAAGAAGAAAAGGCGACACAGGTGAGAGGCCATTTTCATTACAATAGAGTCAATATTCCTAGACAAATATTATGGGAAATGGTTTTGTTGAAATTCCATTGATTGGCATTTGTTTCAAAATATTTCACCTATGTTTTAACAATTTCCACATTACTCGATCCGTAACTGTTTAGATAATTGAATCACCAAAATAAGCATTTAGAATATTCTAATAAAATTGTATACATAGAGAATCTTCGTAGACGTGTAGATATTCGCGTGATTCAATAATACGAAATGCCCCAATTAGTGGTTAGCCGTGATTGCGTAACCTGCCAACTTCTTCCATTCACATCGCCTCCCCTGGCCAGTGATCGGCCTGTCTTGACAAGCCATCAATCAAGTCCTAATCATTGCCGATTAACATGGTAGGATGTAACTCAAGCCGGAAATTCGCAATGGCACGACACCTCAAGAACAAACAAGCAAATATTATCAGTGAAATATTAATGGGATCAAATGTATGAATGAGTGATAGGGACTGCAGAGTGTCCTCCTCGTTCTGTTTGTTTTTATATTCCACTGTCCATAATTCAATTTCATGACATAAGAATCGCGTATTGTACAGACGCTCAGACGCTTTGCTACGAGCAATCAGTTTCCTTGTGTGTTCCACAGATAAACCGAAAAGAAATAATAAGAGAAAACACTATAGATTTATGCTAGTCGCTGGTGATAAAAAAGGCTGAGCATAACAATTAGTTTTTTATAGAAAGTATATCTGTGATTGTAGCTGACGACTTATTTTGAGACTACAGTGCTAATCAATTATCGAGTAAACAAAACTCTTGGCATACAGTGAGGCGATTAACATTTCCCGCAATTAATAAAGGATTATTTTATAATAAAGAAGGAATGTACCTCTGGCACGCCTAATTGACCCACTGTTGGTTTAAAAAATGCATTGATCGAATACCCCGATTTCCAGAGCCTGTTGCAAGCTACAGTATAAATTGCTCACTCGACATCTTTCTTCTTTTTACATGTATCTCAATAAAATGACATTGCTTGGATTTTCTTTTTGTGTTTTCTGTTATTGTAAGGACTTAAATTTCTTTCTACGTTACGTGCAAATAATTATTCTCTTTGTATATTCTACAGATAGCACTCAGTAATCTAGAACAATATTTTCCCTCTAAACGTGATATTTAATAATAATACTCCAACAAAAAAACTAATACTTCTTTGATTAATTAGTTCTAGAGAGTCCTGACGTCTGTCTAATTATGATAAGATTTGCCGGCTATGTAGTATTAGCTCTCTAATCCCAGTTGGCTGAATACCAAAAAAGTTGATCAGCTTGTGAGTTGGCTGAATTTTGAAAATTACTAATCATAATTACACGAAACAGCTAAAATCGTTCCAACTCTGATAATTATCGCGACAGCGCGGTCTTTTTATGCGTCAGATATTAGGCCATTAAATTCGTATTACATTTTGTCATCGTGTCAGCGTTAATGATTTGCGAAGGCCTCGCCTTTTTTCACATTTAAGAATGAACGAAAGTGCAGGACATATCCAACTTCAGTCAACAAATATTTCCACTGTGATTTCAGTAAGTGCATCTGTCCATTATACAATCCCTTCTGGCAAGATGTTGTATGAAGTGCCATTTTTTGTGTGACTTTGGTCTAATAGTCACCTTGTGCGAGTCCTTTTGGTATCTTATTGGCTGAGAAAGTATAAAAAAGTTTTTTTTTTAACTGTACTGGAAAAACTTGGAAGGTGAAACATTGGATAAATTTAGCATTAATTGTGGTAAAATGGATTGAAAAAAGATTTGGTATGAAATTGCGTAAAAGGCAAATAAAAATGTGTTCTATAATTATGTATTGAAAATATTCTTTTTAATATTTTAGTCCTTAAAATTCTTTGAATTTTATTAAATATTTTTGACTGTCTCGTTTAGAATATTTTGAATCTGTGAACATATTCGTTTTTATTTTAAAAAATGCATGATACGATTTCTTTGGGTCTGTGCAAGAAACACGTGGATGTCGCAACGAAAAAATGGGAATATAAAGAACGCCCTTTCTATCATGAATTCAGTCTTGGACATAATAACGTCATTATGTTCGACATTCAGTCAATGGAAATTTGGTTCTCCCATCTAAAGACGTAGAAATGAACGATGACGGGATTATGATAATGAGGATGAAGGCAGCTGTAAATCAAGACAGTAAAATTGTGCTTTCCTTCACGGCGATGATAAATTCGAACTCGACATGTGTTCAAATTTTCATATACAAGGTGATCTAATTCCTTTCATCCTCAACATCGCACGTCGTATCACGGTCAATATTTGATCATATTTATTGCTTTGTTTCCGGTATATTGCACGAACGCAAACTCTGCGAGTGAATCACAGACGATGGGTGTTTGCTATCTCTAATTACACAAAGAACATTTCCTATTTTCCCTCCTTCAGATAACTTAGCTAATTAATCCCTTCGCCCATTGTTTTGATAATTCTTAGCGCATTATCTCCCCTGCGCAAAAAGCAAACTCAATCCGACATTCTTGGCCGGGCGTTACGTTGCATGGCTGTTGGTATTCTATAGCTATCATGGAATAGCCTACTCCAGCGTCTCGGATTATGTCGACTTGAGCTTTGAGTATAGATCGCCTGATGCTGGTCACACTGATAAGAATCAGACTGAGGGTTTTTTTTCTGGAAAGATTTTCAGTTAGGTTCAGAAAAGATGATAATCCGCAATACATTTTGAAAAAGGATGGGTGAGCACTGTTTACCAGTTAAATCAAAATAAAATTTCAATTTTACTTTTCGCTGATAAATGGACTGAGGGGTCTTTCAAAAAATCTTCAGAAGTAACACATGATTAGAAAGCCTCTCAGTCTTTCCAAAGTGACATTTTAAAACTACATGCGTAAAACTGATATGAACCATTACATTGTATTTGTGATATTTATTATACTTATGAATTTGTTGCGCTGATTAGACAAAACAGGAGACCTGGTATTGCATTCATTATCAGTAATAATCCGTTAGGTAAGAGAGAGAAGAACATGGGGCAGAAATAACTCCATTAAACAAATATCCCTGGGTTTTTCGACAATGTTTCCAGTTTTCAGAATTTTTTTCGATTTTTATTAAAAAACGTCACATTCCTGTTCATAACATAGATTGTCAATATCGGTAAGTCCGACCGAAATTCTTTGCGGTTATCCGCAATAAAGAGCTACCGAGCGTAACTTTGTATTAAATTTTTAACTGCTCATGTTGTTTAATTTTTTTACAAAGAAAGCCTAAACTCGGAATATTTTAACGACATTAATTCACGCCCAATACCTTCTAAGGCGGGCACTTCATAGTATTTCTTGTTGCGATTTGAAGTCAACAAAAGCAGTGAGTTCAAAGACAAAGCAAAGCAGTTCTCACTGTATCATTCTAAACAACAAATATTTGCATCATTTCAAATAAGCCGCTTCACAAACAGCTTTCTCCTTGTAATACTGCATATAACGGCGGATGGGATTTATCAGATTCACCTATTGCAGCTAGAACAGCCCTTCTGTACGATACTCACCTTCTTTAATTTCTTATGTTCTATTCATTTATGAATCTACCTAACTATTTATTTATTTATTCATGCATTTACTCATTTATTTTTACGTATATCTGAACATTTTCGCAAGTACATACTGACGCGTAAGATAGAATATTCATTTATTTGTTCGTTCGTCTGTTTGTTAGTCTGTTCGTTTGCTCATTTAGTATTTACGTGTTGGTTAAAAAAACTATTAAACCTTTTTAGCCAAACATCAGTTTATTTGATAAGAAATCATTACGAGTCTGGCGACAATATTTTGTGGTGTACAAAAAGCAGCATATATTGATTTTAACAGAGACATCAACGACCTCGTTCCATTTGTATTTTAGGACCATTTTCTCCACGCCCCAAGTGGACGAACTAGAGAAAGCGTTTAAGGACGCCCATTATCCAGACGTCTATGCCAGAGAAGTTTTGTCGCTAAAAACCGATCTTCCAGAAGACAGAATACAGGTGAGGAGGGCATCCTTGATAGAATTTGTGTGGCAGTGTCCTTCGCTTTACAGATTTCTGAAGATAAAAATAATGATGCGTCTTTTCCCTAATTCCCTAATAATAGCAAGATGTTTCTTTAACTCAACAATATATTTCTCTTTCACAGGTCTGGTTTCAAAATCGACGCGCAAAATGGCGAAAAACCGAGAAGAAATGGGGCAAAAGCAGTATCATGGCAGAATATGGTCTGTACGGGGCAATGGTGAGACACTCACTGCCACTGCCAGAAGCCGTGATCAAATCTGCGGAAGAGGAGGGAGAAAATAACAGTGCCCCTTGGCTGCTAGGTGAGTTTTAATAAGTTTATGTATAGGGCCACTGTTATTGCTTATTGACCTTGTAAATTTGATACATATAATTGAGTAATTAATAATGTGCAAATTATGCTATCAAAACGTAATCGTAATTTGATTGTGAACCTAAATTATTATGTTTTTTTTATTAAACGTCGAAAAAAACTTTTCTCTTGAACATTTTGATTAAACATTGCATTCATTGGAGTTTCCGAGGAATACAGCAGTGTTGTTGAATATTCTTCAGGGATGCACAAAAAATCGGCGGAGGTTAATTCGTCAATGAAAAACGAGGGAGGTGAAAGGCCGGTCTCCATAGCAGATAAAGACAGTTTTCGAACGGAGAGTATTGCAACACTGCGAGCCAAAGCACAAGAATACTCAGCAAAAGTAGTCCTTGACGCTCGCGTGGAGGACGATTCTGAGGGCAATTCGGAAGACAGTAGGGACACTTCACTCGAATCTCAACCGTCTCGAGATGATCTGAATTTATAAGAAGAAGAATTAATTTTTAGAATTTTTATCCAAAGTTTATATCTTTGTGGGGATAATCACTGACAGTTGACAACACCAAGACCTGCTAAAATAAAGCACGATATTGTTACTTTTGTAGTAAATGGAAATATGCATGTATGATCAGCGTGTTCTCGTGGAGCTATCGAGCTCCAAACTCGATGCTGATGCTTATGTTGATGCTCCATACTCTTTGATATCTTTTAATATAGATATCTACTTTTGTCCCCTGTGAATATGTCACGTGGGAAGTTACTTGCATCTGTTAGTTTTAAAAGTGTNGTAAATATCCATGTATGATCAGCGTGTTCTCGTGGAGCTATCGAGCTCCAAACTCGATGCTGATGCTTATGTTGATGCTCCATACTCTTTGATATCTTTTAATATAGATATCTACTTTTGTCCCCTATGAATATGTCACGTGGGAAGTTATTTGCATCTGTTAGTTTTAAAAGTGTAATTTTAGGGCAAAGATCATTTTAACTCTTTCAACGCAGACTGTCCTAAAGAAATACATGTATAAGTGTAAGACAATGACAATTCCACGCACTACCTCTTTAATTAAGCCTCGGTTGCTTTTTTTTATGTTGATCTTGGTGTCTGCAATTCCCATCATCCCTCTGTTCAACAACGCAGTCCCCGTTAAAATTAGACATTGAGGTTTCCTAGATTATGCACTAATAGTTTTTATCTGCTATGAGCGTATGCTCCAAAAGCGTCGATCGCTGTTTGTCTGTAGCAGACGACCTATTGTTGAATTATTTATACCTGTTTATAAGATGTTGTGTAATATAAACCAATATTTATTTATTAAGTTGTGCGTGATGCTTTCCCTTTGTCACCAAAAGTTTTATCATTGCCGTGAAACCATTTGTTTCGTGCATTTAGAATTATCCAAGCATCAAGTGCCAGCTAATGATATTAGGTAGAGTCACGCCTAGCATTCCAAGGTAATATACCAAGCTCTGTCACCAACACTGAGTCATTTTCAAGTCACGCTACACTGTTAGTCTGTTATAAATTATGTTGATGCTCCATACCAACTTTTGTCACTGGATGTTCATCAATAGGAATTGCACAGTATTACGTTTAATGATGCTTAAAATTTCTGAAAAAAAAATATTTTGAGTTTGATATGGCGAAGGTGGAAGTCATTACGCATCCCTCTGTTTTCAAGCGTGATGAATGCGCCCAGTGTCAGTGCAGCTAAAACAATACATTCTAAGTAATCGGCAGTGAAATGAAATATTTGTGTAGATCGTTGCAATTGATAAGAAAGTGTTTTTTCTTGTTTGGATATTCAGTTGTATATAAAGATGTCACTTGATAATTTTTTACTTCCGAGAAAGAGTTCCTTTACCTTAGTTATCTACATGTATCAATCAAATATGTATGAACTTTATCTTGCCAAATGATACGTAAGTCTACCTCCTTGATTAACTGGAAATACTGTCAATGAATAACAGAATAAATATACTTAAAACATATCTTACTATTGCAATGTGATGTGTTTGATTCTTGTGAGGCAGTGACCATTCAAAAATTACATCAAGATATAAAAATCGTTCAGGTGAAGAATTATTTTAAAAATTATCCCTATTTGTTCATAAACGAATTCTTTATTGCGTTTTAAGGAAAGTGTTAAGAGAATTAATGGTAGGCTATTATTCACAGATATTTCTCTGGGCTTATTCTGTACACATTTCTGTACAGTAAGAATTTTTTAGCAAATAAAGAAAATGACGCCATCACCCACCTGGCCTCTGGTAGAAAGTAGTGAATGAATTTTACACAGGGCATAGCATTTTAAGTTAGCTAGAAAAAATAAAATTAACTAGAAAAGCACTCAGAAAGCGCGACCAGCGCCAAGACAAACAATTCATTAATTAACAAATCATCACCAAAATATAATAATTTCTTCCATGGGCCCTTCTTGACCTATCCTGAAAATTTCAACGAAATTTATTTATTACTTCTTGAGTAGTGCTGTACAGTACACAGACAAACCCACTAATGGTTACAAAAAGCATTACCTCCTCCGTTTTCGGAGGTAGGCCTACATGTTATAAAATGGTTTTGATAGTAAAAGTAAATTTAGATCGTTTTATTATAGATCTAACGTTAGAAATCCCTGATGCTTTGTAAACCAAAATTTTCTTTCAAAATAATTATATGATACTGTGCATAGAGTTACAATAACTTTGATGATTTTTCAGATTTGTTTCGGAAATTTTGAAAAAAAAAAAAAAAAAAAATTAGAACCTAAAACATCTATTGGTCTTACCTTGCAAAGATCAATTAGCTGCGCCACCTAACGACGAAGTAGAAAACTACAGCTGTTTACTTCCGTTTTCCCAAGAACACACAGTGTACCGGTACGTGGGGATGATCGAGAGGCATTCACAAAAACTGTGTAAACTTAGATATCACTTGTGAGTTATTGAAAGGCCATTTTACTGAAGAAGATTGTATTATTTCTGTGAGTACGTGCGCCCTTACTTGCTTTGCTGGCGAAGTTTAAAGAGAGGGAGAGAGAGAGTTGGGGGGGGGGGGGGGGGACCATTTGTTGGGATATAGAGTATGTGTGCAGCACTGCCAGCAGTCAGCAAATCATTGAGTGTTGACTTGTTATTTATTTCCATGCTTCCATTTGCCCATAGCTTTGCAATGTTCCAGTGATAAGAACACATAAAACACCATGTGCATATATTCATTTACTGGTACTGGTCATGGGTAGGTTAATTACTACTGTACATTATCATAGTTGTACCAGTACATGTACATCATTGTACTGAACTGGTTTAGTATGACAAGTGTATTAAAGCTTATGTAATGTTTTATAATTTCAGGGCAAAAATGTCAGATCCTCTTCTAGACAGATACAAGGCATCAATGGTATTGAGTGGTGTCGGAGATGCCATGGGATATAAAAACGGAAAATTTGAATTCAACTTTGTAGGTGAAGATATCCACAAGGAAGTGAAGAAGCTAGGAGGGATCAGTAAACTTAAAATAAAATGTAATTTTGCAATGTTAGATGTACTAGTCATCTTTGTCAGAAAATATGATTCGCTCTTTTTCTTCAGTCAAATTTGGTATTTTAGCTATGGTAACTTACAGTAGTTCAGTTATTTTGTCTGTGGGGCTACATTTTAACTGTTGTACATACTATATATGGAACAAAAAAAGTATTCTGTCATTGTCTGGTTCAATCAAGAACACGGCCCAGGATGTTGATATGTACAGTCATTATATTTTCCTCTTCTAGCAGTTTCAAGAATGTTTTAATTTTATTAATCAACATATTAGACATGGGTACCCTGTAAATATGTTTGTAACATTGTATATGCATTACTGTTATATTATTACATACTAGGGTATGTACATGTACATGGTGTATGGTATGAACATTTAAATTCTAGTGCCTGACTGGAGAGTTAGTGATGACACAGTTTTACACCTTGCCACTGCTGAATGTGAGTATAGCAAACTTTAGGTGCATCATTCATATTAATTTATTAATTTTAGTTTAAGTGCACTGTAAAATAGCCAAAACAAGTCGCTCTTTGGCTCTTTATTATTTTGTTGAGTACAGATATGGCAGTTTAGTTTGTCTGCCATTAGCTGATTGAAGTGCAAAAAGATGGTAATGCTAAATCAAAATATGTTAAAATGTTCAACATTCAAAAATAATTTCCTTCAAGTTTTTCAAAATCTCACCTTAACCAACATGCAAGTAATAATTTTGATATATTTCAGCTCTTGCAAGAAAGAGTAAAAATGGCGACAAAGAGGCTTTGTATCTGGATATTGCTAAGAGTTACAAGGAAGGAATGCATGATATGAGTGGCAGAGCGGCAGGTACATTGTAAACCAGTTATGAACTTCTCATATAAAGGAAATAGAATTTCCAGCAGTTGCGAGATTTCTTATGGGCTGATTAATATGTAACCTTTAATTAGTATGTAACACAGTGTTTTCCATGTGGTGACAATAACCATGCATGCAGTGTTTAAAATAAGATGTGTCCAATTGCTATAGAATTTTTTTTCTGTTCTCTTCCCTAGTTATTTTATTCCAAATTTGTTTGATCCAAGAACTGCATTGATAAGTGCTGGTAAACTACATATACTGAAAGTAAATCATGGAGCTGTTTCTTCACTTGTTTGTTGAGAAAAGTGCAATGTTGTTTTGGTCCATTGTTTATTAGAAAAAAACTTATGACTGAATAACAATGTCTAAATATTCATTAAGCTTTTTCTTTGGAATAAGAATATGTTCTTTTCTTTAACTTTCAGGTCCCACAACAATGCAGGCGTGTTCACAACTACGCCCAGAGAGACCTAAGGGATATCAAGTGCCTTTCAACACAAGGTACAAAGCATTCATCACACTCACCCATAGGCAGTACCAGTGTGCTAGTTTATACAGTGGCTACACTCAGTATCAACAACCCTTATCACTGTTATCAGCCATTGTAAATACTAGCATTCTGACACTTTGGGAGTTTGTGAGTTTGCACGAAACCAATTATAAATATTATTTTTGTAAGTTATTAAATTTTCAAGATGTTACACATTTTAAACTTATAATTCACATTGTGTCACCTGTCTCTAAACTGCTGGTTATATAATTATTATAAATAATTAATTTTAAGCGCATCATGTGGATATCCCTTAGTCCCCTCCCTCTCTCTCTCTCTCTCTCTCTCTCTCTCACACACACACACACACACACACACACACACACACACACATGCTGTGACCAGGGTGGGCATAGTGATACACACACTATGAAAGGTGGGAAAACATAAGGATTACCATTGCTGGGCTTGGTGAGCTTAGCTAGGTCAGGCTATACATACTGTAGAGAAAAGGGCACATGGACTATCAAGATACAACATGTAGGTCAACCTGACCATCTTCAATGTAAATATGACTTCATATTCTTAACAAAGACTACAGCATATCAACCTGTGTACAATGTAAATATAACTCCAAATTATTAATAAAGACTACAACTTGGAGGTCAACCTTCCTTCAATGTTAAGTAACTTCTAGATATTCTTAACAAAGACTACAACATGAAGGTCAACCTGTCTACAATGTAAATTGACTAATAGATATTCTTAACAAAGACTACAACTTGTAGGTCAACCTGTCTACAATGTTAATTGACTTCTACATATTCTAAATAAAGACATACTATATATTCTATGTGCTATATTCCAGGGGAGGAGGCTGTGGAGCTGCTATGAGGTCAATGTGCATTGGACTTAGATACCCAAGGTGTGTACTTTAAATTCTCATTTTTAGAGGATGGAATGTTTAAAATTCTGGTTACCTAATCAGTTATCACTGAGCTTTAAAAGTAAAAACAAACAAACAAACAAAAACATATTTGTTTCAAACTACATTATTTCTCAAACTTTTTTTTCCATATTGTTTGTGTACTGAATCTTGGCTTTAGAATTCCTTCTTGGTTGTGTAATGAGTGATCCAATACTGACATTTGTTTAGACCCGAGGATCTGGATGACCTGATTGCGGTGAGTGTAGAAAGTGGCCGAATGACACACAACCATCCTACAGGATACCTGGGCTCTCTGGCATCTGCTCTCTTTACAGCTTATAGCATTCAAGGTGAGTTACGTCTCATCCTACAGGATACCTGGGCTCTCTGGCATCTGCTCTCTTTACAGCTTATGGCATTCAAGGTGAGTTATGTCTCATCCTACAGGATACCTGGGCTCTCTGGCATCTGCTCTCTTTACAGCTTATGGCATTCAAGGTGAGTTATGTCTTGTCAGCATGTTCTTCGTCTTTATGTTCATTTCAACACAATCATCTTCTGATATAAACTAAATCTTCACAGTGTATAGCATTCAAGGTGAGTTATATCATGTCAGTGTAATCGATTGATTGATCATCAGCTTTGTGTTCGTTTCAACTGATTTTTACCTTTTTTGAAAATGTGTGATGTAATATCCCTCTCCCCAATCCCCCTCAGAAAATTGCACGTATGTGCTTATATTGTTTCATCACTGAAGATTTGTGAGAATTATTATTATTATTATTTATTGACAGTTAGTGGATGACCATCTCAGATGTGAGGGTCAGTGTATTAATTGCCTATTTAACTGCTGATTACAGTTTTTTTAGGTACAGAGATATGTTTTTACTGATCATGAGACAGACAGCATTTAACTGAAACTCTTTTAGGTAAACCAGTGAATTCTTGGGGCGCTGGATTGATGTCAGTACTTCCAAAGGCCTTGAAGTATGTGGAATCACAAGAAATAGATGTGGCAGAAAACCAAGAACATTGGTAATGAGAAATGGCAAATTCTCTCAAGTATACTTGCAAAGCATTTAGAACTCTTTAAGTTACTCTCATATGTCACAACATTTGGGTTTTCAGTTTATTTAAAGTAAGATACAACAAGAATTTATTTTCTATGTAGTATTGATTATAGGTAAGACTTTCTGGTAACATATTACACGTTATGATGACGGTTGTTGTGCGCCTCTTTATTATATTTAGTGATGTGAAAGTGTTGGTTGTCTTTTAATACTACATGTATGTATATAAATTTTCATTCAGGGGTTATTTTACAAGAAAGTGGGAAGACTACCTTAGAGTGAGAGGAGTTACAGATGGCACAGCAGATCCCACTTTTCCTGAAGTATATGGGGTTAAGGAGAGGGATGAATTCTATAAATCTTGGAGTTTTGCTGGCTGGGGAGGAGCTAGTGGACATGATGCACCACTGATTTCGTAAGTCTCAAAAATAAGAAGTTTGGCAAACACGGAAAAGGTGTGTCATAGAAAACGTAAATGCTTAAAAAAGATTGCTTTTATTAAGCTGTATATTTACAGATTAATTCGAAGTTTTCTCCCTTTTTTTGGCCTTATTTCCTTTCTTCTTAACATGTATTTCCAATATTTATAATTAGTATTAATTGGATAATTATATATTTTTCAGGTATGATGCTCTACTTGGTTCAGGCAATTCCTGGGAGAAATTGTGTGAGAGGTTAGCTATTGCACATCACTGGCAGAAAACAGATAGTGTGGCAAAATACATCTTATAAAAATCATCTTATATATTTATTTAATAGCCCTGTTTGATTGGATGGGCCAGTTTCTCAGTGTTTTCAGTAATGTAATTGGAGACACGATTTGAGACACCGTGCACCTGCACCCAATGTATTTCTTCCACCATCCAGTGCTGGTGTATTTGGGTATAATAGTTTTGGAGAACAGGTAACCTGTAACAGCAGGCTCCTAGAGCCCATTCCCATTCTATGAAGATCAATCTAACTCCTCAGGGACTCTCGCTGAATGCAATCAAATTAACTGAATGACACACCTTCTCTTGTTCCTGATGTACTCAAATAATCACTAGTTTTTCTTAATTTTACTTAACGCTAAGTGGAGGCATGTTAAGCTTATAATTTTATTGCATTTAGCAAGAGTACTCGCAAAGTTTGATCCATGTACACAGAACAATAATTTCATTGGGAATGGACCCTCACAAATGTTCTATTATGACAGTATCATGTTTAATTTCAGGGCCATGCTTCATGGTGGTGACAATGACAGCACAGGGGTGATAGCAGGTGCTTGCTATGGTGCTATGTATGGTTTTCAGGGGGTACCAGAAAACCACTACAAAAAACTAGAATACAGAGATAGACTGGAGAAGGTAGCTGAACAGCTGTATCAACTGGCTAATAACTGACTCATTTTCCAAAACAATGAAGAATAGATAAAGGGGGTTGTAATTTTATTAATCCAGGGTAAATGATTATTATGCAGTGAACACTAAATTTGTAAGTGTTGTGATCAGAGACAACCAGATCAGACACATTGGATAATATATTAATCAGATTTTTTAAAACAAATTTCCAATTTTTAGCCAAACCATTTATAAATTGGTAATGATAATGAAATATTTGTCATTTCTTATGCCAAAGTAATTTGGTCAAAATAGACTGCGGTCAGTTAGAAAAGAAAATTGGAGAAGAGGGTTAACTAACAGAATGAAATTTTAATTTATTAAAATAAACAAGACATAAATTGTAGAACCAATTTAATTTCATTATTAGATGCAACATACCTGATCATGATTTTCAAATAATTAGTAGAGGTAACTACAAATACTGTTCAAATCGAGTAGTAGACAGCTGATGTTCTGGGTACTGTGATATTTTTAACTACACAATTAGTATTGCACTGTGGATAGATAATGTGTATTTTATTGAACAAGTTTACAAGGTACTATCTTTGAACACGAATGTTAATATTTCTCTTTTGAGAATATCAGTAATGTCCACACAAGAAGAATATCACTTCACAAAGTAATTTGTAACACAGCAACTATGACACCTGAACAATTGTTAGCCCAGAATTGTTCATTTGACCAAATTTATTTCTCTGTCCACTATAATCTGTGATAAATAAATATTTATATTTGTTTTTACAATGGTATTTTACACATTTTTAATGACCAACTTCCAGATCATGTTTTAGTTGAGATAAAGGTGTAATTTAATCTTTCCTCGTTTTGCTGAAATTTTTGTAATTAGTCATGCAATATACATGACAGGGCTCTGTCAGATTGTATTTTGATAGGTTATATTTACAGTAAATAAAGTAAAATGCTCTTTTTATGATTAGTGTGGAATTCAGATACCACTGGAGTTCATTCTCTGTAGATGATTTAGAAAGGATTAATCCAATCTGAGACAGAGTGCTACAGTGAAATTATAAGTGAAATAAATGTGTACTAAACAGAAGAACAGACTTTTATGTTTTGTTTTGTTTTTTTTCATTAAAATAGCACAAATTTTGTCCTCATCCAACAGTTTCACAGTGATCAGATATTGTTAGAAAAAAGAAGCTTGTTATGGTTGTGGAGAACTGTCCCTTGTACATCTACATCAAGGGTGCATCTGTATGTAAGTTTTCTTTGAATTTCGGAAATGAAAATAAATAAGAATAGTGACTTTTATGCACATTTTATTATCAATTTAACTCAAAAGATTCATCTGTCTTTGATTTTTTTTACTAACCAGCAGTACTGTTAAGTATAAAATATGCAATTACTTTGCAGAAAAAACATTTCAAGATGAGGGTTCTAATATTTGTTTTATTTAAAAATTAAGAAAATGTTTTCAGTGTGGATGTTGTCAATTTCAGAATACCAGTTTATTAATGTTTCTTCTAAAAATTTTAACAACACACAATCTGGTCTTACAAAAACTCTTTTATGTGCCTGCCAATCATTTTTGCTCTGCTCTGAGACTTCACATCCATAATCAAACAATACACATACCTGAAGGGCCATGGAAGAAAAAAAAAAAGCTCACATGATTTCAATTAAGTCCTCTGCAGCAAATAATACAATATTTTTAAAATGTACATTTACAGATTGTACACACTGTCAATTCCCATTCTGCAACCCATTGCTCCAAGTCCCTATTTAGCATGTTTGTCAAACAAAACTACCAGTCGGTTTCCATCAAGTCCCATAAGTAATTGACAATGAAGAACTGTGAATTCTGCTTGCTGTTCATAGAAAAGGGCTTCACGTCATGTTTGTTGCATAAATCTGAGTAATTGTTAAGGCTCAAACTACAATTGTCAAAATAGCGATGTAGTAATTTAAATTAAATGGTCAGTAATGAATGTCTGCAAAGATCTCACTTACGTAAATAACTAAAATGTGTTGTATATTTTTAAGAATCTGCCTTCTTTTGCACCATGTGTTAGACCCCGTTCCCATAGATTCTAGATCGATCTAACCCTGTGGGGAGTCTCACTAGATAACTGTCAGCTTAGCCGGCTTAAGCGTCTGTCCCGCCTACTAAAAGCTGTAAGGGGGTAATTAACTATGGTGTGCGCTCGGCTGACTGCAATTTAGAGTGAACCCCCAGGGAGTTAGGTCAATCTAAATCTCTGGATCGATCTAAACCTCTGGGAATGCACCATTAGTGATTATGATTAATTTAGGTTATAAAGGATACATCCCTTGATTTCATCTGGCTCACAGTCATACTGCCACCGTATATTGCTGATACTGTGGTACAAATTGACATCATGCCTAGGCAGTTAGAAAAAAAATATCATGAGTTAATAAAAGTACTGCATAAACTTTATCTGAATGAATAAGATATTGTATCTTGTCTTTTCTCTATGAAATGTGCATTTTTTTGCATGACAGTCTGATCTTTAAATTAAATTAAAATAAATGTTATAAAATTAAGTGAAAATTAATGCTTACAGTCTCATTTGCATAGATTTTCAGATTCAGTGTATTATTGGGGTAAGATTAGAAAAAATACATTATTATATTATTGCCCCGTATCTTTTCAGATCACAGAGAAAAGAATATACCTCAGTTTTGGCAGGGCCTCTGTTGTTTTATGCTTCACTTGTTCTTTCTTTGCCTCCACATCTTCCTTCAGACTTTTCATCTGTTCTATGTTCCCCTTTGTGGTCGCCAGCTCCTGGGCCACGTGTGATTTGTGTTGCTGTGCCTGTTCCATCTGTGCTGCTAATTCCCCCATCCCTTTGTCTAAAGCTTCATCAGACTGGCTGCCTGCAACTAGGGATTCCTCCTCATCAATCATGGTTGATAATGCTGGGGTAGTAAAAAAAATGATTGGCTATTATTTTATAGATAATTGATTAGAACTCTACTGTTCGTTCAAGATCAAATAATGTTGCTGGGTTTCTTGCAAAAAATAGAAATACCTCCAATAGTCATAAAAGGTTGCTTATGATATGTCATTTTATGTGCAACTATTTTTTTAATTTCATTTCATAAATTCATTTTTCATTTGTATGTATTGAAAGTAAGAGAAAATTGTTTTTAATGATGTAAGAACAGTAAATTACACAAAAGCTGTAAGAAAAATGGTGGTATGAGAAAGGTTGAAAAAGAAAATATACAATAGGCAAAATCACCATGAATATCATTCCTAATTGCTTCCTCCTGGGCTCTTCTTAGCTGGTTGATCTTGTCTACAATTTCTCCAGCAGCCTGTAGTTTTGTCAGCTCCTCATCTTGGTTCAATACAGTGATTAACTCACTGACAATACTCCTGGCTTCCTCTGTTCCAGGCATTATTTATATTCTTCTAGTGGCTGTGAAAATTAAAAAATGCAAAATGGAAAAGTGCAAGATAGAGTGTTTTGATTTGTTGGGCTTGTGAACAGGATATAGCTGGCATGGGCTTTTTTATTAATGGATAAAAATAATATTTGAAAATTGGAATAATAATAATAATAATTTCATTTCACCAGTCTGTCACTGATTTTACTCCATCTTGAGAACATTCTAAAAAATAAAATCAACCTTTAAGGACAGAGCATTGTTTCTAGAGACAGGTAGCTAAATTTGGGATTGCATGATCATAGGTCATAAACCTAGTGTAGTTCTTAAAATCAAGATTATCAATTTTTAATGATTATTATCATTCATTGAGCATGTATACGAGCCCATCTACGCAGTTTCATTTAACAAAAACAAACATGCTCTAGCCTTATTATTTTTTCATTTGTAGTAAAGTGCAAGACCCTGTTTATTGTTACTAGTATTAGTGTAAAGTGCTACAGTGTACATTGTATGGGAAAGTCGAACACACATTACAAAGCCTGGTCCCCTTCACTTACAAAGCTCAAGAATATCGACTTGTGCAGAAAATGACAATGAGCTTTTAGCCACGTCGAGCGTGCTTTGAACTAAGATCATTCGATAAAAGCACAAACCCTAGCAATTAGCACAGTAAAGAATGTACTGAAGACATATTTATAAATGTATTAGAATTTAAAGCCGAGGTGGCATTGGCATCATTTGACACCGTCACTTTTCAGAAATTGGGATGCTAAAGAAAACACAAGCTAACTCGCCCAACATGCGCTTGGATAGCTCAGTCTTTTCCTGACTCTTTCAGTTAATTTATATTAAGTTTACCTAACACATAAGTTTTCTCACAGCTCTCATTTTCAGAGATACTCACATTTTGATCGCAAACATTTACCTGTTTCGAAGCTGGCGCTGTATTTTCTAACCATGTCTTTCATTGGTTACCTGAATATAATCCAATGACTATTCGTTTCTTACTCACTCGATGTGAATTTCCTTGTACATTCCATGTGTAAGACTCGTTTTCGGCATAGCATTTTCTCAAAGGGTTGAAACTCTCAAACGAGGCTATTCATGGTTGTACAATAGCCTCATTATCGACTCAAAGTCAATAAGAGGCGGCAGAGTCATTCAGTGTGAGATTTTATAAACGAGGCCATTGTTTGGAAAGGTTATTTTGTTAATGAGTGCCACATGAACATAGTGTCAACTTTGAACTCTTCCGTGTTGACTCCAGATATAAAATGGGAATTTCTTCTACCTCGCTATTCACAGCCCAAAGATAATCTTCACCAATATGTCTGAACACGGGGCAATTTACACAGAGGTCCCAACAAACAGGTAAGTTTAATACAAGCTTTCAGGAGTCATTTAATACTTTAAAGTAGTACTACGATTGTTGTCCTTGAAACCATTTACATGTAACATGAATCACTGAATTTTTTGTTAACTGGAAATATATTTCACTATTTGCTGTTGTTACCTGTGATCATTTACCTGTGTTCATAGATAAACACCCTTATCATAATATGACATGTCTTATAATATTTTCGCAAAAAATGTATTTAAAATGAAGAAAAAGAGAGCACCTTAAGACGTACCGTACATGTACTAAACAAAATAATGAATACCTGTGCGTTTATTTACATTTTAGTAGGCCCAACAAGCCCACTGCCCTTCAACATGTTGGTGACTTTGCAAACATGGTCAAGGCATTTATTGGCTCCAACTACCTTGCTTTGCCTTTTGCATTTAGTCAGAGTGGACTTGGTGTAAGTACCTGTATAGTGTTTGAATGTTTTTCTCACTGTAACAGTAAGATGTGTGTATGTGTATTTGTGTTGTGTGTGTTTCTGCTTAAATTGAGTATTAACAACATATCTGAATTTACTATATTTCATTATACTTTACTGATCATTTAAAAGTAATTTCACAGCTCATTGTAAAACAGAAAGATTTAATATGTACTGTAGTAAATTAAATGTTTCTATCATTTCAGTTTGGACTTGGTGGCTTACTTATTATTGTTGCCATGACAGATTACTGTTGTCAGCTATTAGTCAAAGTAAAACATATTGTGGTTAATAATATAGTTGACACAAAAAGAATTCAAGAAAAAATTGAAAGAGCCTCAAGTATAGCAAATGCATCCACATCATCTTCGTCATCGTCTTTTACTTCATCATCGCCTGCAGCATCAAATACAGCAGAAGAGGATGAACTAGCCATTCATGCTTTTCACCAGCAAGTTGCTAAATCACTCAGCTATCAGGATATTGGACGTATAGTCTTTGGAACCCCTGGATCAGTAATAGTACAAATGTGTTTGCTTCTCACACAATTTGGTTTCTGCATTGGTTACTTTGTGTTTCTTGGTAACACTATTTATTCTATGTTCCCAGTGAAAATAGTGGAGAATAATTCAAGTATGCCAGATATAAATGTTACCCAAAGTTTACCACAATTGGTAACTGTATTACCTGGATTGATCACCTCTACATCAGAATCCATTCAAAATGGTTCCATGGGATTTTATAGTACTCGTAGTTCATTGAACAGTCAAGTTTACAGCAAACCTAAGACAGAGACAATAAGGATATCATCAACTGTTTCAGCAACCACACAGGCATACCAACCCACCAGTTTGGGGACAACCAGAACACCCAATACACGGGGAACACAAACAACCTTTACAACACCTAAAATTTTTAACAGCAGTGATAATTCTGAACACCAAACCATTATGTCAAATTCTTCTGAAATATCTCATTTATTAGAAATGACAGAAGGAAAAGAAGGAAAAATTTTAACAGATGCAAACTCTAGTATGGTAGCAGGCAGCAGCCCAAGTTATGTGTCTGATGACAATGTCAATGATACAACCAGTGACTCTAGCATTAAAGCAGGTGGTAATTTCAGTGTTGTTAATGGTAGTTCAAGTGATACTTTCACACAGAATAGTAACTCCAGTGACAGTTTCACCCAGAATAGAACCAAGAGGTTTGTGGAAAATATAGATGACAGAAGGGTTACAATTCCCATATATTTGCGTCAAGAGACCATGTCCAGCCTTACGAGCAGTGCCACCATTGGGAACCAGACAGTAATCAGCACAGCCCCTGCCTTGCAATACCTAGTGTTGGTTCCTGGACCTGTGTTCATCTTCTTCTCATGGATCAGACACGTGAGGAGTATGGGGCCTATCAGCCTTATTGCTAATCTAGCCATCTTTGCAGGGTTTGTGTCTGTGCTCTGCTATTTGATTGTAGGTATGTTAAAAGATTTGGGCTTGACATTGCTTGTGTTAGTCGATTTTTTTTCAAGAAGCATGCCATTTTTAAGGGTGCATTTTGGTTGATCATGTACAAAAATTTATGTATGATCACTTCCTTACACCAGTCCTCATTCTGTTTGGAATTAATTTTTTATTTAATTTTGTTTGTGTGGAATTTAAAAAAATATTTTAAGTGATAAGTGTAAATATAAAAGTCGTCATTGTAAATGTAAAAAGGCTATTAAGACTTGTGAGCTTATAGATGAATACAAGGTCATCTTTCTGTTTGTTGCCCGCATTTCTTTTGCATGTTTGTTGGTATTTTGCTGTAGATAAACAGCTCTTCAGCTGCTTTCCTTCTCACTTATTTATGATTTCATAAGCCAAACCTTAAATAATTTATACCATGAAATTGATTTTCTGGAAATTGATGATAGGTAATGATATAGTGTCGTCCATGGGAATAGTGTTACATAACTAAAAATAACTTTTGTACAGTATCTGTCATTTTATTTGTTGATATAATCTTAAAATGTTTTTTTTTTCTTATAATGGTTATTTTACAGCTGCATAAAATAAAGTGCATTTTTGGACTAGCCATTTAAGGGCATACAGTACCTTTCTGTATCTCCTAAAGTATCCACAAGATCTATCATTTTCTTCTTTATTTTCTTTTTTTTACTGGAAGTAAATTTTTATTTCAGGTTTCACAGTATCAGAGAGTGTAGTGTGGTTCAAACTGGAAACCTTCCCCATCTTCTTTGGTCAGGTGACCACTGCATATGAAGGAATTGGACTCGTAAGTAGAATATCCAACACAAACAAAAACACCACTTACCCACATAGGCTAGTAAACAAGTAAATTTCCCCACTGAGATTGTAAAAAAATGGTGACAAAGGTTTTTCAACTGATTCCAGTTCGTTGAAACCCCAATATAGTGAAAAAATTTTCTTCATGACCGCACCCTGTCAAACAAAATGTCATGACTACCATACTTGTATTCATGCAAGTGTTTAGGCAACTATTTTATCCCTGTGTAGAATAATATAACAAAGATCACCATTGACATCATACCTGAACCCCTGAAAGTGAACCTTCAGATAGCTTTAGATTATTCATAAACAACATGATGTGTTCATGTCTTGATGACAGTTGCTGCTTTCTATATTTCCACTCCGTTTAGAAAAGCTTGGCTAGCTAGGTGTGACTGTAACATATTTATTGTATTAAAAAAACATATTTGGCGTATTAAAAAAAAGATCACTCTGGTTCTGCATGATATCTTGTATTCTTCAGTCTCATAGACAGCATTAGGTGTGACTTTATCATATATTTCTGTAAACTAAGTTTATTGAAAAAGGTCACTTCAGATACTTATAATGGCCAAGTTAAGTATTTGTCAGACTGTCAGACACATATCTCTTTCTATGTACAAATGTCAGAATAGATTGATGAAACCTCAATTATGTCCTATTTCTTCTTGCAGATTATACCCATAGAATCCAGTATGGAAAACAATAGACACAGCTTTGCATCATTCCTCCATGGCGCCGTCTTCCTCGTCTCCCTGGTCTTGGGGACATTTGGAATCCTGGGATATTTGCGCTATGGGGATGCCACTGACCAGATGATCAACCAGAACCTGGAGCCTCAGCACAGTCCATTGACACTGCTGGTCAGTGCCACACTGTGCGTAGGGATTCTGTTCACTTTCCCTCTCCAGCTGATGCCTGTGATTGAAATAACAGAGGGCTATCTGTTTGCTGAAGGTAATGAGAATGCTGGGTTATACATTTGGTTATATTACAAGTAGAATGGGGTTTTAATGATATTTGTGGAATTATTAATTCATTGTAGTGGGAAGACAATTTTTGTACGAAAGATTTCAAATTTGAGAGAAAACCTCCATGCCTGCTGTGTGTAATGTGAATATTTTACATAGCTTGATGATGGTAATGTTTAAAAATCACACTTACATAGTAGAAGATTTGATGTTTCATAGTGCTGATAATATTTCCATGGCTCTTGAAAAAATAGAACTGAGTATTCCTATTCGACATGTATAATATTGTCCTGCGTTATGCTTTCAAGGAAAAATTTGTGGACCAAGCACTGATACGGATGAAGAAGAAAAGGGTGAGGAGGAGTCAGAAAGAGATGATGCCAGTCTGTTACCTGGTGTTAAAGTCTCAAAATCAGAAGTCCCTGCTCATGTTTCTGTTCATATTCCAGCATCTGTAAGTCTGCCATTTGTATGCCAGTGAATGTGTCAAACTGATGTTCAATATACGATGAGGTTGAATTCATAATTTTACACCACAATCTTCCAATAACAATTTGCAATACTACAATACAATATTTGCCTTGTGTATGTATTTCATATAATATGAGAGCTACTCTGCTACAAAATGTTATTTCTTACAACCTATTTGATTTATAAATATGTTTTACCTGGTCTCATGGAATATACCACTTTTTTTATTTTGCCAAATTTTACTATATGTCAAATAGAATTTACTAAATGAGCAAAATGTTTATTAGCTTGGTAGTTAGATCATGGATGATATTTATTTAACAGAAGCTGAAAATCAGGGGTCAGGGGTCAATCTACCTTATATTTACGATAGGGTCTGGCCACTATACCACCTGGCAGTCAGTGAGTAACAACATCTACTCACATCAGTCTGTCAAAGGCTTCTGACTAATTTGACAGCAAGCTTGTGGTAGAGAGTAATTTTTCAGCTTGTGTTAAATAATTATCATGTAGAATATATTAGTTAAAATACATTAATTATTACTTCAACAGGTGTCAGCCTGGAAGAGAAATCTTTGGAGGACATGTCTTGTCCTGTGCTGTGCAGGCTTTGCAGTGTTACTCAGAGCAAAATTTGCATATATTGGAGCTTTTATAGGTATGTGACACTTGTTTTCACAGTGAGATTTCATATTCCAGTATTTGCTGTACAAGTGTTTGTTTGTTCATTTGTTTGTTTTCTCAACAGTTCTCTGTCTAAGCACATATATAGCTATAACCAATCTCTTCGTCATATCTTGTTATTATGATAACTAAAAAATCGTGTCACTATTTTTGATTTATGCTTGTTTGATTTGCAGATAACTTTGTTTTTAATGACATTCTTTAAAATTTCAATAACAATGTGTTTTTCATTCAGCAAGATGTAAAAGACAATGTATACTTATATGATGGCTGTCGGAAAACCTTGATAAGACTTAAAAGTATAAGTATGCTTCCCTATATACCGTTTCCCCTGAGCACCCCAATTAAAACAAAAACGCCATTTCAAAGTAATCATGTTTTATTCAAAGGAACTTTGCACAGTTCTTTCCACACTGAAATAACAACTTTTGCAAACAGTATTGATTCCATCAAAGTGATCTCTGTTTTATTCCTAACTTTCAGGTTCAGTTGGTGGCACAGTCCTGATGTATATTCTGCCTTGTGTTTGTCACCTCAAGCTCAGTTGGCACAGGCTGCCTGCTATCAGGATTGCCTTGGAGATCTGTATCACGGTTCTTGGCACTGCAGGGGGCAGCATGGGTCTCTATGCTGTTATCAGAGATATGGTCATGACTCTGTCATAGAAACAATACTACAGGGTTAAACACAGAGGCCGATTCTGGGTCTTCTGGAAGACGGTCAGAATTTCAAGTTTACACTGACGGGTATCTATTTTTTCTGTCAGAAGAAGGCCCAAAATGGAGGATGGATCAACAAAGATAATTTGGAAGACTGTCAGAAAATGGCTCTGGATCCCCTCCTGAAATATAAAATTGGTTTGTGTCCAAATGACATTACCAGGCAACCACATAAATGTAGAAGTGATTTAGTTTGTTTTTGTTAAGGGTTGCAATATGCACTTGGTGCTACATTAATGTGTTAGATATATTTTCAATAGTAAGTGGTCTTATTCAGGTTAGGTGCTCATTATCAGCATTCATATCAGTGTAGTATTTATTGTTGTTCATTAACTTACAGTTAGGAAAATGGACAGTGTCTTGAAACAAATTAGTTTGACTAACACTTATTTCACATGTAACATATCAAAATGTTCCAAATGATATTATGAAGTCAGCTGTTTTATAGATTGATTGCCTCAGTTGAATTATGCCATGCATTATTTTAATATGTGAAGTAATGAAGGGTTAAAATGTGAGGTTCTTAATGTTTGTTACATGTAGATGGGAATCAGGGTTTAACACAGGCATTATGTATGTAAGCCTTTGTTATGTGATATTTTATGTGTACCAAATCATAATTATTTTGTGTACATGAATGTTTTATGTTGATCAGTTTTAGTAACAGCAGCATGCTACTTTTTCGTGTGTGTGTGTGTGTGTGTGTGAGAGAGAGAGAGAGAGAGAGAGAGAATGAGAATTAGTTTAGGGTTAACAGTGTCATTTCTAAACATCGGTGAAATTAAAAGTGCAACTTTGTGGATGAAAATAGATTTATCTATCCACCATAAGCATAATTGTTAGGTTAGATACTTGATAACACTTGATAACATTTTGCTGGTTCATTATGGGCTAAAAAGGTTTCAAGAGGTCTTGCTCACCATTTATCCCTTCTCCTGTGCCCCAACAAAGTTAACAGAAATTCATGGGGGGCTGGGAGATGTTTATTTTTTCATTGTTATGTTTTAATCTAATAATTTTGCTTCCTATTTAGTATGATGTTCAAAATGATTTGAATGTAAGAGACGTTCACATGATTTGGGCCACGCTCCAAATTTGTGAATAGTCTTGTTTATGCATGTGTAAAACCATAAACATGGGTATGGTTAAAAAAAAAAAAGAACAGTGATTTGTGATCTGAACTGTAGATTCTCTGATAAGAAATTTAGATTTAAAAACGAGTTGAAGATTATTTTTACCTTCATCAAGTATCATGTTGAAGATTATATTTACCTCCGCCAAGGATCATGAAAATATGAAATTTTGAGGGGACCAAGATAGAAACAATTAGATTTTGGTGGTGATGTATTAATTAATGAATGGTTGTTTATTAGTTTACTATGTGTCTCTGTCTGTTAGCAACATAAGAGAAAAAAGTTGTTGAAAGATATTGGTGAAATTTTCAGAAACTGTCAAGTGGGGACCAAGTAACAAAAAATAAGGTTTTAGTAGTGACCCATTTATTAATTACTTAATTGATGAAGTCTGTTTATCTGTTAGCAAAATAAGGGGTTTTGATGAAATTTTCAGTAAAAGTCGGAAATGGACTAACGATAATATAATACATTAAAATATGCAATGGATATTGTGTATACACAAAATAAAATTTTAAAACAGATATTTATTATAATCTTCATTCTTTGCTGCATAATTGGGGAAAATACCTTGAAAATAACCATTTTAAGAAAAAAAAAAGGTTATGTTGATATTAAAAGGGCACCGTATTGAAAAGACAGTTGATGCACGTGTGACTGAATTATTCTCGTGGTCGGTGAAAAATGGTGCGTCTTCCAAGCCCAAAGAACGAGAACTATTTTCGTTTGGTTTTAGCTTACCAGCATTCATTAGGAACATGGGTTTTAGAAATATTTGAAAACGTCTAAAAATTGGCACTCACCAAATTATTTTTATCAGTGATTTGTGATCAAAGTTCATTTTCAATAAAATATCCAACCACCATGCATGATATTGCTCTTTCCAAAATTCATTACGGTTCTTTGATTACTCCAACGGAGCCTAATGAAAATCTTTGCACTAGTTAAACCGCGTCATTTTGAAGACAAAAATAACTGACAGTCCCAAAATATGTGTGGAGTGTGGTAAAACCCGTTCGGCTCCTGAGGGCCAGTCGATGGTTACTATGGTCTTTCCATCTAAAACTTTGTTGACGGTGGTCAGGAGAGGATATCTGCCCTTTTTGCAGAAATTTCCACTGAAATCGTCCAAGTCCAGTGCCCACAACATCACCCCACCGAGGCCTTTCCTCATAACATAGCTGGACTGCAAGAAAGAAAGAAGCAAGCAAAACAAAAATTGAATAGCAGCGATTGTACTATACTAGGGGAGGGGAGGGGGGTGAATCGCTAAAGCATTTTACGTCAAAATGTTTCATTGAATCACAGAGAATCACAGAGAAAGGTTTTTAAAGCAGGAGGACATTCGTCTCCCTCATTTCAGTTTGATGATTCATCGAAAGGTGCATTTGGAATCATGTGTTAGAATATGAACCAGAACAAAACAACGGAACATAAAGATAAAACTGACTTCTAGCGTGAACGAAGATTTCCATATTATAGGTTACTCCGATGATGAGACAGAGACAGCTAGGTCTTACCTTGATTCCGACGCTGCGAGGACTGTCGTAGCCGACCCACAGTGAGTCACGATATAGATATGGACCTTGTTGCACACCGTCCCACCGCCTTGTGACGCCCTTATACACCAACTCGCAGATCTTAAACGAAAGAAATTTACTTCTGAATGAAAACTTGAAAATAAACATTATGAATATTTTGTATTTGAATACATTTAAATATTTTGAAAGTAGGTGCTGAAAACATGCCTTATTTATTTATTTATTTATTTATTTATTTATTTATTTATTTATTTTCATATTCATTCATCAATTTAATTATCTATCGATTTATACATTCATTCATTCATATATTCATTCATTCATTTTAACTGTTTTTTACAACTTGCATGATGAACTTATCATCTGATCCTGTCCATTTCCTTAATTTCCGAGATTAAGTAAACAGTTTTGAATTAATTTACATCTTTTTACATCTTTTCAAGAATTTGAATCATTACTTTAATACAGCAAATCGTTTATGAAGACAATTAGTTCTGAAGCCAGCAAGGTACAGGTACCTCGAAATAAGCCAGGGCTCCCTCAGTCTTCGTGTACGCCCCTGCCTCGCCCGCGGACACAAACGGACTGCCGATGTCTGTGCGTGTTTTATCGGCCAAAGTGAACGTTCTGCCCTCTGCAGCTACGCCCAGTAACAACTTCTCTGGCTGCGCTCCGGCTGCGATCCACCGATTCAACGCCCAGTCCTGAAATGTCACTTTACTGATCATCTGATTTAAATGATAATTTCAATGAGGTCTTGAAGAATGAGGAAAAAACTTTTACAAGACATAAACCCTTTGGTCCTATTCGAAATATAAGAGATGGCTAAAAAAAAAGATCCGAAAAGGTATCGTTTCTTGGAAGATTATTAGTAATTTCCTAAATTAGCTTAACGCAATATGATCAAATATACTTTTGTATGATGGGAAAGAAAGTAGTGCTACTCACAACGCTAAGAGTGTTGTCAAATTTGGTATCACGTGCTGATCTTGAGAACAAAGGACTGTTTAGTCCTGTTATTTTAGTGTTATCCCAGCTGCCGTGAAAATCATAACTCATGACATTTATGAAGTCAAGTAGACTGAAAAGATGAATGAACTTGAAATTTTAATGTTTTATTACATTGCAATTATTATACAATTATGCATTCCAAAACCTTGTTTTTGCAGTTTTATTAATGCACTGCAGCCATATAAGTAATTACTTTGTCTATCTGCCTGATTGTCTGTCTGTCCGTCTGTCTGTCTGTCTGTCTATGCACTGATTATGCACTGAAGTATGTATACATGTTTGCAATGGAATATGTATGTAAGACAAGTACACAACAGACACAAGGACGAAACAAGAAAACTCACTCGGCGATGAGGTGGACTTCATAACTCTGAGTGATCTGTGTCTCAGACACTCCCACTGCGGCAGATAACAGCAAGGGCGGTTTGTTCTTCTCTTTATGTCTGTCAAATGTAACACGCAGCTCCTAAACCAAAGAGAAGTGAAAGAAAGGGTAGCTCAACAAAAATATGAAGTGAAGTTGGTTAAAAAAGATAATATTGATAGAGGACTGAATATTGGGAATGTTTGATGCAAAATATGATAGCATTTCTATGATTAAAATGTCCAAACTTAGACTGGTTCACAACCACACCCAACTTATTCAATTTCTTAACAGGCAAAATCGCCTTGAAAAAGAACCCACCTGTATGAGTAGCGTGAACTTGCTTTTGGTTTCAAGATTTGGAAATTCCCAATCAACGTCTAGCCCGTCAAATTTCCAGCGTCGTAAAAATTTAACCACATTGATGGAGAACTTTTTCCTTGAAAATAAAGTTTCAGAAACAGCATCAAATCCCGAAGTCCCGGCTAAGGCGCCACCTACCGACAAGAGAGTCCGCATTTCTGGATGATCTTTTTTAAGATCATTTAATTTTTCGTAATTTCCAGTCACATCCCCTTCAGTAACATCTACCTTTAAAGAAGGGACGAGGGACAAAGATTCAACATCAATGTTTGCAAATGCATAAATGAAATGCGTACAGAGACTGGGGGCTATGTCGGTGATGGAAAATCTTGCCTCAGCTCTCGTAAGAGACCAGTTGGTCACGTAGCAAACTTTCTTAAAGCGTCTGATGTCGTTTTCAAAAACACCTGGAATATATAACACTATTATATTTTCTTTTTTATCACAAAGTTCACCAAAGTCTTTGTATGCTTAGACTTAAATGAGAATCATAACTATTCTATGGTACACAATTTTAGTGAATTGAGTTTTAGTGAAATTTACTAAAACAAAACATTTCCTTTACATTGCTTTGTTTTTATACAATTAATCGTACTCGTAACATTGTTTGGAATTCTCTTAATTGTTTGGATTCTGTTAATGTCATCAAGATATTTTCTTTCCTCTCGCCTCAAAAGACATCAAAATTCTGCTTGGCATTTTCTTTCATTATCAGACAATATATGAAAGATACATACCTCCTGTACCGCCTGCAGATTTGCCCCCGTACAATAAGATAAGTACAGCTGCGAGGATACCCAACATGGCAGTTCTTTACCTACAACATGTTATATAACTATTTCGATATACAGGAGTAAAATGTTAAGTATATTTCACTCTTTGAAAAACTCAACTGACATAAACATATTCTAAAAGTGAGCTGTCAAGTAGAATACCAACAGTGAACCCCAAAAACCTCAATTAATTTTAGAAAGCATTTGAAAATGCGTCTAAATACATATTAAACAAGATATAATATCTTCAATTGCTTTTTAGAATTATCGAGAAATTCAATTAACTGTGCTTGACCTTATAAAATCAAATAATTATTCAACCTTATCAAATAGAAAAAAATGATAATCACATTTGAGCTTTTCAAAACAAACTAGAGCAGACAACATACCGGTCATGGAGTTTTCCTAAAGAATGTACTTTTCAATCTGCATACTGATTCACCCACTTTCCTCTCGTGTTAAATGTTGTCACAGGCTTTTCCATATCAACATGGCCATTCATTTTACCTTCCTAACAATACACTGGCAGATGTTACACTCTATATAAAGAATCTCATTTATATGTTTTGAATTTGAAGGATGCGAGTTTGGCAAGCTGTGCACAGTTCAATATGATATTATTATGAACAGATGTTTGACCGGGAGAGCGTATTTCCCTCCTCCGGCCCCCCCCCCCCCCCCCCCAGACTCATCCATTTATCTTTCTATGTGCAGAGTTAAATTGTAACGATAATAGGTTACATATTTCGTCAAAATTTTAGATGACTGTTTTAGCTAATCTTCAAGTATATAACCAAAAATCATAGATGCACTGTTTAGGAGAGAAGTGTCAGCATAAAAGTCTAATTTCAATGGCACAGAATAATGTGAAATATGATTGAAATATGACAATCTTAATTGTGGGCGTTGAATCCATACAGGGTGCTTGTTAGTTCTGGAATGTCTAAGTAAACATGAAATATTTATCGTTATTAAAATCTATTAAAGCAAAGCTTTCTCACTTGATGGCAGATTTTCTGCGAATATTGAGCTGTTTGTTCATGCGCCACACATTCTTAAATGCGTTAGTTGTGCACAAGTGGGTGTACCTTGTATGGCGACCCGGTTTGGGTTTGTGATGTAAGTTTCAGAAATTTAAAGTTGCATCCGTGCTAACCTTTTTCATGTGACATTAAGCTGTAATTTCCATTTTTGACATGCTTGTTTTTGCTTATTTCATGACAAAGCCATTTTTCGTTTGCCTTTGTTTTACAAATTGATTGATCGTGGCTATAAAAACACAAGAATGACATTTACGTATTGTGAGAACTTACAGAGAAATCTCCACCCACTGGTGACATTTTCGGAAAATATTCTGAACAGAAACCACAGACCTGTGTGATGAGCATACGTCTATCGAATATCTTCTTATCTTTTAATTGATTAGATGAGATAATGAAGGGCGGAGAGAGCTTAATTGCTATCAAATATTAATCCGCTTACACCATGGATTATGTGGTCTGTGCGATAACCACTTGTTGGGATTATGTAATTAATTACGTTAGAAGGTGAAATCAAGCTATTGCTATCTGAAGTAGGACCCAAGGAAACGTCAATGAAAATGTTAACCCTGTCCTATCTATTTATCTTTAATCTGTAGTTATCTATATCATGTATACGGTTGTATGGCGGATAAACTGATAATGTATATTTGTGTGACAGCAAGGTGATTCGCAGTGGGTAACATGTGACTTTCAAAATTGCAGACTGAATCTGAAGTGACCATGTCGTATCCTGGCTGTAAGTAATATTGAAAAAAATCGGATAATTTGAATTTATATTTTGGTATATATTGTGTTAAGTGGCACAGCCTCAGTATTTTTTAAAATGTTTGGTTGTAAAATCGTGTCCAGAATAATGATATTTGATAAAATACCAGTAAGTCACTGATATTGAATGTGCTTACGCTATATCACTAAATCTACAAGCCTACCTTTTCAAGGGTTTACATATTTCAGAAGCACACTTGTAATTAAAGATTTCATCCATTGAAAAGGCATATCATTTAGTCATGCTGAAGTGATGCATTAGAAATGTTTATGAATACAAAAAATGTCTAAAGCGTAAAAATTTGGGTTACATAGAATACACCTGTAAATCACTTCTAACACATTGTTCGAACCATAATAATGGAACATGCACACTCGTCCACACGCACTTTATGCCATTATTTCAGAACTGATCTGTACTTTTACATTATATCTCTGTGACAGATCCAGGAAACCCTTCGCTCCCAGGTTATCCGCCGGCTGGCCCAGTGGCGCCACCTGCATATGGATACCAGCCACCGTACAACCCTTACGTACCACCTGCCGGTTATTACCCTCCGCCGCCTACTGTTCCGGTAGGTCCGGGGTTAGGTCCAGGGGTGGTGAATCCAGGAGGTCCTGCGGGTGCTCCCCCTGGGTATGGGTACCCACCCCTTCAGCCTGGACAACCTTACCCTTATCAGCAGTATCAGGAAAACAAATCCGTACGTAGGCCTTCATATCCCATGCATACATAAGAATTTAGCGCCTTTAATGAGTGATTTGTAAGAGTATTTGAATCTACCAACATTTTATCACTGAGTTCAAATTAATGGGAAAAGATCCGTGCATTATCTAATTTCAGAGCTGAGGTTTAGGGGCTCATAAAGATTACTATTTCATCCATCACCTCTGAAAAATACAGTGGTTTTCTTCACTGTTTTTAAGTTAATTGGGAGATTTGTTTATTATATGATTTCAGTGCTGAGGTTTAGGGGTTAATAAAGATCGCATTTCATCCGTCTCCTCTAGAAATGTGTTTATTTTGCACTAAAGTACCTATGTATGACAGGAGACACCAGTCATTTTTCATTTGACACACTTTATTAATGGCCACTTTTTATTTTATTATAACCAGCAACCACAGAGTAATGGCAGCGGCCTGGCAATGGGGGCAGCCGGGGCAGTCGCAGGGTTGGCTGCAGGTGCTTTACTTGGAGTTGTGGCAGAGAAAGAATTAGATCATCATCACCATCATCGCCATCATCACTGGTTTTGAAAAGTCTATATAGAAGGGACTGCTTCCTTTTAAAGTAGAATCGTTAAAAGGAAGTTAGGAGTATTGGTTATTTATTGACGTGCTTTGCATACATTTTTGTGAACAGTTTTTACAAGCAATCTCTGCACTATTAACTTTCGAATACGAGATTCGCTGAAGAAGCTATTTGTTATTTGTTATTTCAACAGTTTAACCAGAAGACACAAGGTGCATTAGTTTATTTGCAAACATAAGAACGACCAGAATAGCAACATATACAAAAATCATTTGGATTTATTGTCAAGTTGAAATAATAAGTCACAAGAGATGTTCAAAGTGTCGCAGAGTAAATATCCATTTCATACAAAACTACACCACATACATCTATACTAGAAACGTGTGCATAAATGTCTTTACGTTCGTCTACCTAATTTTTTCCAGATCTCTGAATAAAAGAAAATAAAGAGTAAAAAATAAAAAGTAATTATTTTTAGAATTTTAGGTCTTCGATTACTTCCTTATTATCAAAAAAATACATTCATTTTTCTTTGTCCGCTAGTACACTGTAGCGTTAGAACATCAATATAGGAATCCTATAATAATGATAAAAGCTATGTCATTAGTCAAAAATAACTCTAAATATGGAAATTCCAAACGTTAATCTTGTAGTCCAAGTGATGCGGAATGCTGTCTGGCACGCATGCGTAAATGTTCGATGCTGTGGTTCAGTGCAAAATCCTTGGGAACGGCAGCAAAAGAAGGAACCTTCATTCCGAATGGAGCAGGTCGTGGAGCAGACGACACATCGACTGGTAATGGCTGCGGCCATGGAAGGTGCATAGCCGCAGAAAGGCGCGTTGCTTGGGCATTAAGTTGCGTAGAAAGTGGAAATGCTGATGCGTTTTGATCAAGAAATTGTCGTTTTAAATGTTCTTCCACAGAGACTATTCCTGGCATGCGATTTTCGTGAGCAGAGAATGGTGCTTTTCGGACCGGTGACTCTAAATCGTCAATTCTTCTACAGAGATGTCCACGATGGTGTTCTGGATTGTCTATCTTGGGGTTTAACACTTGTGTTTCATTATTACCTGTTGGTTTTGAGTTTAACAGAAGGTCGATAGAATGGAAATTGAGCTTTTTGTCGTGGCTCGAACAACCGTCACCTTCTGCTGTCTCAGTTGGAATTTCCGTCTCATTTTCTTCGGGGACGCTATCGGTGGGTGCGTCTTTGAAATCTGCGTCCTCGACATCCTTTTGAGGCGACGCCGATCCGGCTACGTCTTGGGTCTGTTCTTCGGCATCGGCGGTTTCTACGTCAATATCCTCGTTGATGTCATCGTCACTGTCTTCTGTTGGTGCAGCTGCACAATCGCCGTTTTCACTCTTAGTCTCATCGGCGCTGTCACCGTCATCTTTGCCCTTTGGGCTTGCCTTTTGCTTTTTGCGGTACTTCGCCCTCCGGTTCTTGAACCAGACCTAATAACAATAAAAATAAAGAAAATAATTCATTAAAAATAGTTGTATTTAAGACAGTGGAATCATGAATATACTCTCTCTTCTTCATATCGTAAGAAAGGGTGCCCCCTCCTTTCAGATTTTCGGACCGCCCATGAAAACATGGAAACTAAAGTTTGTGTTTTGGACCCGCACTTGTTGAGGTCCATCTTTTATTTTAAAAAGTGTTTTATTAAATGTAAGGGAAATCAATAATCAATGAACATATATTGTAGCCTACCTGTATTCTGGACTCTGGCAAACTCGTCATCATGGCCAGACGCTCTCGCATCACCACGTCCGGATAGTGCGTCTTTGCAAAAGTTTTCTCTAAGGCGGCAAGCTGCTGATTAGTGAAAGCGGTGCGACTACGGCGTTGTTTTCTGTTGGCTCCGTACCTGGCTTCCATAATAATGTCTAAAAATGTAAAACAGAACAGTGAGGACGCGCACTTTGTATGGACAGGACTATGAAAGACACTGTTGGGTTTACAAGTAATATGACTCGTCATCTGACAAACTATTGGCGCAGCTCCAGACTTTCATTTCATTCTTATTGAAGGTCACAGGAAAGTCGTTGAGAACTTGCCATTTTGTTCATGAAATTGTCGGTCACTGAACATTTTTTACAATTTAGATTTGTCTGTTAAACAAACACCTTTTTCTCCAATCCCATTAGGAGATTCCATTAATATATCCGTTCAAAAAATCAGAGTTTTAAAGAAGGATTAATTTACAGACACTTGTGTAGTAGCTTTTTAGCAAAAGTGATTTTTTGTAACACATCCCTCTTCACAGTTCCGCTTCATTGCATTTTAAAGTGTCGTTCAAATTGCCAAATCTTTTGTTAAGTATAGAGTTACAAATATACCCAAATCAATGCACAAATATCCTGCCATCTCCATTAACAGTTAGGGCAAAACAAAACTAAAACACTGGCAATATTGAGTCAACACTGAAGTTCTTACCTGCCAAACGCTCTGCTAGGGTGAGTGTCTGCAGCGCGGGAGGAGGGAAACTTGATGGGAAAGAACTCGTAGGAAAAGTAGGCATGGATGGCATGGAAGTTGGCGGGAAATGGGGATGATGCGGCGGCACTGCAGGCGGCATGTTGAACATAAGTTGGTTCTGGCGAAACATTAATGGCTGCGGCGGAGGCAGGGTCAAGTGGTAATTCTGCATCTTCGAAGCTGAAAATGATTTAAGAAAAAAATGAGTTAAATGCAAAAGAAGACTACATGATTAACATTACGATTGATATTTGAAAATCTATTGTGCTGTCCATGCAAGCTTTTTAAAAATATTTCACAAGATGTGGCAATTCAAGACATGGATCTTTGTTTTTAGAAAATAACTTTTTTCAAAAACCATAAAAATAAATGAGATAAAAAAATTAGCTCGTAAACAATTGACTTGATATGATGCATCCCACAATTTTCACCTTTAGTAAAATCACATTTTTCAATACTACATTTTTCAATACTAAATATGACGATAACGCTAAAATGTGAATAACGTGTGTAACATTTTTTCATTTACTTATTTATTATTATTATTTTAAATTTATTTTTATTTATTATAATCATTATTATTTTTTATTTCTATTTTTATCTTATTTTATTTATTTTTATTTATTTATTTTATTTTTTTTTTTGCTACCTATTATAGCAAAACCGGTCGATGTGGTTTTATCTCCTCCTTGCGGGGTAAAGCTGGCGGGAATTTGATTTCATTTTTTAAAATAAAGTTTCATGATAAACAAAACATCCTTCTTCAGAAGGTTTTAATTGACCAATGCAAGTGATATAAATTATTTGTATTTATGCACTATTTGTATTAATGATATTTATTTTAAAATATCTAATTTTAAGCACCAAATTCGCAATTGAATACGTTTAATAAAGAACTCACTGCAATTTAACTGTAATTATTTTTATTCGACCGCTGTCAGTTGCTACGACATAACTAAATTACACTTAAACTAATCATTCCCATCTATAACAGGAGATTTCCCAGGCAGCTCCTGTATTTATCTACAGGCCACGTTGCTAGGTAAAAAAGCTATCTATTTGAGATCACTTTTAGTTTTCGCAATCAACTGAAAAAATGCCATTATTCTTTAAAAATATACAAATACAATTATTTTAAACTGTCGCATATAGGCACAGAATGGTGTTTAAATAGATATTTTGTTATGGAAATTCGAAAACTCTTCTTTCGGATGATTAGGCAATCTTTTTAAAGAATCCTTAGTATGATAATTCAATTGGTTCAATGAACTAAAAGCAAAATCATTTCGTTTGTCGATTAAAATATTTTATATATAGGTTGGTCTGTTATTGTATACATCCAAATCTATGACTTTCAAACAAAGAACATCGAATTTGGATTGATATGACAACTTCTGAACACTTAATTAGCACGCTCAGGGCACTGGCATCAAAACATGGATCTCATCCTATCAAACTTGACGGTTCGTGTGCTCATTCATTTTACTTAACGCTATCTTTAAATTCTGCCAGCAAAAATAACTCACTTGATACCAATTTGCAGACAAACTTACCAAGGATTCAACTTTGTTAAGTATGTTCAAGCGTGTTAACCTATCAAATGCCCTGTTTTAAGGATTAGAGACTAGATCGCAGCCGAGCTTTATGTTTTGGTATAATGATAATTCCTTTGTTGTTGAATGAATTTTATTACCTGATCTAACAAATAAGGCATATAATCTTACGGTTGCTTTAAGTAACGGTTATTTCTCACTAACATCAGCTTTCAACATCAGTATTCCCTTACAGGTAGCTCAAATATTTGCTCGGGTAAACTTCCAAGTGTACCTGCCATTAGGACAAACTCGCATTGTCTTTCACACATGATCGTGCAAACATTCTCATTACAAATCATTAAATTTATCTGCAATCTTCTTAAAGGCGCCCGTGTGCACCAATGTTTGGAGGCCTTGAGATCAACAGGCTGTCAACACTTGTCTAGCTGCGCCCAGAGTTAATCAATTGCACGGTGAGAACGCTCTTCACTTCTCTGGATTAGAATTCACCACTCGCTGATAGTAAAGAATTAGATGCGCAATCACATTCGTATCTGACTTGTAGTTAAATTCGTATAAATAAATGTTCTTAGTGTTTAGTTTAAAAAAATGAAAATTAATCTAGATTAAGGTAAAACGTTATAGTTAAGTAATAGCACTTTCCCGTGTCACGGAAGACAAAACGTTCATGTGTCAAGGGTGAAGATTAAGTCTTTTTCAAAATATGTTAGGTATTCAATCATTCATTAAGTTCAGCGAAATTTCTCCGTTGCTTCATTGATAAGATTATTTTTAGAATTAAAGGCACCAAAGCTGTAATTTTTCTGTTTTTTTTTTTAATTATATTTTTGAAATAATTTTTCTTATTTTTAACTTTTTGAAAATGCGTTGAATGGCACATTTTAACCTTCTTTGGTTTTCTTGTTTATATGATATTTAAAAAACAAAGAATGACATCAAATGCAGACATATGAGCAAATATAGCTGTAGATGAGTTTTACTAAATACAATTTATAGAGAGAAAAAATGGAACAGTGGAATCTATTCTTAAAATTATGCGCAGACTTTAAATTCCCTTGTTCTATATGGCAGCTTGTAGTTCAAAAAATGCAAATATGATTAGATCGTTTTAAAACAAACTGTCTTTAACTGCTTGGTAATCAAAATTTCGTCGTAAAATTCCTTGAAATATTATCCATTAAAACGTTTACTATGCCTTTATGTACAGCAGTGCATAAAATAATTAGCAGAAACTTTGACTAAAATTCATAGTCATTTTGTAGGTCACTTTGTTTTTTCACCATAAATCCTCAGACTACAAACGAGATAACAGAAAAGGTTAAATTTTCGAAATTTTTTCGCCTTTTTCTTGTTTTCCCCCATAAAAAACGTCCAACTTATCTTGTCTATCTTTGGTCTCATCACGTAGAAACAGTTAATCCAAAATTGATGAAATGATGATTGTTTCCAATAGTTCACAAACTTTGGCATCATAAAGAAAACAAAATCAATATCTATTTCCTAAAATTACTTTATCAAATTCCGAGAAAATTATTAATTTGTTTAAGACATCAAACCATTTTTGTCATGCGAAGACAACATAGAAAATGTTAAGGGAACTATACTCTCTCTCTATCTCTACCTCTCTCTCTCCACGCACGACGCTAATGGACCTCACGGTTAAGCGTTAAAGGTACGCTTTAATGAAGGCAGGGGACTATCGCACGGTGCGTGTCACTTGTCTGTTGGCTTGAATAATATCCCTCCAGACTTAGGTGAGCTTAAGCTACTCAAAGTACACGTATTTACAAATTTAGTGTTTGTACTCCGCTCTGTTTAAACGCAATTTTCCCAAAAGCTTGTCAATCAATCCCTTCAAATCCCATTTGCGGGGATTGGATTCGTGTTAAACTCTCTGATCCTATGATTAGAGGAATTTAAGATTATTCAATGAGAAGTGTATACATAGCCCTACCTTAACGCTGGCAGGAGCGGGGTGGTGACAGAAACGCTTGCGATGATAAGGGGTGGTCAGACCAGAACGACATACATGAATGCAGATGACGATGTCGCGGAAAATTCGCAGAAAAATATCATATATCTTCTTTTTAATATCTTCCTTTTAACCAACCCAAAGAACCATTACGTACTCTCACAAAATAAAGGTAAAATGTACATTAGTCTGCGTTCTCATGAACATCTTACGCCTTATTATCCAAATGGTCAATCACAACTCCTTTTAGCCATTTCAACTTTTTTCTTTTTTTCTACCATCAGAAAATATCTTTACATTGAAATATTTCCGTTGGATTTAATCTAATCTATGTCTATTTTTATTTTGATAACTTCATCAATTATCAAAGACTTCATGATCTGCAAAGATTGAATTTAAAAGAGAAATAAATTAAGGTTCATGTCCTTAACATAGGCATTAATGAAGTTCATTTGAACACTGGCTGAAAGCTGTCCCTTTGCAAAGTAAGTCCCACGAATAGACGGATTATAAGTTCTTGCTTCATTAGAATTCTTTTCTAAATGCCATCCTTATTAAACCTAAGTTTCTGAACTGCACACCTGTATAAGCGAGCTAAAAGGGGAGAACCTCAATGCACTGCCATTACAGTGTATTATCTTTGAAAACAACATAACATTAGAGGCCAGAGGAAATATTTCCCCCATCCTTTAATCCGTTGTCAATCAAACAGTTCACTTTTAACCGTAATTCATGTTGCTGAAAGGAAAGTGTCTTAATTACCGTGAGTACTTTAATACGAGGTAAGAGAGGACACGATTCAGCCGTAGGAGATTGATTTTAACGGGAACACGCCGTAAGCAAAAACAAATAGTAGAAAAGCAACAGAAAAGGATAAATCTAGCAGAAGACATGACTATTTACAATATTGATGCTAAAATGTCTTCACTACTGGGGTAAATTTGAGAAAAGTGAAACAAGAAATGTGACAAACGGTCAAAAAATTTGACTACTTATCAAATTAAAAGATAATTAAATAAATCAATTAATTAATAAAATAAAGCGGTGATAGACGAGATATACTGCCGGGCGTACTTTAACTTGAAATACTCCCAACGATTTTAAAACTCTATTTGGGAGCGTCTATTAGGAATACCTACACCCGCTTTTCGCACGTTCTCGGGTTAGGTTCCTGCTCCGGGCGTCTTGTTATAGTGGTTTTCCTTCAATTACTCAAACCCCTGGGTAAACCAAGTGTTACACGGCTGCAGGTGTGTTTACCAACTTAGTTGAATAAGCAAGAGCTGTTTGTAATCCGCGTATTACTTGTCAATGGAGTGGATTAAAAAATAACTAAATATTTTACCTGGCTTTTACATGCTCAGTGTACACATTGAAGCTATAGCACGGGAAAGTGTCCACAAAATCCACAACATCGTCCTGCTTTTCATTGTTTCCTAATGGGAGCTATTGAAAACTGCCCCACCTTAAGGGGTTTAATATCATTAAGCACTCTTAACTCTTTTGAACAAGTACAATAAGGGGGGATTATTAGCACGGTAAATTAGCAGTTGACACTTCAGAAGAAAAATGCCACCTGCAATTACAAAATAATTCGAGAAGCTGACAGGAAGTGCTGACGTCCACCCGTATCTGTGTGTAACTGTGCCCCAGGTTTCACACCAAAATAGCTTGATGGGCAAACAGTGTCATATGCTTATTGATGCTGCAGTGTAAACGACGAAAAGAACAGAGCAGTGTTTTGCACTACGGTTGTTTGAGGAAGGGTGGTGCTTTTTTAACATTATTTCAGGGACAAAAATGAAACTGAAGCCTCTACTTTAATGTGGCGATAAGGGCGGCAGACGAAAATGCAATGAACTGTCAATTGGTAAAATGCATCTTGTTACACCTGGATCAGTATAAAAATTATACTTCAGCGACAGTTGTAATAATTTTTGATGTGTTAATTCCCGCTTTGCTGAATCCCCTGATTTTTTCAGATTTGCATCAAACTATCTGGCACTTAAACAGAAACTTAAATCGAGTTTAAGATCAATTTTCCGGGCAATTTTTGCAGAAATCTGTTATTTTTCATATTCAAAAATGTAAATGGATGTAACACAGCGATTTATATTTTAAAAGCATAGTGCATAAAGTTTTTTTAATTTACGCAAACGCCTCAAATAATTACTATCAATTATTTTAACATTGAGCAAATAATTTAAACCTTTTTTAAAACATCCCCTCATTCCTTTGGTGATAAGTTTTTATTTAAAGCTACACTCCTATCCACATGTTGATTTCTAAAACAGGCAAACTACTGTAGCGGTCATTGCGTAATTCTAGAAAAATCATCTTATACCAGTCCATCAAAAACAAATGGATTAAATCAAAGACAGTGTATTTTAATAATTTATATATTTTAATATTTAAAAATCCACGAAGTAATATTAGATTTTAGATTTCCTATATCAAGAATCAATTCAACTTAAACAACAAACAGATGATGATTCTACTTTGCAGAAGATCCTATCAGATATTACCAAACTTACCTTCAATGTTCGTGCGCAGGTAATGACTCTGGATCGTCAACGGGGCACGTTTTCAGTCTGATCTCATTAAGTCGAATGTTTTATGATCTCATGCTGCTACCTAACACGTTTTTAATAGGTGTTAAGGTGTTAAAGGGGCGGGACATGCCACATTAAGGTGGCACTTCATAAACAGAGCCTCCCAACCAATCACGTGTGAGGACTATGAAGATTCCTTATCCGGGATTATTCTCCACTAATGGGTTTATCTTTATGTAAAGAAATATGGTGTAAGATCTACAAACCTAAATAGATTTAAGCGGGATTTTGTACGGTATTATGCCGATAAACGCATAAATGATTCAGGTTGCATGAATTGGATTATCGGTGAAGACGACGGTAAATGTCGACCTGTTCGCATCCACTTCTCGCAGCAGCATAGATTTGATGATTTGATAAGCAAATATGTTCCATTTGAGACCCATAAATTAATCACTCATAAGATACTTTGATTAATGTGTTGAATAATCACTCAGATGGTTGGTAGTATACTGCTTATCCTCCATGAACTTGAAAAGAGAAAAGTATTGACTTATAACTACCCTACCAACAACTAAGAATCATGCTCTCCAAAAAATTTTTTTCTAAGTACTCTTAATGAGATTAACACAAAATTGTGTTTAATTTATTATATATATATATATATATATATATATATATATATATATATATATATATATATATATATATTTATTTATTTATTTTGACGATGCCTCAGAAAAAAAGTAGCATGCGATGATAATGATTACAAAAAAACACAGCCCATTTATCCCAGCAGTATAAAGAGTGCTTTTTATAATAATTGTCCTAATTCTTGGTAACAATAGTTTATACATGAAAATTAATTTTCTATAACCATAAATAGCATCATTTATTACCGGAAAAATACGACTGGCAGTCGTATCGGGTGGTCGTCAATCGTTCGTGCTATTCAAAATACAATGAATAGATGGTTCAACAAGGTCCGGATGAGTAGCGTATAGGTTTGAGTGTCATAATATCAGTTCACAATTAAGGACGCGTTTAAAAACGAAGATGACAATTCAAAACGTGTATCGGTCGCGAGTTTTAAGCGCTAGATGTCACCTCGCATGATCTCTTCAGCGTTCAGGTGGCGCTATTAACGCTGAGTGTAATTGGATGAATATTACCCGTAATATGGTGAATTCTCCAAACTGTTTGACTTCCTGTGTTCCACATACGAACGCTTTGGCTGATGAAGGTAGGGTGAGTTTGTGATACAACAAGCTCCAACAAAGGCTCGGGTTAAATTCCCTCGCCTTTGGCCCTTTGTGGTGAATGTCGGAAGGGCCAACAGCGAAAGTGGAAATTCGAGAGTCTTTTGGCACATTGAGGATGGAAATCCAAGAATAGTGCTCACTTGGCTTTTCACACACTCTTTGAATAACGATACGTCACCCATTACTCCGCTCTTTGGTTCTAGGCGGTGAGAACTAAAACCACAATACTATATAAAAACGGTTGAAGATCAATTATCATCAAAATGAATGTGGTATGGTCCACTTTGCCACAGAAAATGTAAGACTGCCTACGGCATTGTGAATTTTTGCAAAGATGCATAACCGTTATTATTGACATATGCCGATTTCACATGAAAAGTATACGGGAATATAATATTCCTAAAAGATGTTTTCAGCATCTTTATTCCTCTTTTGTATTATTTAAAATCCGATTCTTTTACATTTTTTTCGTCCAAATGAAACTCAAAGCATACTTTTCCACTACTCTCGTTCAGAAAAAGGAAATATTTTTTTATCAATTGTAACAGGTTAATTTAAAACGATGCCTGTAATAACAATAATAATAACAAATGTTCTAATAATTACGCTAAGGGAAAAACAAAAACACTTGTGCTGATGAATCAACGTATTGATCAAAGTACGCGTCTTCAAAGTACGCGTCTTTTTTTATTTCATGTTATACACCATCTTTTAGTCAAATAGATGAGAAACACGACAAGCAGTCGATGATCAAATGCTATCTTATTAAAGTGGATTCTCTCGATAGGAACTCCCAATTACCATGAAAATAAAGTAACAGCCACCTCACAATATTAATTATTTATTACATATCTATTTCTTTATTTCAGTCAAAGTATTAAGATATCTGCATGACCACTGTGATGAAATCTTTACATAGAATCAGGTAAAACTTGAACTATTATGGCACAGTTGAGGTACATAAAGACAAGATAACAGTTGCCTTGTTTAAAAGTTCTCTAATTGTCTGGTGTAGCTAAAGGATCCTGTTTGAAGAAAAAGCTTTAGCCCGAAAATTGGTCTACACATAAAATATTGCCCCTGTGTTATAAGAAAAAAATTACTAATGTTCCGGGCCAATAGGCCTACTTACTTAATTTCACTGGACAACTATGAATCAGTCTTGAACTGAAGTAGAAGAGCATTGTTGATTGAATTTTTGGACCAAATGTTCGGTCTAATAAAGCTCTTTTTGAAATGGATGTTGAAGAACATGTAACCTAATAAAACCCATTGGTCCAAGGTGTAACAGAGAGTCCGTCCTTCATTACACTTACATTCATACAGGTAGGGGTAAGCGTGACCTATAGGACTACTGACCCTCTATGCAAACGGTTTCAAAAAGTAACTTCAGTCCACGGTTAGGCTTAACTTCAGTTGAATCAATTGTAGTCCATTACAATAGTGAAAGTTTATAAAAAAACTATTTTTTTTACCGATAGTCACTTTATTTTATTAGACTTCAGTATATATACCCTAGTTGGAAAAGATCAGCATTTTCGGTCTTTCGATTTGACTCTTTAGCTGAAGTTTTTATTTTGTGAACGGCCCCAGCAGGGTTATTTGTGACGTATACATCACGTAGGCGCCGGCGCTTCACTATACAGCGATGTTTTGGCTGAATAAATGTATGAAAATAATATATAAAAATTGGTCTTTGTTGACAGGAGGGAGGTGTAGGCCATATGATTAGTTATTCAATAAATCCTTTTGTTTTCAAATTTAAGACAGACAGTACATATCAGAAGGTAAAAGTCGCAATGGCTTTCTGTACCAAATAGGTAATCGCTTGTAGAAACCCTAAATAATGGTCCGACATTCGTTTCTTAGTAAAACTTGGGTGAAATCTTGTTGAAAATTTACAAAAAATATAACATACTGACATCGCTCTTTACAATAACCTACAAATCTGAATAGTTATGTCTTAGGTTCTTAAATTATCAGCTAAACTCTTAAACTATCAGCTAAACTCTGCTGTTATGAAATTACACGCTTGACCTTATTAATGGATATTGGTCTTTTCTTTTCTGTAAGCATATAAAATGTGCGTATAGTATTTAATTGTTCTTGACAGCCACACATAGGCTTATATTATCATTTATGACTATCAAAAAATGTTCTGGCTACTTAAACAATACGAACCATTTATAGTTATAGAAATACACAACATTAGCGACTGATATTTTTACTCACTTTAAAAGAAGTAATTGTACTAACAAATCTGATAACTCTGCACCTACACCATGTCTATTTGTAAATTATTAAGTATCATTACTCACGAAAATTGACCTGTCGTTTCGACCTTCCCTAAAACGTAGGCACTTACATAAGAAACCTCGTTCACCATTCTTGTAATTTGACAAATTTGAAATATAGATATTTACATTTCTTGGTCTCTCTCTCTTGATAAAAACATTGTCTGTAGTAACATTTAGACATTACTGTTATTATTTAGCCAGTCCACAAGTGTCATTTCATGCTTCTCAATCCAGGCAATATTGCGTTTAATGCCCTCAATGGCTTGTTTACGCCCGCGCTCCCCTGCGCCGGCATCTGGGTACTTAGCAAAGAATTCTTCTACCTGAAATAGAATATTCAATTAAGCATCCACAGGTAGATCTAAATGTTGTAAAGAAGTTCAATTCAAAATTTACCCTTTTGTAACCGATTACTCCCACCTACCAGGTCATACATGTAAGTTTTAGATATGGGTCTGTATTCTGTGCTGATTCTTTTACTACACAGAGTTCAAGAAACAAAGCTTTATTAGTATAAGTGAGAATTTTCTGGGAAATTTCGCTTAGCCAAAGTTAAAATTAAAAGGAGATAGATATAAAAACATCACTATATATCGATGAAGCTCTACCTGTGCTAAATGGAATTTTGTATTGTAGTCGCCGACAATCCCTGGCACCATCCTCCCCAACGATCTGGACGACAAGCCGAATCTGGAAAAAAGGTTAAAAAAGTGCATTTCTGTGGTATTTACAAAACTTCAATATTGAAAATAAAATTATATATACTGTATAAACTAGTGTAACTGCAAACTGTGTGCTATTGGTGGAAAAGTCAAAATGAGAAATTAATTGACTCAATCGCACAACCTGCACCGATTACTATCCGCCTGTTCTTTGTATATGAATAAAATACGTCTTAAAAACTGCCTTCTCAGACTTAAGTGGTTTTTTCTTAGATCACAAATTAATGAAAAAAAAAAGCTGGTCGACATTTTTTCCCAATAAAATACCAAGAAAAACGTGACAGTACCTTGCAACAATGTCTTCCCAACGCTTCCGCACCCACTCCCACGTTAAACTGTTCCCAATAGGCGTGCTGCTAATGTAGTTTATCACATTAAAGAAGTCCTGAGATCTTACTTTAGTTGGGTCCCAAGCATATTCCAAATATCTGTAAAATAGTAACACATGAATACATACAACATAACAAAGCAACTGAAAATACAACACCCATGTATTGTTTGTATCAAGTGAATACCGTCCAAAATTTCTATACTTGGGGTAAACTTTAATCTGTGCGGAAACTTTTCAACTTTACCCCTATATATTACGTCTTTAAACAGCCTGCAGTAGCGCTGTGGTATACGCTATATGATACATTCTTAATATAATGTAAGTACGGGTTTGATATGAATAGGAATTTTTTTAAAAAGATCCCAAGTATTCCATAAACGGCCGATTTAGCGATTACGCTACCTGTTCAAGAGCCACAGTTCTTTGAACTGAGCCAGGGCGTAAAGCAGCCTTCGCGCCTCTTGCGGTACGTTCTCTTTTTCGTATTTATTCCATATTTTATCCCAGTCCTCCTGGCCACTTCGGTAGGAACCGTACTTATACACCATAACTCGAAGGTTAGGATCCAGATATCTGGAGTTAATAACACAATACGACAATTTGATGTGTGTTTGAGTGCCCGTGTCTTCCTGTGTGTGTGAGAGAGAGAGAGAGAGAGAGAGAGAGAGAGAGAGAGAGAGAGAGAGAGAGAGAGACCATGACAAAGACAACAAAATTCTTAAATTAAACGTCTGTTGGCACGAAAACGATTTTAGCGTAGTAGAATTTTCTACGTAATTCAACAAAGACAAAAGATAAGTGAAAGATGATTTACGTACTCATCAGTATCCAGCCACCCTCGAAACTTTTCAGTGGCGTTTCCAAGACAGTCTGCGTCCCCATGCCCACAGGCTAGATTGATGACCGTATTACGAAGATATCTGTTATATATAAGAGCAAATATATAATTTCTTATAGTAAAATAATTTGACTCTTTCAATTATGACCAAAAGGTTGTTGTTTCAATTTCCTTGAGAAAGCATTTTATATCATTTATTGTTATGTTAGGAGTTTTATCAAGTTTTAAAATCAAGAAATTCAAATTTTACACATTTCAAAAGCAAACAAGGCAGTGTCCGTGTGCTGTAAAATCCTTACCTGTCAAGATGGCTTCCTGAATTTTCCCAACCTAGCTGATCATGGACATTTTTCACCAGTTTTAGGATATACGCCTAAAAATAGACCCTAAAATCATTATCGAGAATTCGTTTGCAATGCCTCTAATAAAACAGCATCAGAGCAGGATTATTCCCTCAAAGAAGGTGAATCCCAGCAACCAAAGTCTATTTAACATCATCTTCTTAAATGATTCTCATCTTTTCATTACCTCTGTGCCAGTAAAAGAAAGTGCTCGCCTAGAAAAATGTACCGGGATTTATAAATCTCAATTATTCAAAAACCTCATTTATTTTTACATAAATAAAACATATCAGCCGAATCGTTCGTGATTTTTTCTTTAATACTTGCCATCCATTTGCCATAATAGACCCTAAACTTCATCATGTCTCCTATGTACGTGAAGCCCCTCTCTGCACTGGCCCACGGCAGGTAATCCTGTTCCCTCTTCAATGCCTTGGTCAGCTCTAACACAATGTTGTAGTTCAGTAGACCAGCCGCCGCCAAGTTGAAAGCGTCATCTATGAGACCCGAACGATCACCGGCGGTCAGTGCCTTCATTTTTCAAATAATAGACATTTTAGAAAATTTTGGTGCTTTTTGTCGTCTAGTAATCACAAGATATTGCGACAGTATTTCGTCAGACTTATCACAATCAAAACCCGGCTACAGATACGCTGGAAATTTATTTGAATTTTTTTTACTGAAAGTTTAAAAGAACGAGATAGATAGATAGATATCAGCCAAAATATTTGGTGGGAGTGGGAGGGCGTATGGGTACTTTTAAACTGTAAATGGCAACCACTGTTATATTCATATAAAGATGAACGTTTTGAGTAATTCCATCGCTCCGTCAGATATTCAAACAAACCTTAACTCTAAGGGTGCTTTCCCAGAGATTTAGATCGATCTAAAGATTAAGTTTTAGATCGACCTAACTCCCTGGGGGTTCAGGCTAAATTGCAGTCAGCCGAGCGGACACCATAGTTAATTACCCCCTTACAGTTTTTAGTAGGCGGGACAGACGCTTAAGCCGGCCAAGCTGACAGTAATCTAGTGAGACTCCCCGCAGGGATAGATCGATCTAAAAATCTATGGAAATGGGGTGTAAGTTAATAAACGCTTAGGGTTCATTCCCCATGAAAATATCGTTCTACATGTTTATCTGTTCATCTGAGTGCATTTAGTGACAGTCCCTGAGGAGTTGGATCAATCTATGTAGAACAAGAGTTTCATTGGGAATAAGACCCTAAGTTAATTCACACTTACCGAGGGGTTCGATAGAAGTAAATTGGAGAACCGTCGCCACATGTCCTCGGGGTAGTTCACCCTGTAGAAGCCGGTCTGGCCGACGTTAAACTTGATCCACGTAGAAGTGTCCTGCAGATCCAAGCCAGATGGTAGTGGAAATTGCGCTTCCGCTAAAAGGCAATTATTATATTTTTTTCACATACACCTGCAACTGTTCAAAACAAGAAATGGAGTAAAGTGACTGGAGCAGAGAGGAAGTCGAGAAAGGTCCTGAAAGGTGGTTTCACTACATGTTCGCAAGAATAACATAGGTTTTAAAAGGTTCCTTTTAACTTCAAACATCGATTGTATTATCTTATTAACCTTCGGCATTGCATCCACTCAAGTTAATTTTTCTACCCAGAACCGCACCGAAAACAAGCAATGTAAAATAACTTGATTAACAGCTCAACGGGAAGATATGTGGCAAGTAATGATACGTAAGGAAATTGAAAGCCTCGTTAGTAGGATGTTTGCATTATACAGTATGTAATGCATTAAGAACACGCAGAGGCGCATTTGTAACTAATAACTATTAACGCTCACGGAAAAGCGCGTCTCTTGGACCTCATACAACCTCTTGGAAAACGGTTCAATATAAAGCAGACTTACACGTATTGAGCCACAGCAACGTAACGTCATTATTCACTGAGGTCATGTAATCCACAGGCACCCACCATATATATCTGCGGTAAGAAATAAAAAAAATTACAGACTGTTTCAATCGTCCTTTTTTAATTACTATCGTCATGTTAGTAAAAAAATCTGAAAAATTCTTATTTTCATCAAACGTAAATAGTTCCATGGGATAAAGATGATCCTGTCAACAATTGTGCTCAAATATTTTTAAAAAAATGTGAGATTGCAGTAAACACTTTACTTTAGCAAGAAATATAGAATTGACTTTTGTTACTAAAAAGTGAAATCATGAGGCTAAAAAATTAGCAAAAGGCTAAAATAGTCTCTTTTAATTCCCACAAACTTACCCATAATCCGAGGGTTCCTGAGCGCTTCGGTCAGCTTCTGGGTCGGACAGATAGCGTTCCTGTACAGCTTTAAAAATGTTTCCACTGAAGGTTATGTTAAGATAAGGAAACCCCATCTGCCGTGTCCAAGTGTCCATAATGGTCTTGATCGGCTGCGCGCCCGGAACCTGAAGCAGTTCAGAAATTGTCAGTCTGATATACTCCTATTTCCTGCACTGGAAGACGATATGACGCTTTTCCCATCGACCATGTTTTTACCCTGGCTTACCGTGGTTTCCTGTGCGTTGGTCTGTTTTAAGCTCCAGCTCATATTGCCAAATTCCAAATAAACGAATGCGATTTAGCCATGTCACTACCGTCTATCAAATTATGGCCATTTTGAAGTACATCTATCAATAAATCTATTCATTCAATAACGTATTGATCTTTTCATCTGTCGATTGATTTACTTTTTGTGGCTCTTAAACATTTCATCACTATATAACACCCTGTACACGAGATTGATAAATATGTTAATAATTTTTCTTACCGCTTCCAACGAGGCCCATAGATCGTCTGTTCTGGCATTTCTGTATTCGTACTTTTTCAAATAGTCCTGAAATTTCAAGAGAAGTAATGGCAGATGCAGACCTCATTAGGAGAGAATACATAAGAGCCTAGGAAGCGGAGGTTATTTCTTCTTTTCTTTTCTATCTTTAATTTCTACCCCTACCGTCATCCTTTTTTGTCTTTTACAGAAAAGCAAAAAGAAGTTAAAAAAGTAAAGTATAAAAAAAGTATAACTTCAAATTCGAGCCCATTTTTTTCAAAACAGTTTGGAAAGATACATCAAATGCACTGTCGGGTCTCTTCAAGTAATCGCATATAATCAAATGATTGGGTTATATTTTTTCAGTTTTGCACCAGAGAATATAACACAATATATGTAGAATATGATGGAGATATCGGTAACTCACCTGTATTCCTTGCTTAAATTTCTCTTCTCCCATGAACGCTTCCAGCATCCTAATCACCGCCGCGCCCTGAAATAAGTAGGATATTAACACGTTTATAATGCCCTATCAACTATCCTGGCTTACTTTACCAGTGTTACTCGACCTAAGACGCCAACATAGCAACAACATAGATAACGACAGAAAAGAAAAGAAAGTCATATCTACAGACGAATAACAAGCGAGTAAATTGGTAAAATTGGCAACACCAGAGAGGATTGATATTTCATCGATAAAAGTAAAAAGCAATGTAATAGATGGCGCGTAATTGGCCCAGATATTGCCAAGTTGGTTCCACCAACTGTCTTTGAATAACATCTTCTTAATAATTCTGCAGACGTCTAACCTTGGAGTAAGAAATGACGTCAAACACTTCATTGATTTGATCAGGGTGCTCCACTGGCACTACGATTGGGTGCGAGCTGAGTGCGGCATCATAGCCCATCACTGGCTGCATGTCCTCCGTGACAAACTGGGCGAGCTGAAAGAAAGATAGTAGTATTGTTCATTCCTTTACTTACTGCTCCCCCTCTCTCTTTTCAGGTTATTTACTCATTCATTGTTTTACATATTTGTTTATCCTTTTTATCTTTGGAATTTCTTCATTTTTAAAATTAATTTATTTACTGATTAATTTATTACTTTTTATTATATTTCATTAGCAACTGGAGGATGCCGAGTAACTGAGACCACGTTTCCAAGGTTTCTTCCACTTTTCCTCGAAGATTTCACTGAATTTGGTGATGCTTGTCTCTTAATTTGTTCATCTATATTTCTTTACAGACAACTTAAATAACTTCAAGTATCAGAATGCAAAACACGTTCTGTTGACGACGTGGCATTTCAATACATTCCCTTTCTCAATTATCTTTTTGATTAGTTTCAGTTAAAACAAACGACTTTGAGACCTTTGGCATTACGATTCAGACTTCTCAGTTTCTCCTATACGCCTTAATCACAACATGTTTAAGGTGCATTTTGGATCACTATTATTTTTTCATATTCCACTTTTATTCCACTGTTAACTAATCATATTTGGGGTGGTTCTAACATTAATTACCATATTCTACGATGGTTCTAATGTTAACTTACCATATTCCACGTTGATTCTACGTGTGCCACGCCCTTGTATTCCATAAAGCTGGCAAACCCTTCGTTCAGCCAAAGATCGTCCCACCAATCCATCGTGACAATATTGCCAAACCACTGAAAATTTTTAACTCTTTAAGCGATTAAATAAATATATTAAGCCTTGAAAAGTCAATGAAATTCGACTTCATAAAAATTAATTCGGCAGAGGTTTTAAAAACTTACTTTAGGAGATTAACTTTTTAGAAATTTAAGACCACTCGAAAGATTATGACAAAAAATGTATCAAACTGATAAAGGGCAAAGGAAACGCGGCCATTAATATTACCTGGTGAGCCAGCTCGTGCGCAACCACCACAGCAACTCGTTGTTTATTTCCCTCCGAGGCCTCCGTGGAATTGTACAAAATATTGGTCTCTCTGTAAGTAATCAATCCCCAGTGTTCCATGGCCCCGGAGACAAAGTCCGGTATGGCAATCATATCTTAAAATGAAAAGACAGAACAAATACATTTTACACGTCTTTTGGCACCAGTCTGAGGAATCACAAAAGTACTTGGCAGCAGAAAAAGCTTATGGGAGCTCAAGAATTCAAGGCCATTATTTAGATAAAGAATGGTCCCTGATATCTACATGATGATATCTTTAAAAACAAAACACCAATAAAGATCAATTTTGGCGCCATGATAATCTAATTTATTAGTCACAACGGTAGAGTCTACTGTTAAGACAAATTAGTTTTGGGAGTGCAATCAGGCCTTGGAGACGTGCAGATTATTTCCCTCACTCCTTAGCACGTCACTGTCGCGTAGCAAGGTTAATCTTTTAAAAAAGAAAAAAATATATAAGCCACATTCTTTTAAGACATCTCTTGGAGAGAATGGCAATCGCAATCTCTCATCCCCTTCGCCGTCTCTATTTTCCAGCATGGGAGATGGCTGGAAAGAAATAATTATACAATACTATGGTCGCAGACAAAGTCCCATATATTCAGAGTTAAATACGCTTGACATCTATGCCATGTTATATTTGTTTTTTAAAAGCTCTATGCGCCGGAATGTCGTCATAGAAAACATTATAAAAGTGACACGCAAAACATGTAGTGAAAACGTACTGTTGTGCGATAGCCTGCAATTTTGCAGGACTTAGAAAACAATACAAGAGTAACACGCAATTTTACAAAACACATGAGAAAGCAACCGGATAATCATTCCTGGATAAATTCTACCAGCTTTGCTGCACCGCAGTCATTAGTCTGCCATAATTTCGAACCCCACTCTCCTCCGAATCCTGCGAAATCTCGCTTGATTTTGCGCTATGTCGCGAGACTTAGGGTTATCTAAAATTGTCCCCTCTGAAATCGTTAAAACATATTGAAACTACACTTCAGCGAACACAATTATATCATATAGGGATCTATCATCATCTTTGTGAGAAAATGGCCAAAAATGTATATCATTAAATCGATCTATCTGACAAAGCAAACCATTTAAAGACAAGCTGTCTCGTTAATTCAAAGAAACATCATTGCCCTAAGGTAACAACGTAAAAACCGAAATAATCTAGACTAGCCTGATAGACTGATGGCTTGCTAATAGCAGTCATTTGAAAAATATGGCGAGCAATTTTAAAGGCGAAAAAGTACATTTCAGTAACGAGGACCATGCGCATTGGGTAGTGTGGACTTCACACGTATATATGGTATAACGCCGCATGTCTTTTCTATGATTTAAAGCAGTGAAATGAATGAGAAAAGCAATCCGTTATAGAAAGCCGCCTTATGGTTCTTATTATCTCCAATAAAAATAGACAGACATCTTTTTGGGGGAGTAGAGCCAACTAAATTATATTCCATTTTGTGCTGTATCATGTATCTTTGATCAGGCTAATGTCTTTGAAATATTTGCTCGTGCTCTCATCTTTTTTTGACAAGCTCTTTCACTCCAGGGCTTTAGGTTACCCTTCCCTGCACTTTGGATACGCAGTGACTTTTGATGGAGTAAACCATAACATTAATAGGTCATATAATTTCGTTGCCAAACTGTTTTTGTATGGTTTAAATAAACTCTGTAAAATGTCAATTCTTTTCAAAAATTTGATAAAATGGTTGCTGTGTAAAAAATAACGAAAACAATGGCAGAAGTTTTAATTTATCCAATGCAGGCCATCCTTACCTTGCTTGGGCAATGGGTACGGCATATCATAGTAGACTACAAATAGGTCCATGACTTCCTTGCCCACCCGTAAAGCATAGTCAACCTGAGACACTCTATCAGGAGTGGCATAGACCCTTAACTGAAAAAAGAATTAAATTTTTAGATTGATACATTAGTATATTACAACGAGAGAGAGAGAGAGAGAGAGAGAGAGGTAGTACATAAATCGACATTTGAGTAATTGAAATACTTTTTTTGTCTGCTGCCAAGGAGGTATTGATTTCTTTACGGTGTGTGTGTGTGTGTGTGTGTGTGTGTGTGTGTGTGTAAGGGATTATAGTGCCTATAAGGGATCTGTTTTTGCTTTATGATTTAAATGAAATTTTCAGGATAGGTCTCAAACAGGCCATGGACGAAATAATTTGATTTTGGTGACGATCCATCAATTAGTCAATTAATTAATTAATTAATTATTAGTTAAGTAAGTTTAGAGGGAATGAACAGATTGTGATAAAATTTTCAGGATAGGTCACAAATGGGCCAGGGAAGAACTGGTTATATTATGGCCATGCTCCATCAGTAAATTAATTAATTATTAATTATTAGTTAATTACGTCAAAGAGTAATGAACAGCTTTTGATGAAATTTTCAGGTATGTCATAAATGGAACAAGGAAGTAATGATCAGATTTTTGTGATGATCAATTTAATAATAAGTGGTTATTTAATTAATGGTTAATTAAGTCAGAGGTATTGTTTTCATTGCCTCTCTATCTGTGATTTGTTACTCTTGACTCTATATCTATGATTAGATTAATTAGAAATTAATTAATAACGAGTGCATCTTGTTTAAGTTGTTTTTCGTGCTTTGTTTTGTAGTTTGTCTTCCTGTTTGTCCGTGTCAAAAATTTCTTCGTATCCGTACCAAAATATTCTGTGCAACAACCCCAAATGTAAGGATGAACATACGCACCTTTGTACCACGTTCCGTAGTCGTTTCTTTAAATTCGAAGTCGCAAACTATGAAACACACAAGATATGTGCTCATAGGAACGGATTTTTCGAAGCGTGTTGCAGTTAGGCCGTCAGCTCTCACACTTGAACTCTAAAAATACAAAAGATAAGAACCTATGAAAAAATAGTCAGAGTTGCCATTAATGGGTGTTTGCGGGATAACGCCCTTTTCTTTATACTTCTACTTAAATAACATAGAGAAAAAAAATATTTTCTTTATCTGGCAGTCATAACACGTGATAATACTACGTCTTTGCTTTACAATAATCTCTAATGTTCACAAAGAGGCAATACAATATAAACACATACAAATCTACTATGTCTTTTATTTGGCTCTACATGATGTTGTTTAATTTTCAATATTCATAAAGTGACAATACAATGTTATCATTTTAGTTTTGGTAGATGGAGGAAGGGGGAGAACAATCTCGTACCTCAACTGGCATGTTAGATAAGGCAATATAAGTTGGATCGTGCACCAGAGTCGTGTTGTAGGTCGCCTTGATGTTGGGCTCATCAAAACACGGGAACGCCTTCCGGGCATCAGTTGGTTCAAATTTTGATGTAGCTAATCCTCTGAAATCAAAGTAAAAAGCCATGGCTGGACTTTTTTCAATAATGGCAGTTATAAAATTTGTTGCGCTCGAAATTTATTACATTTTTCTCAAAAGAATCTGTCACTTTTAGGATAAAGATATTGTGGCCCGGATCTTTATCAGGTCTTAACAAAATTGAGAAAGATGGTGCATGTGAATCGACTGATTATAGGGGAATAAAGCCTAACTAAGGTAACGGCGATCAATAGAATTCACAGAAGAGCTGCACAGGTTATCGCCTGATGTTAAACAGTAAGACAGTGAGCATGAGGATCATTTAAACACAGCCAAGGGAATCCTCTTTGCCCACATGGAATTTCTGACATATCCAAAGTACCTCCTTAGAAGTGACTCCACTGCTCGTATTTATCTTTTATAATTATCTTCATTAGGAACATTTTTTAAGGCCTCTGTAGAACTCATAGATTATTATGTGCTGTGTTTGGTCCAGATATATGGACATACAAACTCAAGTGTAGGCGAGTTTGGGAACCACTATTGGTTTCATAGTTATTAAAAAGAATGCTGTTTGTGAGAGAAATGTTATCGTTATCGGTTTCAATTGTTAATTAAAATTAAAAAGTAGCTCTGGGTATGTCAAAAGTCAAAAATTGTAAACTTTTCTGTATTTCATAGAAAACAAACAAATAAGCACAGAACGTTATAAATTTCGACCTGCCCCCAGCACACACACACGCGCGCGCGCGCGCGCACGCACGCACGCACCGCCATCTTACATATGTCAAGCAATGTTAAGAAAGTAAGACTCTTTAAAAATGACACTGGCATCTCCCCTTTTGGGAAAAGGCACTGGGGAAACGTGGAATTCGGCATTAACGTATCCTTATCTTGTCATAATTAAGTAGACACATATCTCACAGGAATGTTCAAAGACAGTCCAACCAACATCTTATCTTCTTAAGCCAACACAAGGTACATGTAGCCAATATTGCCAACGTTTGCTTTAGCAATTATGTTCTCGTATCTAGTAGGTTTCTCACACAATATAAGCTCTTCAGCAAGCAACCGCCAAGTCATTTTGTAAAAAGTTTTACAAACTGAAAAATCTGTTACTGTTGCATTTGAAGAAAATCACACTGCTTTACAGGGTTAACATTTAAGCACGCGATGCCACTGCGGAGTGCAAACAGGAGAAAGTAAGAATCACGGTCGACCTCTGGTTCAAATATAATCTGACTTTGCATCCGGATTACACTCCGATAAGCTTGTCAGAGCGCACTCAGCACAGCTGACTAACCGATCCGCGGATCAAATATGGCTGACCCACTTGAATGCTTGTTGCGTAATCCCCGCGGGGAATCTTTTCAGTGTCTAATGGGGATTAAGGATATTAGTACCCTTTGCCAAAAACTCCTTATTAACTGCCTTACATATGCACCTTGGATAACAGATAAATCTTCGGTGTTCAGTGACTAAATGAATAAACATTTACACTCATGTCATCTTAAGATTGGCGTCATAATTGCGATTTTGGGATAAAAATGGAAAAATCGGTATCTCAAATTTCTCCTTTACCTGAACACCCACGAGTACCGTTTTAACACCAATTTAATGACACCATTTAGTACTCCAAAACTTTGCCAGCGATTTTTCATAAATGTCTAAGTTCAGATTTTGTCGTTGATAAAGCAAAATAATGCCGATTAATAAAAACTAATTAGAGGCCCATAACTCCACAACAAAAACATTTAAACCAAAATGACGACACCGGATTGTAGCCCATACACTTCCAGCCAACTCTGTCTGTTTTCGTGATAAAATTTTGTTCAGGGATGAAGTTACGACCCATATCGATTGCTATCTCACCTCAAAATAAGTTGACGAATAAAGCATTGATTTGGTTATTCTTTTGCATTGCGACGAAAAATATAAACGCCGATATTTTTTATTATTGAGGGTTTTTTATTGTTTTCAATCAGCACAAAGATAGAGGCATCATTGAACAATTAGATGCAGGAAAAACTCATTTTCGGTACCCGGATGATAATAAAAGGTTACAATACCCTTAAGAGGCAAGTTTTTTAGTGGGTCCCCATATTTGAACCGCGAATCTGCTAGTCCGCTGTTCTGAATACGCTGTAAGATATTTACGACTATCCGCAAAAAAAGAAAAAATAACTTAGGCTTGTCACTAGTAAAGTACATGAGTAAATTGCATTGACGACATAATTCCTACACAAAGTTCTTTCACTCGACCTATTAGTCTTCTCTCGGATCGATTCTAAGCGGATAAAATGTCTTCTTCGAGCAAGTACATCACCTTCCACTGTCAATGAGAGAGAGAGAGAGAGAGAGAAAGTATGCTTGGGTGGAAGTATGAGGCATAGCTCTCCACTCTGCCAGGGATCTAAAAACTGGCAAAATTTAAATTACTGAAAAAATTACTCTCTTACACAAGCGAAGTCCATAAAACCCCCACCCACTGATGATTTTGATAATAACTAGCATTAGCAGAATGAAAAAGAGCCAGAACGAACAAGAACGAGAGAGTAAAGTTGGAACCGAAAACTTTATCATCGAGTGCAAACTTACTTGATCGTACAGCCTGCAATTTGACCTCAAAACATGTGAAAACGTAAATGATTTTGCACGAGATTTGTCTCAGATTACACTTTCTCTGTAAAAATGATTTTCTTCTACCACAAAAACGCATTAATATCTATTTATTTCCAGCACAACATGCTCCGACAATATGTGTGATTTATGAAGGGCATCGAAACAAAAACAAATTTCTTTTGAACAGGTTGTTTATAAATGTGTGCAACCTAAAGCCTTACATTTAAAGTTTTGTTTGTCGAGCAGATGCTTTGATACGGACCAATTTCTAATTTACAAATAATTTACAGGTTTACTCATCGCTGTCATCTCGATCAGTTGTGTTTACATAAAAAAACGAGTTTCCATCATTTTTTAATATTGAAAGAGATAACGTGTTACAAAAATGAACAGAAATGGGTATACTTAATGGTAAAACAAGTAAAATGCTCCCAACGCTCACATTCCCACAGGGCCCTTGGCATAAGGCCTGACTGTACTGTCGGCTATGCTTCCTAAATGTCACTTCATACACTTATAAAAGACATGAAAGTCGATGTTTTATTCCTTTTTGTGTCCCCAAAGAGTTTTAAAAATGGAATCGAACATTCATTTAGGCAGTTTCAGGCACGGAGAGCAAACATGGAAATTTCTCTCTTCGGATACCTAATTCCACATATTTTGCGCATTAGAGAAATTGTATGATGACGATTCTGTTATTATTTGGTCGACAGCTGAATTGTTAATGATTTTAAAACTTAAAAATCGAAGAATATTGTTTATTTGTTGAGTCCATTTCAAATTAAAGCTTTTAGTTAATAGACTAAAGAGTTGCTGTGAGAGCAAATGGTATTCAGTAAACAAAAGACTATCGCTCGTTGCACTCTAACTCGTTAAGGGATAGGAGCTACAAGAATAATAAACAATGTATATAATATATCGCTATGTTGGGATATTTATAGCAGTAGTGTGAATTTGACTACATCGTTAAACCAAACTTAACAGTTAGTATAGTGTTTTATTGGGGATTTATAATACAATCTTACGTTGGTCGAGAGAAGGTAGAAAATGTCGATGTCTCTTTGTCCTCTGATACCACGGTAAACAAGTGACAGATAAGGCACACAAAGGATTTTATCTTTAAGACACTGCACCACCCCTTAATGTGACCTAGGTGCAGTGTGCTATTCAAAGCACGTTTTCCAACGACANCATTGGTTTCATAGTTATTAAAAAGAATGCTGTTTGTGAGAGAAATGTTATCGTTATCGGTTTCAATTGTTAATTAAAATTAAAAAGTATCTCTAGGTATGTCAAAAGTCAAAAATTGTAAACTTTTCTGTATTTCATAGAAAACAAACAAATAAGCACCGAACGTTATAAATTTCGACCTGCCCCCAGCACACACACACACACGCGCGCGCGCGCGCGCGCGCACGCACGCACCGTCATCTTACATATGTCAAGCAATGTTAAGAAAGTAAGACTCTTTAAAAATGACACTGGCATCTCCCCTTTAGGGAAAAGGCACTGGGGAAACGTGGAATTCGGCATTAACGTATCCTTATCTTGTCACAATTAAGTAGACACATATCTCACAGGAATGTTCAAAGACAGTCCAACCAACATCTTATCTTCTTAAGCCAACACAAGGTACATGTAGCCAATATTGCCAACGTTTGCTTTAGCAATTATGTTCTCGTATCTAGTAGGTTTCTCACACAATATAAGCTCTTCAGCAAGCAACCGCCAAGTCATTTTGTAAAAAGTTTTACAAACTGAAAAATCTGTTACTGTTGCATTTGAAGAAAATCACACTGTTTTACAGGGTTAACAAACACATGCTAGTGAATTTCTAAGCTTTTTAAGCACGCGATGCCACTGCGGAGTGCAAACAGGAGAAGGTAAGAATCACGGTCGACCTCTGGTTCAAATATAATCTGACTTTGCATCCGGATTACACTCCGATAAGCTTGTCAGAGCGCATTCAGCACAGCAGACTAACAGATCCGCGGATCAAATATGGCTGACCCACTTGAATGCTTGTTGCGTAATCCCCGCGGGGAATCTTTTCAGTGTCTAATGGGGATTAAGGATATTAGTACCCTTTGCCAAAAACTCCTTATTTACTGCCTTACATATGCACCTTGGATAACAGATAAATCTTCGGTGTTCAGTGACTAAATGAATAAACATTTACACTCATGTCATCTTAAGATTGGCGTCATAATTGCGATTTTGGGATAAAAATGGAAAAATTGGTTTCTCCAATTTCTCCTTTACCTGAACACCCACGAACACCGTTTTAACACCAATTTAATGACACCATTTAGTACTCCAAAACCTTGCCAGCGATTTTTCTTAAAAGTCTAAGTTCAGATTTTGTCGTTGATAAAGCAAAATAATGCCGTTTAATAAAAACTAATTAGAGGCCCATAACTCCACAACAAAAACATTTAAACCAAAATGACGACACCGGATTGTAGCCCATACACTTCCAGCCAACTCTGTCTGTTTTCGTGATAAAATTTTGTTCAGGGATGAAGTTACGACCCATATCGATTGCTATCTCACCTCAAAATAAGTTGACGAATTAAGCATTGATTTGGTTATTCTTTTGCATTGCGACGAGAAATATAAACGCCGATATTTTATATTTTTGAGGGTTTTTTATTGTTTTCAATCAGCACAAAGATAGAGGCATCATTGAATAATTAGATGCAGGAAAAACTCATTTTCGGTACCCGGATGATAATAAAAGGTTACAATACCCTTAAGAGGCAAGCTTTTTAGTGGGTCCCCATATTTGAACCGCGAATCTGCTAGTCCGCTGTTCTGAATACGCTGTAAGATATTTACGACTATCCGCAAAAAAAGAAAAAATGACTTAGGCTTATCACTAGTAAAGTACATGAGTAAATTGCATTGACGACATAATTCCTACACAAAGTTCTTTCACTCGACCTATTAGTCTTCTCTCGGATCGATTCTAAGCGGATAAAATGTCTTCTTCGAGCAAGTACATCACCTTCCACTGTCAATGAGAGAGAGAGAGAGAGAGAGAAAGTATGCTTGGGTGGAAGTATGAGGCATAGCTCTCCACTCTGCCAGGGATCTAAAAACCGGCAAATTTTAAATTACTGAAAAAATTACTCTCTTACACAAGCGAAGTCCATAAAAACCCCACCCACTGATGATTTTGATAATAACTAGCATTAGCAGAATGAAAAAGAGCCAGAACGAACAAGAACGAGAGAGTAAAGTTGGAACCGAAAACTTTATCATCGAGTGCAAACTTACTTGATCGTACAGCCTGCAATTTGACCTCAAAACATGCGAAAACGTAAATGATTTTGCACGAGATTTGTCTCAGATTACACTTTCTCTGTAAAAATGATTTTTTCTACCACAAAAACGCACAACATGCTCCGACAATATGTGTGATTTATGAAGGGCATCGAAACAAAAACAAATTTCTTTTGAACAGGTTGTTTATAAATGTGTGCAACCTAAAGCCTTACATTTTAAGTTTTGTTTGTCGAGCAGATGCTTTGATACGGACCAATTTCTAATTTACAAATAATTTACAGGTTTACTCATCGCTGTCATCTCGATCAGTTGTGTTTACATAAAAAAACGAGTTTCCATCATTTTTTAATATTGAAAGAGATAACGTGTTACAAAAATGAAGAGAAATGGGTATACTTAATGGTAAAACAAGTAAAATGCTCCCAACGCTCACATTCCCACAGGGCCCTTGGCATAAGGCCTGACTGTACTGTCGGCTATGCTTCCTAAATGTCACTTCATACACTTATAAAAGACATGAAAGTCGATGTTTTATTCCTTTTTGTGTCCCCAAAGAGTTTTAAAAATGGAATCGAACATTCATTTAGGCAGTTTCAGGCACGGAGAGCAAACATGGAAATTTTTCTCTTCGGATACCTAATTCCACATATTTTGCGCATTAGAGAAATTGTATGATGACGATTCTGTTATTATTTGGTCGACAGCTGAATTGTTAATGATTTTAAAACTTAAGAATCGAAGAATATTGTTTATTTGTTGAGTCCATTTCAAATTAAAGCTTTTAGTTAATAGACTAAAGAGTTGCTGTGAGAGCAAATGGTATTCAGTAAACAAAAGACTATCGCTCGTTGCACTCTAACTCGTTAAGGGATAGCTACAAGAATAATAAACAATGTATATAATATATCGCTATGTTGGGATATTTATAGCAGTAGTGTGAATTTGACTACATCGTTAAACCAAACTTAGCAGTTAGTATAGTGTTTTATTGGGGATTTATAATACAATCTTACGTTGGTCGAGAGAAGGTAGAAAATGTCGATGGCTCTTTGTCCTCTGATACCACGGTAAACAAGTGACAGATAAGGCACACAAAGGATTTTATCTTTAAGACACTGCACCACCCCTCAATGTGACCTAGGTGCAGTGTGCTATTCAAAGCACGTTTTCAAACGCCAACCATAAACAGGCCGTTCTTTGATAAGAATGTAAAAGTTGCTCGAGGACACCGCATCAAACGCTAGTCTCTTTAATGTCTTTGCGTTTGACAAAAAAGGAATGAGGTGGAAAACCTCAGTGGACTTGTGTATACATGTCCAAATCCCATGTTATCACTAAAACACTTAAAGGGATAACAACTGTTCGTATAATATCCATATTTTACAATAAATGCATTGTAAACAACTCACAGAAATATAATATATTCTATTTTACCTCCAATACAGCGGTCAACGCAATTATTTTGGAATTTTTGCTTGCCATCACATCACGTGACCTTCATAGATGGCTACACTCTGTGATCATCTCTTAAGAGAATATTACAGAAAAAAAAACTTTTTAGAAAAAAAAAACAGGGACTAACTTTGAATTTGGAATGGATTCATTTACCATTGGTAAGTAAGGGAATTCCTTTACTCTGGGAAAATCCATTTTTTGGCCAAAATGAGCAGTTGTTATCCCTTTAAGTTGAAGGAGGCGCATAGGAGCTATAAGTCCCCTTTAAAAAGGACCTCTGGCTGAAAACGACGACTATTGAAACAAGAAAACCCACAATACACAATACTGTGTTTACTGTTTTAATTTAGTATCTAAAAAAAACATTAGCACTTTGTGCAACACATTAGGCGCATTATTGATTTTCCTATCATATACAATACATTGAGCTGTTCTTACCTTGTTTCTCCCGTAATACTATTCACATAGGTACTTTTATAAAACCCTACAATCCCATTAGAGAGAGAGCCCTCAAATGTCAAGTGTAGTACAACTTGGCTGTTTGCAGATATATTACTGTTTGTTTCAACTACCCAAAACTGGTTTGGAATGTAAGAAAAATTCCTACTGATCGGGACATCTTGGCCGGTGTCCTTTTCGGTCAAGCGCGTGGCCGTAACGTCGAGGTATTTTATGTGAATTAATATATGCCTAGTTTCTTCTGTGATATTCAATTCCACGGAGACATTCCCGTAGAATGTGGAGTGATTCCCATAAAAATCTGGATATAATGTTATGTCATAATGGGTAGGAATGATGTGAGGTGGTAAACGCAAATTTCTCCAGGGCTCTGAACTTGGCCAGGGGGAAGCCGTTGAAGCACCAGTTGTACGGTCGGTGGAGTGAGGAACTGCTGGAGATCCAGTTCTGGCTTCTTGCACTGGGGACGCCACCTCGGACGCACAGTCTCGTAAATACCACGTTAAAAGCCCAACAAGGACTGGTATGGCAACAAATAGAAAGCCGAGTATGGCGGCTTTCGTTCGACTGATGGACCAATGCTTGTGCATCCTCACCGAAGGTTCCATCGTAAAAAAATCAAATCCCTTCAGGCCCAGCACCCTCTCGCTGTTCTCTTGCTCCTCGTCGGCCGTGTTGAAGTGTAAACTGGCATAAATCGCGATAAAGGTGTTCAGCTCTGTTTACTGAATATCAAGAGACCGAATCAGTGTTTACATACACGTATACGATCATTGATGAGCATTATGTTATCAGAATCTGTGACTACCTGCGTATGTATGCTCGTGCACGCCCCTTTTATCCACCTTCTTTCTTGGACACACTTAAAATGCGCGATGTTCATCTTGCTCCTTTTTTAAAAAGTTATTGCCACTTTATAGAAGCCTGTCATAACTGAAGACCACTGCAAACAATGAGAAACCCGAATACGTTTTTTTTTTCCACAGAAAAATGAATATCATTCCCAATTTTGCCAGTCTGTGGTTAAGGCTTGAGCTTGGTGCTTGGTCTCTTCAGACTAATTGAGTGCATTTGCAGCAATCTACGCCAGGCAGCCCTAAATATAACCACTTCACAGCCACCGGATTGTGAAACTCTGGTTTTAAATGAGTATCCAACTGTGAGTGCGCAAGAAGCAGCAAACGGCATCGATAATTTGGCTCATTGAGTGCCTTGAATTCTTCTAAAATCCCCTTATGGCTCCAACTCACCAAGTTATGCTCTTTTAAGTGCGACCCCATGAAGGCACATCGAACCTTTCACCTGTAGCGAACAGCATAAGAAACAGACTACAAAAGAAATAATGTTCATTCGTTTCACACCCACTTTCATTATTAAGGATTTAAAACCACCGCACGTGCCAAGTCCAATAATAAGTTATCGCGTGTTGAGTTCTTATTTTTTTAAATCCATTTCTTCAGCACTGTTGGTTTTAATATCAGTTCACCTGGCGCGACTTATTACGATTAAATATTTCAAAAAGGGAATATTTCTTAGAAGTAATTAAAAGATGAAATTGCTCTCCATAAGCAAAGCCGAATGTACGAGGATCTCTAGATTTATATCATTTCAGAAAGATACGATGTGGATATTGTGGCAGTTGTCTGAGACCATATGTTGTAGTAGATGAGAGCCCTCCGCGCTGGACAAGATTATCAAATCTGGAATGTCTGTGCATTTCACCCCTCTATAAGCCCAATGATGTTTGAGAACATTTCTTAATGTGCAGGCTACACCTGTAGCGATAATTGGAATAATGTAAAAATCGCTCGTAAGCCTATTTGCTTTCAGAAATGAGGCGGAATCCACTTTTTCCATAGACATTTCAAATGATCTTAATGTCGCTACCTCATGTTTTTCAAGAACATCCTGTTCTAAGAATACGAACACGTATTGAGATCAACTAAAATTTATCTTGTTTCTCTTTACACCTGGAAACTAAGAGAGAAAGTAAAGGAGGTCAGAACTTTGCCTTATGAAAATCTAGTCAAAAAGATTTCAGGGTTGTTGAAACATTTACAGGCTTGCCATTGAAGACCTTGGAATTTTCAAAAGCTTGGATGAAAGAGGATTACCCTTTTCAACAAACCATTAATGATTCCCAAAATAAATCTACATGGATTTATTCGTTTAAAGAAAAAAAAAGGAATGGCGAGCCAGTTCGCAAAAGTAAAACTATCAAAAAGTGGATTAAACTCTTTTTATTTTATGATAAGGTGTAAGATTAAATATATCTGTCTGCTACTGCAGGTTTATTTCTTATGACAATACTTAATACAGCAAATCTATCAAACGTAAATACTGTCACATGACCAGTTTGCACGTTTTAATTGACAGCTAGATGACAGAATTCAATCAGCTGAGCTGACAAAACAAGTCCATAAAGAAGTTCATATTTGACCATAGGGATTTGAGCTTCACTAGGTCTAAGTCCACTCAACAATATGGATAGATGGTTAGGCACGATTCTATGACACCCATCATTAAAAAACATTGTGAGAACAAGGTAAACTCCAATTCATGGGATATGGTAATCTTTGACATATTTCGTGGATTAATACTTATTGTGTACTACCCGGTACTTCCTGTAGTCCTCATTATGTCAGTTAAAAGAATACTTTCAGCTGTAAAAAAACATCTCAGTCTCTGATTTGTCAACCAGCCTAATTGTTAATTATGAACACATCTGTATTTCTATCATACATGGGCCACTAAACCACTATTATAGCAATACAGAGTCCAATCCTAAATGATGTACAATGACTTATGGGGATAAACTGTCCATAAAATATGGTTGTCCATCTCTATCTCTCCTTCTTGTGAGAATTTCGACACCAGTGTCAGTGACAAGTAGCGTTTCTTCAAACTGAGCTGACCTTTTGCCGTCCTGAGTGACCGATGTCCAGTTATCTGGCCAGGTCTGGTCTCTCCATGTCCCTGTTATACAATATTAGGAATCATTATATCTAATATATGTGTAATTTCACATTCTATTCACATATATGCTAATATTATCATGGGATTGAACTCAATTTAAATTTTTTTTAAAATTCAATATGAAAGTTTCAACACATAATTAATTGAATGAAACATAATATTTCAACAAACATTTGTTAATAAACTAATGTACCAAACATTGTATTCTCTTCAACTTTTCTCACCTTCTGAAATCATGGGTTCTATTGTGAATGTATGACCAATTTTAGCAACACCAACTGCTTTATTTTCTGTAAAGAAGAAAAAAATAATGACTTTGTGTCTAGTGTGAAAAATTAGCCCCTTTAAGTAAATTTTCAAATTGGAGATAAGTGGAAATCAGGAGATCTTTTCGTTTTTAAGTACAAATCAATATAAGTCCACTTAACATTTGCTGGGAAAATATTTAAGTCTACCCTGCTTCAGTTCTTGTTGGGCAATGTCTTAAAAAACCACATCCCCATATTCCCCAAAGACGTCACCTCAACACCTGCAATACCACTTCTTATGCTTTAATTGTTTCATCAAACACAGTCAAGATCATTCATCTGACAAACCCATCAAATCACTCCACACATCACAACACATTAGAACTATGGGCTGGTAAAAAAACCATTGGGCAAGCTGTTATTTATCTGATATTCACATGGGAAAATACTTAAAAGGCTATCAGGTTGTCCATATTCAGAGTGTGACCACATGTTCAAAGGTTCACAACCTGAATGTTAGGGTCTAACATGGCATACACATTAGGTTTAACTTAGACCTGGAGTTCAGATAGACAACTGAATAAAATTAAAACAAAAAGGTTGGGTTTACTTTTATTCCGACTATCTTGTGACATTAGACAGTTCCTAATTTAAAGGAAAACATTATTTCCTGGAGCCTAAAATGAATAAAATTATAATTGGTGTGTACTTCCAGGGGTTAATCAGAGAAGTGAGGCATCAACTGGGCAGTGATATCATTGGTGTTTAGCACACTGCTAAAATATACACTACAATGAACTGCAATCTAAGCTTTAGCAAACATTATAAATAAAGAGAAAAAATTACATTAAGTTCATACTGACAGTGCTACACCCCTATCAATCAACACGAATGATTACTAAATGATTATATTTTTTTATTTCTCCACAATCATGAATAATGGTAGTTAGTTGACTTTTCCCTGCTTCATTAAAATCATGTATATAATTAAGATAAAACTATTCTTATTTTTTAAGTTCTCTAGAGGCATTGTTTCACATGCATAGTAAAATTTACCCCTCATCCTCCCCCCCCCAAAAAAAAACAAATAACTATATATTGCTTCTATGAATGATGTAAAGACTCCTTATTGCTCTTTATAATAAACAATACTAACATAGAACCTAACTTAATCCAGTTATGAATTAGAATTTTGCTTTCAGACCATAAATTAATGTCTACTTACTTGCATAATGAGGGACACTGGGAGCAGTGTGAAAAAGTCTAAAAAAGTAAAATTATATATTTAAGTTATTGATGAAAAATGTATTCATGAGACAAAACAAACTGGTACATTTCTATTCTACAAAATAATCAGATTGCGTATAAAATATAGCATTAAATCAAAGATAAAACTTAAATACCAATTAACAAGAGTATTTCTAAATGGGAATCAGATCAAGGTGCCCCTTACTGATGAATCCCGTGGCCACAGTAACTCCTGACAACAGAGTAACCATGAGCTTGAGCATGCTTTTGAATGACATCGCCAACCTCTCTGTATCTGATGCCTGGTTTCACTAAAACAGGGGAAAAAATGGGCCAAATTACATGCTACAAATAGTTGCATTCACAGTTCCAACTTTAATATCAATACCCCCCCCCCCAATATCTATGACATCTAAATCAAAGGATAACTGGTCTCACGATTGTTTTTTTTATTTTTGCCTTTAAATATACTTTATGGTTGAACACAACTTTTAACTTTGTCTATTGCCATCTAAATTTTTAGTCCTTTTAAACATTTTACTAATATTTTCTAGCAACAAAGAGATATTACTGTTTGCAATGGACAACAGAAGACTTATCAAATATAGCCGACCCACTTGAATGCTTGTCACATAATCCCCCAGAGAATCTATTCAGTGATTATTAGGGGATTATGCGGCAAGATTTTAAGCGGCTTGCCATATTTGATCAGCAGATCTGTTAGTCTGCTGTTGAGAATGCAGCCTTATATCTTTTTCAGTCTTACCCAGCTGCATGGCTTTCTGCAGACATTCCCAGGTGACTTTCACCAGCTTTTTACTACTCTCCTCTACTTCACCTACAAACAGCGTCTCGTTCAAATCACCATGGTATCCACGGTGATAAACAGTCACATCAACTGAAAAAGCAATTAAACAAATGGAACATAAACAATACATCTCCAAAACCATCAATGTTTCTTAAGAAAAAAAATATAAAAAATCTCGATCAACAATATATCAGTGTATATGTTTTATAAGAAAATACCAAGTCTTGTTGTAGGGAGAAAAGAACATTAAGCAAGAGAATAAAATTCAGAGTAAATGTTGATAAAAAATTTGACATTCTAGTTTGTCATCATACCATTGCAAATGTCCCCATTTTCTAAAGGTCTCATGTCAGGTATACCATGACAGATCACTTCATTGATGGAACTTTAAAATAGATAAAATAATGATAAATTAGTAGAATAAATATATTAATATTAATGTGTGAATTTTATATAAAATTAAAATGTTTGAAATAAGTTTAACTTCTGTTATACCATCTTTTTAAAGATTACAATTAATTAAATCTAAAAAAAAAAGAGGATTTAATTAACGTTCAAGCAATGCCTAATACCACTGCAAAGTAGATATTTATCATCAAATTTTTAGCAGCTGCTATGGTTTCTGGTAACACTTACATATATTTCACCTTCGTCAAATAAAAAAGAATAATGTTTAAAATAACACATTCAAGGTGATAAAATACTCACGTGCAACAAGATTTAGGGAAGTTATAGTAGTTCAGGGGTGATGGATAGCACTCTCTGTCAACAGATGCCTAAAGCAAAAAAAGAGTAATCATATTTTTTTCTTTTATCTTTTGCAAGTTAATTACAAATTACATTACAACTTTTAAGTCAGCTGCACATGAGCACCTGTTCCAACAGTAAAATCTGCAGATTTTGACATGAGAAAGGATTGCTAATGATACATAATATTGCTGAAAAGAAAGTTTTTTTTTTATTTTTTAGGTCAAATTAGCAGTGAAAATCAATACCTTTTTTCTTTTTGATTAAAAATGGGGGGGGGGGTGAACTTGAAAATTATACTAAATACATAACAACAAAGTAAAAATATTATTGAAAATTTCTAGAACACATACCTCATGCACAATTCTGTCAATTTCATCAGTGGTGACTCCTACAGCAATAGCAGCAGCTGCAGCATCTAGAACCTCTCGGGCTAACTGCAGGATAAAACAGTAAAATATTAATTCCACTTCTATTAACTTTATGCCAAATACTGAACTTCCAAATCTTTAGTCTTTAAAATCTTTTCATTTGACATTTTCAATCAAAGCAATGTCTTGTACAACCCAATGCAAAAAAGCACACACAAACGTACAATTCACAATTTAACCCCCAGGTTAGATTCTAACCTACCATGAGAACAATTCAAGGTTTTTAAACCTCTACATGATTTAAGAAACAATCAGTCTTCTTATTCCACTGAGTCATTTATCAAATAACCTTATAATAATATAATTATATAATTCATCCAAATCAAATGACCCCATTCTTCATAATTGCTTTACTAGGCAAGGCATGTTTTGCTCTGATTAAAATTCTACCTTTCCAGCCACCCTCATTCCTTCAATTTCTTCATCATTTAGCACCTTGATGTTGGTGGAACCACGCATGCTGCGCTCGCTATGAGAGACACCTATATAAATGGAGAAAGTCATTTCTATTTATTAAAACAAAATGTTAAATGATCAGAGGTGGATAGAATGTTTTTCACCACATAATTGTATCTCAAACCATTAACAAATTATGCTCAATACCAAAGGTGATCCTTTCCTTATTATATAAGAGTTTATAAAAATCAATTAAGCTTCTGGGTGGAATTCAGGTCAGACTGGCAGCTGTGCTTGTTAAGAATCTTATCTCTCCTCTGCTTAGCAATTATCTCATAATAATTCACTAGGTGTAACCAAACTTCCTCCATTTTATTCACAAAGATGAAAGTACAATTTCAAGTAAATTAATTGATTTACGAATGCAATTATACTCTAGATAATAAGAATTAATCATTTATTTATCCATTTGAAAGAAGAATATCTTGATTTTCAGTAGGACACATTGTACTGCATTACATCTGTCTCATTAGTTTCTCACCATCAGGATGATCTGCATAATCTGGCCGAGCTATGTGATCTCCAACAGTCCGCATAGCAGACTACATTGAAAAAGAATTTTTTTTTTAAGTTGACAAAGAAAAACAAATTTTATAAATTCAAATATAAACTTTATGTAGAACAAAGATCCCCATCTGCTTATAACATTCCAAGCTGACATTGTCCTCTTCTCAAAAAGCCAGTCAATATTAGAGCAATACTATATCAAGAGCCCATCTTTCAACAGCTTAAGATGGCTCAGAGAACAAACTTTAACCCATTCTCACAATTGTGAGCTCTATGGTATTAGTTAAAATTGTACTCCAGGCCATCGCCAGTCTAGTGTAACAGGGGTTTTGAAATTAACTAATGGTATTTTAATAAATGCATTTGCACAAAAAGAAAGTTACTATATTATCACATCTAAAAACAATCAAACCTGTGGGTATGGTCTCAGTTTCCCTGTAAAACTATACCCTGGCCAAGGGTGGTATGAATTACTGACATCATTTGGTTGTGAGTCAGCCTCTGAAAAGAGATACACCAAGTAAAAATAAATACAATGGATATTATAACACTAATATGTAAAACACTATGGATTAAATGGTCTCCATATAATATATGATGGCAAATCATACATAATGGTATTTATAACATGAAATTGTGTTTTAATCTAATGTCACAGACTACTGTACCACTTACTTGCTTTTTTGTGAATTTTTTTATGTTCATTCCAAGAACCCTTGAAGCATTCCTGAAAAAAAAAGGCAGTATTGGTCATTTACAATGACAAAGTAACAGCAATTTCAGAAGATATAATCACATCGGGGTTCATCTTAATGTCTTATTGCCAACAACTTTTAATACTAGTACTAGGTATTATGCTATAGTGTACAGTTTAAAGGGTAAAATAATTATATCAAAACTAAATTTCTGAATTTTTGGCCACAATCATGCCTACATACAAACATACTTATCAGTATCTTATTGTCTTTTTTTTAAACAAAGCTTTGAGTTACAAACAGTGAAGTATAAGTACTCAATACATGTAGGTACCATATGTATCTGTACCAGTAAATGCTAAAACTAATTTATTTGAATAACAGAGGAATCAATCAAAGTCACCACATAACTGAATTTAGAAAAAGAAAAAAACTTTGCTATTATAATTTTGTGGGGCGTACTGCATAAGAACCAAATATTCTTCATCAGCAACATCAGATTTTTTTAAGCAAAGTGCATGGCCCATGATCCTGAATGGCAAAGACTGAAGTGAGGGGGGGGGGGAGAGTTTTCGTATTGCCCATCCAAATCATTAATCAATGACATAAATCAAGAAAGCTACACGATATAACTTAAAAGGTGGTTTACCTGTGAGCAAAAGAACGACCCCTCTACACCTAACTTGATACACGTTGGACATTGAAGCTTGGCTTCCTTATTACATGCTGGAGTTTCACACAGCCGAGTCCCCACGGAAGCTGCCATTTTGACCTAATTAAATCGAAAACGAGGTAACTGTTCGCGAACTTTTGAAAATGGCTGATACAGTGGGGAAGGTATGTTCAAATTTTGGTACTTAAAAGCTAGTAATGCTGTGCATGGAATCAATTTTGCATGTTATGCAAAACATAGAGCTATACAGAATACATTTATAACGGTTTGGTTTGCTGTCATTCAGATTTGATTTTACTACATGGAGCTGTCGGAACATGTCGAACATGGGGGCAATGTTCAGACAGCATGTGGCGCATCACTTAACAGGAGTTGAAAACTGGGTCAAAGAGCCGGTTTATTTATGTTGCGCCAATCGAATTGAAATCAAAGCCCTTAATATGATATTTGAAAATGATAATCAAATTCGATATATCCAGTATAATACTATACTTAATTTTCTAATTAGGTTTCAACAGTATCCAGTAGAAGTGCTCGTCTTCCCAAATATCTCACGTGGCTAACTATGTGGTGTAATCTTATTTGTATGTTTATTCTAGCCCATCCAATGCAAAGCTGCTGTGGCGTGGGAGCCAAAGAAACCACTGGTCATTGAGACTGTGGAAGTAGCCCCTCCTAAGGCTGGGGAAGTTCGGTTAAAGGTGGGGAACCAAAGTAAAATATTCAGAGACACTTAATTCTTAGATAGCTAGCATTTTGTTGTATTTTATTCCTGATAAGAAATAATATGAATAGATGCAATTTTAGTGGGGGATGCTGTCTTCTTAGGGGTTAGAATCAGTAGTGATATGAGCTGGGAAGGTCACATCTGTGATATTTCTAAAAAAGCAAGTAAAAGGCTACACAATCTTAATCTTTTGGAAAGAGCGGGTATTCCAACCAATGAACTTGTAAGCTTTTACACATCAGTAATCTGACCTATATTAGAATATGCAGGTCAGGTGTGGCACCCAGGTCTCACACAACAACAAGTTGATAAAATTAAATCCATCCAGAAGAGAACATGTAAGATTATATTCCCAGAGCTGCCCTATGATGGGGCACTTGAAACATGTAAACTTTTCACTCAGGCCTATAGCCAGCAATTTCAAAAGGGGGGTTCTTTTTCTGAAAAAGTGGACCTTTTCCCATATAAACTTCATGTACATAGATCAAATTTTACCCAGAGTGGACCTTTTCCCAGCAAAAGGGGCAGTTCTTTCGACCCCCGAACCCCCCCCTGGCTACGAGCCTGTAACTCTTGCTTGTAGAAGAGATGAACTATCTAAAACATTATTGCATAACATGTACTCCGAATCTATCATTTGCTTCCAGAGATAAATGAAAGTTCCTACACTTTGCGCCGGGTTTATAGGTACAGTACACTGTGCCAAAACTGAGGACTGTACGATCATCACATACTTTTATCCCATGGACTTTATCAAATTTTAAGAACTGAGGTTTTTATGACCTTTTAATGTGTATTGAATCATTTTAACACTTACAAGTATATTTTAAGATTGTGCATCTCACCACAACTTTGTAAGTTGCAAATGAATACATATTATTATTTTCATTTACCCAGCCATAAATGGCTTTGTGGTACAAATCACTATTAATACTGGTATAGCAATCAGTATAACTTTTGATGCCACAAGATTAGCTTCTAGGCTAGAGTTTTTTGTAACTTTATAATATTTTTTCCAACCCAGGTATTAGCTACTGGTGTGTGCCATACTGATGCCTATACTTTAGATGGCTTTGATCCAGAGGGGAAATTCCCATGTATTTTGGGCCATGAAGGAGGTGGTATTGTGGAAAGTGTTGGTGAAGGGGTGACATCAGTCAAGCCAGGTACACTACAGATGATGGAAAGATGTTTGGTTTTTTAAAGCCCATTTTTTGTAAGGGACACTCCACTGGTGGCCTTTTAATTAAGCTGAATACAATAAGGAGCTTTATGAAATAAGTGCATTTAAGAAAGTGAATATGTTGAGACTTGGATGTTTGACTTATAGATTGAAAGTTAATTTATTTTTATTCAGGTGACCATGTCATACCTTTGTACACCCCCCAGTGTGGCGAGTGCAAGTTCTGTAAAAATCCAAAGACCAATTTATGCTCAAAGATAAGGTATTTACAACAGTTGGATTAACTCTATTAAGTTTGCTCCTATAAATTGGTTATAAATATTGCTGTAGACTATAACCGCTGTCTTATTTCACCTATCAGTTATTTTGACCTATGCAGTGTAGGTTACGCAAGCTACTGAGATAGAGTGCCTGATAAATGGATGTCATTCACACTGCTGAGAGATAGCAACAGGTGCTGTTTTAAATAGTGACACAGTGTATTCATGCTTGTTGAAATCTATGCCCCCCAGCATTCCAACATGCTCTCCCTATCATACTCAGATTTTTAAAGATGCTGCAGAGAAGAAAAATGGTTAGGAATTGTAATAAGTAACACAAATTTCAAGGGTGTTTGCTGCCTTTCTTTGAAAAATGACACCAACGTTTTAATGAGTCATTAAAGATAACAACCCCTAATTGTTTAATTTTTATGTACAGACACAGATGTGTCTGTACATATTGCCATCACCTGCGTCTGTCGTCGCCGTCGCCGGCGCTGGCGCCGTGCACTTTCCTTGTAAACACGATNATCTGATATTCACATGGGAAAATACTTAAAAGGCTATCAGGTTGTCCATACTCAGAGTGTGACCACATGTTCAGAGGTTCACAACCTGAATGTTAGGGTCTAACATGGCATTCACAACAGGTTAAACTTAGACCTGGAGTTCAGATAGACAACTGAATAAAATTAAAACAAAAAGGCTGGGTTTCCTTTTATTCTGACTATCTTGTGACATTAGACAATTTCTAATTTAAAGGAAAACATTATTTCCTGGAGCCTAAAGTGAATAAAATTATAATTGGTGTGCAGTTCCAGGGGTTAATCAGAGAAGTGAGGCATCAACTGGGCAGTGATATCATTGGTGTTTAGCACACTGCTAAAATATACACTACAATGAACTGCAATCTAAGCTTTAGCAAACATTATAAATAAAGAGAAAAAATTACATTAAGTTCATACTGACAGTGCTACACCCCTATCAATCAACACAAATGATTACTAAATGATGATATTTTTTTATTTCTCCACAATCATGAATAATGGTAGTTAGTTGACTTTCCCTGCTTCATTAAAATCATGTATATAATAAAGATAAAACTATTCTTATTTTTTAAGTTCTCTAGAGGCATTGTTTCACATGCATAGTAAAATTTACCCCTCAACCCCCCCCCCCCCAAAAAAAACAAAACAAATAACTATATATTGCTATATGAATGTGGTAAAGACTCCTTATTGCTCTTTATAATAAACAATACTAACATAGAACCTAACTTAATCCAGTTATGAATTAGAATTTTGCTTTCAGACCATAAATTAATGTCTACTTACTTGCATAATGAGGGACACTGGGAGCAGTGTGAAAAAGTCTAAAAAAGTAAAATTATATATTTAAGTTATTGATGAAAAATGTATTCATGAGACAAAACAAACTGGTACATTTCTATTCTACAAAACAATCAGATTGCGTATAAAATATAGCATTAAATCAAAGATAAAACTTAAATACCAATTAACAAGAGTATTTCTAAATGGGAATCAGATCAAGGTGCCCCTTACTGATGAATCCCGTGGCCACAGTAACTCCTGACAACAGAGTAACCATGAGCTTGAGCATGCTTTTGAATGACATCGCCAACCTCTCTGTATCTGATGCCTGGTTTCACTAAAACAGGGGAAAAATGGGCCAAATTACATACTACAAATAGTTGCATTCACAGTTCCAACTTTAATATCAATACCCCCCCCCCATATCTATGACATCTAAATCAAAGGATAACTGGTCTCACGATTATTTTTTTCTTATTTTTGCCTTTAAATATTCTTTATGGTTTAACACAACTTTTAACTTTGTCTATTGCCATCTAAATTTTTAGCCCTTTTCAACATTTTACTAATATTTTCTAGCAACAAAGAGATATTACTGTTTGCAATGGACACAGAAGACTTACAGATCTGTGCATCAAATATAGCCGACCCACTTGAATGTTTGTTACATAATCCCCCAGAGAATCTATTCAGTGATTATTAGGGGATTATGCTGCAAGATTTTAAGTGGCTTGCCATATTTGATCTGCAGATCTGTTAGTCTGCTGTTGAGAATGCAGCCTTATATCTTTTTCAGTCTTACCCAGCTGCATGGCTTTCTGCAGACATTCCCAGGTGACCTTCACCAGCTTTTTACTACTCTCCTCTACTTCACCTACAAACAGCGTCTCATTCAAATCACCATGGTATCCACGATGATAAACAGTCACATCAACTGAAAAAGCAAACAAACAAATGGAACATAAACAATACATCTCCAAAACCATCGATGTTTCTTAAGAAAAAAAATATAAAAAATCTCGATCAACAATATATCAGTGTATATGTTTTATAAGAAAATACCAAGTCTTGTTGTAGGGAGAAAAGAACATTAAGCAAGAGAATAAAATTCAGAGTAAATGTTGATAAAAAATTTGACATTCTAGTTTGTCATCATACCATTGCAAATGTCCCCATTTTCTAAAGGTCTCATGTCAGGTATACCATGACAGATCACTTCATTGATGGAACTTTAAAATAGATAAAATAATGATAAATTAGTAGAATAAATATATTAATATTAATGTGTGAATTTTATATAAAATTAAAATGTTTGAAATAAGTTTAACTTCTGTTATACCATCTTTTTAAAGATTACAATTAATTAAATCTAAAAAAAAAAGAGGATTTAATTAACGTTCAAGCAATGCCTAATACCACTGCAAAGTAGATATCTATCATCAAATCTTTAGCAGCTGCTATGGTTTCTGGTAACACTTACATATATTTCACCTTCGTCAAATAAAAGAGAATAATGTTTAAAATAACACATTCAAGGTGATAAAATACTCACGTGCAACAAGATTTAGGGAAGTTATAGTAGTTCAGGGGTGATGGATAGCACTCTCTGTCAACAGATGCCTAAAGCAAAAAAAGAGTAATCATATTTTTTTCTTTTATCTTTTGCAAGATAATTACAAATTACATTACAACTTTTAAGTCAGCTGCACATGAGCACCTGTTCCAACAGTAAAATCTGCAGATTTTGACATGAGAAAGGATTGCTAATGATACATAATATTGCTGAAAAGAAAGTTTTTTTTTTATTTTTTAGGTCAAATTAGCAGTGAAAATCAATACCTTTTTTCTTTTTGATTAAAAATGGGGGGGGGGGGGTGAACTTGAAAATTATACTAAATACATAACAACAAAGTAAAAATATTATTGAAAATTTCAAGAACACATACCTCATGCACAATTCTGTCAATTTCATCAGTGGTGACTCCTACAGCAATAGCAGCAGCTGCAGCATCTAGAACCTCTCGGGCTAACTGCAGGATAAAACAGTAAAATATTAATTCCACTTCTATTATCTTTATGCCAAATACTGAACTTCCAAATCTTTAGTCTTTAAAATCTTTTCATTTGACATTTTCAATCAAAGCAATGTCTTGTACAACACAATGCAAAAAAGCACACACAAACATACAATTCATAATTTAACCCCCAGGTTAGATTCTAACCTACCATGAGAACAATTCAAGGTTTTTAAACCTCTACATGATTTAGGAAACAATCAGTCTTCTTATTCCACTGAGTCATTTATCAAATAACCTTATAATCATATAATTATATAATTCATCCAAATCAAATGACCCCATTCTTTATAATTGCTTTACTAGGCAAGGCATGTTTTGCTCTGATTGAAATTCTACCTTTCCAGCCACCCTCATTCCTTCAATTTCTTCATCATTTAGCACCTTGATGTTGGTGGAACCACGCATGCTGCGCTCGCTATGAGAGACACCTATATAAATGGAGAAAGTCATTTCTATTTATTAAAACAAAATGTTAAATGATCAGAGGTGGATAGAATGTTTGTCACCACATAATTGTATCTCAAACCATTAACAAATTATGCCCAATACCAAAGGTGATCCTTTCCTTATTATATAAGAGTTTATAAAAATCAATTTAGCTTCTGGGTGGAATTCAGGTCAGACTGGCAGCTGTGCTTGTTAAAAATCTAATCTCTCCTCTGCTTAGCAATTATCTCATAATAATTCACTAGGTGTAACCAAACTTCCTCCATTTTATTCACAAAGATGAAAGTACAATTTCAAGTAAATTAATTGATTTACAAATGCAATTATACTCTAGATAGTAAGAATTAATCATTTATTTATCCATTTGAAAGAAGAATATCTTGATTTTCAGTAGGACACATTGTACTGCATTACATCTGTCTCATTAGTTTCTCACCATCAGGATGATCTGCATAATCTGGCCGAGCTATGTGATCTCCAACAGTGCGCATAGCAGACTGACATTGAAAAAGAAAATTTTTTAAAGTTAACAAAGAAAAACAAATTTTATAAATTCAAATATAAACTTTATGTAGAACAAAGATCCACATCTGCTATAAGCTGTAACATCCCAAGCTGACATTGTCCTCTTCTCAAAAAGCCAGTCAATATTAGAGCAATACTATATCAAGAGCCCATCTTTCAATAGCTTAAGATGGCTCAGAGAACAAACTTTGACCCATTCTCACAATTGTGAGCTCTATGGTATTAGTTAAAATTGTACTCCAGGCCATCGCCAGTCTAGTGTAACAGGGGTTTTGAAATTAACTAATGGTATTTTAATAAATGCATTTGCACAAAAGAAAGGTACTATATTATCACATCTAAAAACAATCAAACCTGTGGGTATGGTCTCAGTTTCCCCGTGAAACTATACCCTGGCCAAGGGTGGTATGAATTACTGACATCATTTGGTTGTGAGTCAGCCTCTGAAAAGAGATACACCAAGTAAAAATAAATACAATGGATATTATAACACTTAATATGTAAAAAAACTATGGAATAAATGGTATCCATATAATATATGATGGCAAATCATACATAATGGTATTTATAACATGAAATCATGTTTTAATCTAATGTCACAGACTACTGTACCACTTACTTGCTTTTTTGTGAATTTTTTTATGTTCATTCCAAGAACCCTTGAAGCATTCCTGAAAAAAAAGGCAGTACGTATTGGTCATTTACAATGACAAAGTAACAGCAATTTCAGAAGATATAATCACATCGGGATTCATCTTAATGTCTTATTGCCAACAACTTTTAATACTAGTGCTAGGTATTATGCTAAAGTGTATAGTTTAAAGGGTAAAATAATTATATCAAAACTAAATTTCTGAATTTTTGGACACAATCATGCCTACATACAAACATACTTATCAGTATCTTATTGTCTTTTTTTTTAACAAAGCTTTGAGTTACAAACAGTGAAGTATAAGTACTCAATACATGTAGGTACCATGTATCTGTACCAGTAAATGTTAAAACTTATTTATTTGAATAGCAGAGGAATCAATCAAAGTCACCACATAACTGAATTTAGAAAAAGAAAAAAATTTGCTTTTATTATTTTGTGGGGCGTACTGCATAAGAACTAAATATTCTTCATCAGCAACATCAGATTTTTTTTAAGCAAAGTGCATGGCCCATGAGTGAATGGCAAAGACTGAAGTGAGGGGGGGGGGAGAGTTTTCGTATTGCCCATCCAAATCATTAATCAATGACATAAATCAAGAAAGCTACACGATATAACTTAAAAGGTGGTTTACCTGTGAGCAAAAGAACGACCCCTCTACACCTAGCTTGATACACGTTGGACACTGAAGCTTGGCTTCCTTATTACACGCTGGAGTTTCACACAGCCGAGTCCCCACGGAAGCTGCCATTTTGACCTAATTAAATCGAAAACGAGGTAACTGTTCGCGAACTTTTGAAAATGGCTGATACAGCGGGGAAGGTATGTTCAAATTTTGGTACTTAAAAGCTAGTAATGTTTTGCATGGAATTAATTTTGCGTGTTATGCAAAACATAGTGCTATACAGAATATATTTATAACGTTTTTTTGCTGTCATTCAGATTTGATTTTACTACATGGAGCTGTCGGAACATGTCGAACATGGGGTCAATGTTCAGACAGCATGTGGCGCATCACTCAGTAGGAGTTAAAAACTGGGTCAAAGAGCCGGTTTATTTATGTTGCGCCAATCGAATTGAAATCAAAGCCCTTCATATGATCTTTGAAAATGATAATCAAATTCTATATATCCAGTATAACCCTTAATTTTCTAATTAGGTTTCAACAGTACTCAGTAGAAGTGCTCGTCTCCCCAAATATCTCACGTGGCTAACTACAGTATGTGGTGTAATCTTATTTGTATGTTTATTCTAGCCCATCCAATGCAAAGCTGCTGTGGCCTGGGAGCCAAAGAAACCACTGGTCATTGAGAATGTGGAAGTAGCCCCTCCTAAGGCTGGGGAAGTTCGGTTAAAGGTGGGGAACCAAAGAAAAATATTCAGAGACACTTAATTAATTGTTAAATAGCATTTTGTTGTATTTTATTCCTGATAAGAAATAATATGAATAGATGCAATTTTAGTGGGGGATGCTGTCTTCTTAGGGGTTAGAATCAGTAGTGATAATCATATGAGCTGGGAAGGTCACATCTGTGATATTTGTAAAAAAGCAAGTAAAAGGCTACACAATCTTAAGCTTTTGGAAAGAGCGGGTATTCCAACCAATGAACTTGTAAGCTTTTACACATCAGTAATCCGACCTATATTAGAATATGCATGTCAGGTGTGGCACCCAGGTCTCACACGACAACAAGTTGTTAAAATTGAATCCATCCAGATAAGAGCATGTAAGATTATATTCCCAGAGCTGCCCTATGATGGGGCACTTGAAACATGTAAACTTATCACTCAGGCCTGTAGCCAGCAATTTCAAAAGGGGGGTTCTTTTTCTGAAAAAATGGACCTTTTCCCATATAAACTTCATGTACCTAGATCAAATTTTACCCAGAGTGGACCTTTTCCCAGCAAAAGGGGCAGTTCTTTCGAACCCCTGAACCCCCCTGGCTACGGGCCTGTCACTCTTGCTTGTAGAAGAGATGAACTATCTAAAACATTATTGCATAACATGTACTCAGAAGGACACAAAATCTATCATTTGCTTCCAGAGATAAATGAAAGTTCCTACACTTTGCGCTGGGATTATAGGTACACTGTGCCAAAACTGAGGACTGTACAATCATCACATACTTTTATCTCATGGGCTTTATCAAATTTTAAGAACTGAGGTTTTTATGAACTTTTAATGTGTATTGAATCATTTTAACACTTACAAGTATATTTTAAGATTGTGCATCTCACCACTATTTGTTTTTATTGTAAAATCCAACTTTGTAAGTTGCAAATAAATACATATTATTATTTTCATTTACCCAGCCATAAATGGCTCTGTGGTACAAATCACTATTAATACTGGTATAGCAATCAGTATAACTTTTGATGCCACAAGATTAGCTTCTAGGCTAGAGTTTTTTGTAACTTTATAATATTTTTTCCAACCCAGGTATTAGCTACTGGTGTGTGCCATACTGATGCCTATACTTTAGATGGCTTTGATCCAGAGGGGAAATTCCCATGTATTTTGGGCCATGAAGGAGGTGGTATTGTGGAAAGTGTTGGTGAAGGGGTGACATCAGTCAAGCCAGGTACACTACAGATGATGGAAAGATGTTTGGTTTTTTAAAGCCCTGTTTTTTGTAAGGGACACTCCACTGGTGGCCTTTTAATTAAGCTGAATACAATAAGGAGCTTTATGAAATAAGTGCATTTAAGAAAGTGAATATGTTGAGACTTGGATGTTTGACTTATAGATTGAAAGTTAATTTATTTTTATTCAGGTGACCATGTCATACCTTTGTACACCCCCCAGTGTGGCGAGTGCAAGTTCTGTAAAAATCCAAAGACCAATTTATGCTCAAAGATAAGGTATTTACAACAGTTGGATTAACTCTGTTAAGTTTGCTCCTATAAATGGTTATAAATATTGCTGTAGACTATAATCGCTGTCTTATTTCACCTATCAGTTATTTTGACCTATGCAGTATAGGTTACGCAAGCTACTGAGATAAAGTACCTGATAAATGGATGTCATTCACACTGCTGAGAGATTGCAACAGGTGCTGTTTTAAATAGTGACACAGTGTATTCATGCTTGTTGAAATCTATGCCCCCTCCCTATCATACTCAGATTTTTAAAGATGCTGCAGAGAAGAAAAATGCTTAGGAATGGTAATAAGTAACACAAATTTCAAGGGTGTTTGCTGCCTTTCTTTGAAAAATGACACCAATGTTTCTTGAATTAGAAACTGATATAGATATTCATTGGAAAGAAAACATGTGACAAGTGCACTGTAAATAGGTAATATGCCTCATGAATATTATAATAACAGTTGAGAGAATTTTTTTCTTATTATTATCAGGGCCACTCAAGGTCAGGGCCTCATGCCTGATGGCACCTGCCGCTTTACCTGCAAAGGAAAGTCCATATATCATTTCATGGGATGCAGCACCTTCAGTGAATACACAGTGGTGGCAGAAATATCTGTGGCTAAGGTAGGTTGTCTTCTGTTATGTTTATCTGTTCTCTTTCTTATCTGGTTTCTTTCCTATTCACAAGCTTCAATTTTTCCTTATGAATTATAAAAAAAAAGAAAAAAAAAACAATCTGTATACATGTTTAAAGCACAAAATTAAAGGTAAAGGAAGGAAAATACTTGTATTTATTCTACATGTTGGTTTGTTATATTTTAAGGTGAATGAGAAAGCTGCCTTGGACAAGGTTTGCCTGCTAGGTTGTGGGATATCTACAGGATATGGTGCTGCCTTGAATACAGCCAAAGTGGAGCCTGGGAGCACCTGTGCCATCTGGGGACTGGGAGCTGTTGGCTTAGCTGTTGCTATGGGATGCAAGGAGGCTGGAGCTACACGCATTATTGGTGTCGATATCAACCCAGATAAATTTGAAGTTGGTAAGTTATACGGTGTATTAACGGGGATAAATATACCTATTACTGGTTCTGTAATTTTATAGTTGGGTCCATTTTCTGAAAAGTGTACCTTGTTATTGTGAAATGAGAAATGACATAGAACCTAAATGAAATTTTAGTACAAAGCGTATCTTTTTATGACCAAAGGGTGGTGCATTCAAACCTCTCAATTCCCTTTTGTTTACAGGACTGTATACTTGAACAAGACAACTAAATTTATTCACTCATTATGTGGCAGCTGTGTCCAAAGAAAGCTAGCTATTGACTACACACTAGTTTTCATTGTATGTTTTTATCTATTTTAGCTAAGGGGTTTGGTTGCACTGAATTTGTCAATCCCAAAGATTACACCAAGCCCATTCAAGAAGTTCTGGTAGAAAAGACAGATGGTGGTTGTGATTTTACATTTGAGTGCATTGGCAATGTGGGCTGCATGGTAGGCATGTTATCTATAATATTAAGCAGCATTGGAAATTAACGCTGGACCATCTGTCTGGGGCTGACAACTTTCAGAATGGGCTGAGAAGTTTTCCCACCCGGCAGACATTCAGTCCAGCTACTTTTCAAGATGGCTGGACTTTCAGTCCCGCAATTAATTTTCCTAAGAGGCAAACACTGATATTTAGTGTGGAAAACAAAGCCAGTTATTGTTATTAGTATAACCGATGATAAGTGAAATATCTGTGAAAATTTGTTCCATGAAAGGGAAAATATTTCATGTGTTCTGACCACTTTGAAATGTAAGTACAATGTAAATTTACTGATGAACTTCATCAAACTTATGGATAATACAGGCTATTTCAACCGAAAGAGTATTGTGATGTTTTGTTATTGTTCATTAAATTGTTTTATAACTTAAATTTTTAGAGAGCAGCATTAGAAGCTTGCCACAAAGGTTGGGGAGTGTCAACAATCATTGGAGTAGCTGCTGGTGGAACTGAAATTGCTACTCGTCCATTCCAGCTTGTCACTGGCCGGGTATGGAAGGGCACAGCTTTTGGAGGTAGGTCACCAGTAGGCCTCCGTATTAGTTACAATTCATTTATAAAGAAGGGTCCATTCCCAATGAAACTATTATTCTATGTAGATTGATTGAACTCTGTAGGGACTCTTCACGAATGCAGCCAGATTAACACGCCTCCTTGTTTCTAATGTATTCGTGTAATCAACCACTTTTCTGCATTCTACTCACATCATGTTAAAATGTTTAAAGCCTGTCTGTGTGGGTTAAACCCTTAATATAGCAAGAAAATTAATTTTCCTGGAAATCTCACCAATTTCCCTATAATGGCCAAGGTATATCCTATCCAAAACCGTTCAGAAAATGAAGCTACCTAATACCGTTTTTAAGTTCCATTAATTAATAAAAGACGACTCGTCTTAAATACTCAGCTACCACCTCACAGTACGGCTTCAGAACACGCAATTTCTCGCTAACTCTCGCGGTTTACAATGAATGAAGTACTACGGCTGAGACCCGGATGTTACTATTTGGCGCCAAAACAGCAAACATGGAGACGCGCGTAAAGTCTGAAGAGAGCTACAAAAGGGGACGAAAGAAAATAGCCACTCCAGTTCAAAAGATACGAGAGAAAATGAGGGACAGACAAAGAAGCTCTCAGACTGTGTATGTTGGGAGGGAGGTGGGGCGGTGGAAGAAACTTAAAGCAGAGTTAGGCCTCACATACGAGGCAAAGGCAAAACTACTCCTCGACACGTGAGTATGCGCTTCACAGGTCTCAAGTGTTTATGATTATCATATTAGCCTGTTCACAATAAATAAAAATATTTGTGCTCATACAAAGTTGGTTACGTGTATAAGAGCGTTTTAAGCTTTACGTTTTCTGTTTTTGATCGGTACATGTACCGAAAAGATGGACAGGCGGTTACTAACAAGATACATGCGGGAAATACTTTTATGGTTAGTGACAATATCTAAAAATTATTCCAACTTTCTCACTTTTGAAGTTAGTTGTGTACAGACAACTGATTTAGAATATACTATACAGGGTGTATCAAAAAAAAAGTGAACACTTATAAAAATACCCAGGATTTTATAATTTTATTTCAAATAACAAATATTAATGTAAATATAGGTTTGTAGGGATGTCATGCTTCAATGCACACCATGGATTGTCGTGTCTTTTCACGCATGACTGAGCAGGGTCAAATTACATCATGAGGATAAAATTTTTATTTCGAGAACTTTTTTTTTTTTGCAAAAAGTTGATAAATTACCATGAAACGGTTCTATCAGTGGTTTTCAAATTAGAAACCTGCCTCTCTGATATGCATTTTGTACAGTGCATCGGATAACGAAAGCCCAGAATTGCACACAATGTAGATATAAATGCATTTTGAGCAATAAGACGAATATATCTTATGAATTTTATATTATTGTTATATAGCGTTGTTGTTGTCTGCTTTTCCCACGGTTTTTAGGAGGTCATCAGAAACTATCGCTCGATATCGCGTGACTATGCATTGTCAGAGAGGGCTCCGTCAGTTAAAATAGGGAATAGGGTCGCTGACCATTGGTAAGTACGGGAAAATTGCCGTTTACTCCAGGAAAATTTTTGGCCAAAACGAAGAGTTATTATGACTTTAACTGAGTGCATTCAGCGAGTTGGATTGATCTACATAATACAATAGTTTCATTGGGCATGAACCCTAATGTATCATAAATGTAATTCTTTTTTCCTAGAGTCACTACAGTGTTCTTTACAGTGCTCATCTAAAAGGAAGGTGTGAAACAATCAAGTATATATACAAATCTGTTTGAATTAAATTTAGAAAGCAATTGACATAACTATTTTTTGTAGGTTGGAAAAGTCGTGAAAGTGTCCCCAAACTAGTGGAGGATTACTTGAAAGGAATAGTTAAAGTAGATGAGTTTGTGAGTCACAACATGCCGCTGGAAAAAATCAATGAAGCATTTGACCTTATGCATTCTGGGCAGAGGTATGTAATAAATAAGATTGATACAGTCAAAAGTGTGTTATATATGCATACATGTTTGTGTAAATAATTAATGTTATTAGGAATTCAGACCGCTTTTCCATATCATTTATGAATCAATAAAAAAATCACCTTTGATCAACAGATACATAGCCTAACATGATTCCTTAGGAAGTTAAAAGTGCATAGGTTATTTGGCATATAAAAGTTGATACACACCATCAAAAATGTATATTTAAACATATAAAAAATTTACAATTTGGTTATTTCCTTCTTTCAGTATCCGTTCTGTGGTCAACATGTGAAGAGGCTTCTTGCTTAACACACCAGGACTGTGCTATTTGATACTTATAATGCAGACTTGGAGGGCAGCAAATTATGAAACAAATTGTAAAACCTACAGGGTATTACCCAACTTATCTAATTTCCCTTTAATCTAGAAAAGATGAACTTTAATATTACAGCCTCCTAAAATGCTGTTAATCATTGGGAACCAAGAAAGATTTGAAAGTAATTATGCTCTCAGAATGCTGTTAATCATTGGAAAACTTATGGTGAAAATTATAACAAACATCAGAAAAATTACTTAACTGACGGAATGCTATTTGTTAGCGGAGACATCCAAGGGTTATGTACGATTATTTACAAATCCCTTTTGCTTATGTCAAGGGTCACTTTTTCTGTATCAGTGCCAATAAAAGGTTACTACGGTTATGTTGATGGAAAGACCCTAATGACATCCAGTTTCTGCAGTATGAAGAGGCAAAGGGTGTGCTGAAATATTTCAGTAAATTATTTTCAACAGCAGACAATGACTAAGAAACTTAGGAATTTGTTCCACGTTAATAAAAGCTCCTGATCTCAATAATTCACCTTTGCAAAGTTACATAAATATAGGCATTAAATTAGTTCACTGAAAGCACTCGTTAACCGAATGCCCATTTAAGAAGCAGTGTGCACCACAAAATTTAAATATTTCGGTTACTTAGCACCAATTCTTGGAGTTGCTTTTACTTTCTTATACCATTTGCTAAAAATTATAAATCAAATACTTTATATATTTCAAACACCATTTATTTACAATAATTATTCCTATAATAATTTAACAAATAGTACATTACAATCATTCTTTAATCAGTCCTTTTGCCATATACACTTCCTTCATCAACTCTTTCATGTACTTAATTTCTCTTTCTAGTTCTTCTACCTTTCCTTTCAACACTCCATTGTGTGATTCTAGTTCATCGGCCTCAGCTTGTAGCTGTTCAGTTTCTTCGCGTTTTTTCAATCTATAACGGAGAGCAGCAGTTTTGTTTTGCTCTTTCTTTCTTAACTTTTTGTCAAGTGTTTTAGGCTTTTTACCAGAATGAGACTTTACCCGTGGAGTAACAGTGTAATCAGGGTCAGTGCTATATGGAGAACTACGAGATCTTTTCTGTACAAAGAGCTCATCGTCCTCTGAACTGAAGTCTGATCCTGGTGACAGGACTGAAGTATCTACAGTAGAAGTGTCTAATAAATAAGGACTGCTTCGTCCAGAATCTGATAAAATACTTTCCACATCCTCTGGGCTGAGAGGTGGTGTGAAATCTACATATTCAACACAGGCACTAGAGCCCTCTAATGATTCATTATGTACAAAGCCAGAGTCATTAAGCCCCTCTACTTGGGCCAAGAGTTCCTCAATGCTGTCTGCCACCACAACAGCTGGTGGAGGAGTGGGTGGGGCTGCAGCAATGGGTTCAGCTGGTCCTATAACATCAGTCAATGTTGTGACAGAGGTGACCATGGCATCTACCTCTTGGACAGACTTGCCTTCATCCAGGAGGAAGTCGAGAAGGTCCACTCTCTCGTCCAACCATGGCTCAAACAACTGTGGTCCTGCAAAAAGATGAGAATGTAAATGAGAAGAATTAAGAGAATGTCACTCAACATTCTTTCACCATATGTTCAATAATTTCCAGCTCACACAAAGTCTTTTTTCCCTCTCACACACATTCTTTACAACAAATAATTAGACTGAAAATTACAACTTACCCAAACGGTCATCTGCCAAATCGGAGAATGGACCATCATGTGTGATTGGTTTTCCAGCTGACTCTTTCAGCTCAGCGAAGGTATCAACTTCAACGCCCAACGGGGCTGGGGCAAATAAATCGCCCCAATCGTTCATCTCGTCCTCGAACATCATTTTGTATCGTTTCTATCGATTTCACTTTGTCGTCAAGTATCCCAGAGGGAGGGTGCGTTTGTCGTAAGCTTGCCATTTTGCAGTTACTGAAAAAAACCAACAAATCACATAAATATTTAACTCCGTGAAATGTCACTTGTTTTCTTTTTTTTTTGTAAATACACTCACCTAACCTTGATCACTATTTCCAAACAGACGTTTAAGATAAAGTTAAAACAGAAAAGGTTCTTACGAAACATATGTCATTTTTCACTATGTCGACCGTCTCTCCTATTTTCTTAAGTTGAACAAAACCTCAGTAAAATTGTACAAAATTTGATAACGTACGCCAGGGTGCGCCTTGCGGAGCACAAGTCGTTCAGCTGCCGGGGTTCTAGAAAGCCATTTTCGCGGTTTTTTGTTGTACAGTCACGGGAAAGCTTTTCGTCGCAGCTCCTCTTCTTGGTGTGTCTGATGAAATGGTCGTGTAATGCGTGGCGGGACTCTTTACGGCGCGAACTGTTATCTATCCTTCCGCACATCAATTAACGACAATGACTTACTTAATCGTTCAGACTGTTATTTGAGCAACATGTCATATTTACAATCCATATATACCCTCATACTTTCCACAAATCATTTAGAGTAATCTTATAATTATTTTTCCATGCATTCAGTGTATAGCTAGGTACTCGTTTATAATGCACATTGATATATATATATAGTCAAGGGGAAAGTCGGTGCGCTTCCGCATTCATTGCATCAGACTAAATTTGGCGAAACGCCAACGCACCTGTGTGGCCCCGCATATGATTGGCTGAGAGGGACTTTTACATGTGATTAGTGGACTGTGATTCGGCAACCAATGCTAACGTTGACGTCGGTGCTATTTAAAGAAAATACGTCAGTGAAGAAAGTCTCAATGAAGTAATGGTATAGTAGATTATGTGTGTGTGTGACGTAAACCATCTAAGGGCGTAAGAAATGTGTCGATAAGTATGTCCTGACACATAAAAGATTCCTACCACGAAAAAATAAGGGGGAAAATAAATAGAGAAGCAAAAAGTTATTTTAAATGTGCGATGTTCTAATGTGCTTACACGCTGGGAAATACTGTGATAATGTGAGGACATTGGTAACACGCAGCAAATGAAGAAGGCAGATAAGTCACTTTGCTTTCATTGCGGAACCAAAGCAGAAAGACCCTCCCCTCCTCGAGCTCTCCATTATGGATCCAAGTTTTCTACCCTCTACCAGGGCCACGGATTGATTTTTCGCTTGATATTCACAGATGTGTCTCTGGTTAAATTCACAGTTATTCTCTGCACAGCGAAAATGTCCAAATAATAACCACTGTGTCCCCGGTAGAGGGTACAAGTTTACTAAGTTTCAGTGTAGGCCTTTCTATGTTAGATAGAGCCTGTTGAGCTTGTTGACAGCAGTATTGCGCTAGGCATAAGATCAGAGCTCACCTAACACAATTACTGAACAGACAAGTCACGTGAAAGAAATTTGCCCTGTGTCTGACATTTATGCAAGTGTTCTTTTAATTTGATTTTGCACCCAGTGGCGGATTTAGAGGGGTGTCAGCAGGGGGTCCTGTCCCCCCCCCCCCTTCGATTTCTAAAAAATATCACACCAATTGTTCCCTCTACAAATTAGAATTTGATGAGCTGATCATAGTTCTAAACCGTAGGCCTACCATATGGCACCGTTCGCCCTCTAAAACACCAAAATTTTCGGGGCCCTTCAGTGCCTCAGCGGGCCCCGAACCCACGATAACGAGTGTGTGTGTGTGTGTGTTGGGGGGGGGGGGGGGGGGGGGCAGGGTCGGCTTCACGTGTGCGGCCTGTCATTCCTAAAAACCGGACCCCCTCCTTCAAATAATCCTGTATCTGCCCCTGCTGTCTGTGTAGGCCTACTGTTTTCTATTTTGCGGAGCTCCTGAAGCTAAGAGGAGGACACATACCTTCTACCCCTGGGTGTAGGCCTACCATTGCTCTAATGTGTCACCCACATCTTGTAGGTAATTAGGGCCTACACAGTTCTCAAATTTTCCCTATTTTCCCCTACCTTATGTCTTTTTTTCTAACACGAATCACTATTTAACCTATTAAAAAATGATAAAAAGAACAAGTGTGTTGTCATGATGAAGCCTGTAGTCATCTTTGAAGTCATCTCTTAAAAATGGAACAACCATCTCTGAAGCCCGATACTAACCCCACTGAGCTCATGAATTCCATTATAAAGAGGTGACTTCAGGAATGAGTAGGCCTACCGGTTTCGTCCTGACAACGCACTTATTCACAGTTCTCGTATTTTGATTGATTTGTTGCAGAAATCTGAAAAGCAATGTTCTGAAGAACGAACAGTCGTCTTTGAGGGCGAATACTAACCCTGTTGAGTACATGCGGAACGATTTTGAGTGCGCAATGCAGAAAAGAATCAACCCCTAATAATCTGAAACAAATCCATCAAGCTCTGCTAAAAGAGTGAATCGCCAAATCAATTTCAACACAGTACCGGTATTACCACTGTTTTGTTGTTGTTTGCGATGGTAATATATAATTGATCAACACGGGTCCAGAATCCTGTTAAATATGGCTGTTTTGGGTTATAAAAAAAAACATAAAACTCCTTATTGCACACGGTTAGCTTTATTCAAAATTGTTCATAGCAAATAGTCAATAGCCGATAGCCGATAGCAGAAAGCCGAAAGCCGGTCACTAAAAAATAAAATACAATATAATATGTTCTAAAGTATAATAAAATAATGATTCTTATGAATTAAAACAAATACATTGTACACTTACATAAATTGTGGAGTATATATTTTAGAGAGTCATGTACTTCTGTCTATCTCCAGCAAAGTCAGTGGTGTGTGTGACCTCTCAGTACTGTAGGTGTGGTCTTTTGTCTTCATGTGTCACATGACTGAGTGACCACATTTTACATCCTAGACTGAACAGTTTTGACAATATTTTGTTGATCCCAGAACATCGGGAGGTTCTCCTTGCAGAGATACATTATATATTTTTATCTCTGCGACACTAATTATTAAACTTAAAGTTTAAATGTCACACAAAATTTTAACTAATGAAATATATTCATATACTGTAACTAAACTAGAACTAATAAAGAAATAATTATATAACATCATTAATAACCTGTGTACTAATATAATATATATACAATGTTGCATTAGTATTTGAGAGCAATTACATATCCTCAATAGGAATTAATAAACCCAATCTTCTGACAGATCTCTCTACCTCAATATTCTTAGCACCCTTGTACTCATGAACTTTTTCTCCCACTCTATAATTTTTATAAGACACTTTCACCCTTCTTACAAGACCATCAGTACCAGGGAAAACTTCAGTAACCTTTGCAAGACGATATTCTCCCTTGAGAACATTGCTATCAGGTACTATAACAACATCTCCCACTTTCAAGTCTCGATTCCCTTTAAACCACTTCGTTTGATGGACAAGAGTGTGTGCAAAGAGATTCTTCCATTGCTCCCAGAACTGTTTTACACAGCCTTCTACTAAAGTGAGACGGAATCTCAAGGAAGGATTTGCATCATAACCTCCAGGATTTCTAGAAGTAGATCTACCAAGAAGTAGAGAATTGGGAGTAAGGATATTGAGAGTAGAATCAACACTGGGCATCACTCCTATTGGTCTTTCATTAAGCAAATCTGCAACTTGTGTAAAGACAGTGAGAATTTCAGGCACAGATAATCTCTGATTTTTCACACTTAGGTCAATTGCTTTTTTAGCAGACTTTACCAATGATTCTACAGCACCTTGATACCATGGACTGTCAGCAGGCCCAAATTTCCAATTTAGACCCATATCTGAGCCTTGTCTCAAAAGAACGTCTTTATCTATATCGGCCCATGCTCGTGCTAGTTCAACGCTAGCACCTAGAAGTTGAGAACCAGGGTCTGAATAGATAACAGACGGCCATCCTCGAATAGCTGCAAAACGAGACAATGCCAGCAAAAATGACTGTGTGTCATATCCAAACACCACTTCAATGTGAACAGCCCTGCAACAAAGATCAGTAAAAATGACCCCCCATGCTTTACCAGTAGTGCGTTTTTGAACCTCTCCTCTTACCTGATAGGGTCCAAATAAATCCAACATCACAGTGGAAAATGGAGGAGAAGGCATGAGACGAGCAGGTGGCATAGGGCCCATTTTTTGATCAACGTATTTTGTTTTGAGAAGTTTGCACAATTGACAATTGTCACAAATACTTTTGCTTAATTTTGCAGCATGAGATGTCCAAAATCGTGACCTGAACTTTGCCACTGTAACATCGCGACCTTTATGACCACAATTTGAATGTGCATCTTTCATAAACAACTTGGTCAAAGGATGCTTTCTAGGCAGTAAAATCAATGGTTTGTTTTCAGGTGTCAGTGGATTTTGATGTGCAATGCGTGTCCCTACTACCCATAACCCATCTAGTTTAACGGGCATCAAAGTACGGAACTGTGCTTTCACACTATCATTATACCATGCAGAATTCTGAGCATCAGAAATCAAAAGCATTTCAGCCTGTGCAAGTAAATCAGGTGTAACATTGGACTTATTTCCTCCTCGGAAAGAACCTGCTCTGAAAATATCTTTCAGGCACTGAAAGAGATAAAAACAGCTTACACTGACTAGTGGTATGAGAATTGCCATTGTGTAAAAAACAACTATCATTCTGACTTGCTCTAACATTGTGACTGTGACTTTGTTTTTGTGTTTTGACAGGTTTAAATAATGCTTGATCATTAGCCATTTGTTTGAGAACCCCTAACTTTGATTGTAAGAAGTCCTGAAGTGGACCTAATGGATGTAATTGTGCTGAAACTGGCAACTTATTGAGAAATTCTGCCCAATCTTTTCTGAGCAAGGGTGAAAAAAATGAAACAATGCGTGCCACGTCTTTACAAGAAACCATATGTACTTGATCTAACATCTCTAGCTGTTGAAATATGGAATCAATTTTTCTGATCAATTGCACTTGCTCTTGATAATTATCTTCAGATGACACTGGTTTTAACTGGCTTATCTCTTCTAAAGCATTGGACACTGCTAATGGGACATTATCATAGTGTAGGCATAAAGCCTCCCACATCTTATCATAAGCATTTTCCGAACCTGCTGAGATGTTGGAAATTTCTACATAAGCTAGTTCACTTTTACAAGAGTTTTTTAAATCCACAGCCAAGGCTGTTTTATTTTGTACGGCTAGAATAACCATATTTTGCCAAATGTTTCTGAATTCTGGCCAGTCTCTTCTGTTTCAGTTGAATGGGTGAGTCTGAATTTTGAGTTACATTTCGTTTGCTATGTTGCTTATAAACTTGGATTGTATTGAGGATAAAGTTCACATCCGCCACTTAACAGTAATAGCAGTAACAACAGTAGAGATGCAGCTTATTTCTCACAGCTATTCAAGTAGCATAGAAAAAGGCTAAATCAGAGAAAAACACAGTTTTGCATTATCACCGTGTTCTAGATCTTTCCAGAAATTATGTATAAAGAAATCATTTGATAGGAAAGAATAAAACACCATATTAAACCGGACTCTGGACTCGTGTTGATCAATTATATATTACCATTGCGAAAAAAACAGTGGTAATACTATGTGGAAATTGATTTGTCGATTCACTCTAGATCTTTTATCTGTCGTTAAATTCACCAAAGGTGTGATCACATTAGCGAATGCCCCGTGTTGATACATGTAGTTGGTTTCAAATCAGTAAATAGTGTAAGTACTCGTCGTAAGTACGATACAAAGTTTTAACACTGAGTTTTAAAAGTTAAAAGCCAATTATATATATCAGATGGCTTAAAAATACGTTAATTATTTCAAAGTTCAATAACTTCAGCAGTTCACAAGCTTTTGGATTAAAATCTTGCACAGGTTTATGATACATTATTATTGTCCAACCCTGAAAATTTCAGGTGTTAAAGTGAAACAGATTTGATATTACATCAATCAAAAGCACATTGACAGGTGTCAAAACTGCCGAACATTGGTATTTGTCAGAAGTTACATAGGGCGGCATAATTTTTCGACTTAAGATTTCAATTCTTTCGAGGTGTCAAAACTAAGAAAGGTAATCATGAATTTTTTAGCATTTATTTAAAAAAAACATTTTACTTAAAAATCCCAGATTTTATTACAATTTCTTCAAATCTGTTGAAATAATTGAATTTTGACATTTGTAACCTTTTTTAGCCACCCGATGTATGACGTAAAATTGGTGTTTTGAACGTATACAAGTCAAGTGAAAAAACTTCCTGGTCTAAGCTGCGGGTCGACATTTCTCCCAAGCGTAATCAATACCGGATGTAAATTACTCGACTAAGCCACGCCTCCAGTGATAAGGACCATTGCCATGTGGGAGAGGAGGGGGGGGGGTTAAAGTTATATGCTGATCATCAGTGCGGTAACAGGTCATAAGTCTTACATCAGTTAACATCCCCTTTTACACTGAACGGCGGCCCTAGTGCGTTCCTGGCCAGTTTGCCGTTGGACGCTCAAAGGACGCACGGTGATCGTTGAGATCGCACACATGCAGTCAAGCGTCGCCGTGGACGCCGCAAAATTTTGGACATGTTCAAAACAATCACAGGGGCATTTTTCAACAGAGGTAGTACATCTTACAGTAACGGCTACTAGTGGTCTAATACCTAGCCCAATTGGAATTTTTTTTTCTAAATTCTTGTGCCTATCCATTTTCTGATATTTCTGTCGTTTTGCAAGATGCAGTTCTTGTCGTTTTCTGCAACAAACTTTTACAGGCCTGTGTTTATTTAATTTAATCCTTATGTAAATCTTTTACTTTATGATTTTTTATTCAAAGTCATTTATCTTTTGGTTGCAGTGCTTCAAATAAATTTCTTCTTCTTCTTATTATTAATATTATTATTTATTGTTAGCGTGTGCGTCTACGGTGTACGGTTGACAGCGCGGCATGCCTCCAACAAGGGTTACAGTTTTTTTTTTCCAGCAGAGCTTGACGGATTTGTTTCAGAAAATTAGGGTGATTAAATATTAAGTGATCAGATGATATTGTTTGTATCGGTAGGGATAAAGTGCCCGTCACTTGTGTTAATACCAGTTTTTGACAGGTAACTTTGTAAGATTGTTTTGACGTCACTTGTTACTTGCCAGGCAAACAGTAAAAGCTAGTGATTGTTTTAGAAAACTGACCTTGCAAAAGGCCATAGATCAAACAATCACTCAAGAAAAGAAGAGTAAGATCTTTTAGATAAGAATCGCGCCTTTTAAAATTTTGATAAGTTTAGAAAAAAATCAATAAAACACTACAGGATATTTCAGGCAATAGCAGTAGAAACGAATATAGTCCACAAAAATACAATACAATCATACAACCTTACGGAGGCGTGGCGTAGTCGTCAGTCTGCCAGCGGCACATGCGGGTTGAAAAACTCACTTGGGCAGATTTTTCGATCTAGACTCAAAAAAACATTATTTCATCCAACATTACATAGGTTTTTGGTTATTTTAAACACATAAAAAACCCCAAAACATTATTTCTAGCCCATCATACCCCTTCCCCGCCTTAAAATGAAAAACTTTCAATTGTTCACTGGTGTGCCTTTATATACAGTAGTGATTATCTATATGTTGGCGCAGCTTTCGTTTACTGAATTTTTTGAGGGCATTCTTTAACTGTTTATCTTCGTGCACAGTGAAAATTGTTTGGCCCTATGATTCTTTTAAGGAAAGAGCTTTTCTAGACAACTTTTCCCCGATCAGGTGGGCGCCTATTTTCAACCTCAATGCTTAAGTCAGCAGCGGGTTTCTAAGAACTATTTGTGTGTGTACGTGTGTATGTAACGAAGACTATATATACAAAGGTTTACCTAGCTGGTTCTATTCAAATGCATGGTAAAGATCCAGTTCACGCGCCAGATTTACAAGATAAATCTTAAACGCATTCTTTTCAGCATTGTGAGTGTGCACAAAGCGGATTTTTAAGTGGGCCTACTTCGTCCATGAGTCAAAAAAAATAGGGGAACAGGTGACAATTTTTCAATAATTTAACGCCACTTCGTGGCTGCTAATTAACCAGCAGAACATAGATAACAGAATTTCATGCAAAATGAAAGAGTAGATGTGACACAACTTATATATGCTCCCAGGTTTAACACAGAAAAAACGAAAAAATATGTGAGCTATTGTTACGCCTTCGCGGCCGAGTGCCTTATGAAGGTACAAATAACAATGTACTTACTGGTATCTCAGAGTTAAGAGCCAAAAAAGGAGCCAAATAATAACTCGCAGACCAAATAGGTAGCCAAAAGCCCAAGAAAAGAAACCGATTTATTTCAAGTCGGACCTTATATACAAGTTCAGATAGTACACGTTTACCAATCAGAACCAATTATGCAGTGAACAGTTTTACCTTTAGGTTACCAATCACGGGAGAGATTCAAACTTGCACACCGAACAACACTTTACTTATAGAGACATCTACCGGTAACAATATAAAACAATCTCAACTAACACACTACATCGTCACACTCTTCCCCCCCTTTTGACGAACAAAACTCCCCCCTATTATTACAATATAAACTATTACTTTAAATTGTTAAACCAACAATTATTATAAAACAACAACTGAAATCGTACTTTACATTTAAAATAAGCAAGTAAAGCAAATAAGTCATTATTGTTATGCCAAGATTCAACATTTAACTTTAATACAAGCAAAGTCAATTAAGTCCATCTCTCAGCATAAATGTTCATCCTTAGGAATGCAAAATAAAGTTTTAAATCCATTATCACTTTAAATCAACTTTAAAGTAAACAAAGTGATTTTAACTCAAAGTTGCTCAAAACAACATTATTAATGATAACAATGTCAATGTGAAATGTTAAATCATTATATAGTTCATTTTTCATCCATGTAGCAAAGTAAATTCCATCCGCCGATACCAATGACTACAGAGTTCACGATCCTCTGATGAAAGTTTCTGTAACAGATGATACAAAGTTCTCCAATGAAACAAAGTCAACAAAGAATTCAGAATCTCAGTCTTAGGCTCCATACCATTTCCATGAATGTATATTTTCACAAAGTTAATGTCCTCCTCGGAACAGTTATCTGGTAATATTGCTAGTCCTTCACTTTGCACATAGTCCATCAGTTCCCATATATTTCTCA